GCGCCCCCCCCCCCCCCCCCCCCCCCCCCCCCCCCCCCCCCCCCCCCCCCCCCCCCCCCCCCCCCCCCCCCCCCCCCCCCCCCCCCCAAGGAACTCTGTAAGGCAAAATAAAATATAAATATAAATATAAAATGGAAGACATAACCACTGACCATTCATTAACTAGTTGTAACGAGTGGTAACATTGGAAGAAAAAGAAGAAAAAGAAGAAGGACAAGAAAATAGGAATGATAAGTTTGACGAATGCTCTTTATATGTTGTTATCATTAGTAATAGCGACCAAGCAGCTATGTACTTACTTACTTCCCTAACCTCCCTGGCCCACGATTTGAGTAAATCAGGAGGAAGCCGCGTGTAAGTAGGTCCCTGGATAGGTAAGAAATGTACGAATGAACATGTGTATATGTGTATGTATCTTTATAAAGCATGAATACTTACCTATCTAAGTTGGTAGATAGTTAGGTACTTACTCCCACCTGTAGACTCCGATGGACGTTTAATTTCCTCGGTTTTGATTTGTCTAGGACGGGGATTAAGGAAGTAAGGAAGTAGAGGCATGAGAGATAGATTTATTCTGTCCGTTTTGTTCGGTCGTGTATGTATTGGTGTGTGGATGGATGGATGGAGAAAATTCAGAATGAAAAAGGCATACAAGTAGGTAATCAGCCAAGGTAAGAGGTAAAAATAAATCATAAACTTCATCAGCAGCCAGCCAGCTACAATATCGTCTTTATTTTCATTGTTCTAATCCACGCCACGCCACCCACCACCCATCTATCTATCTATCTATCTATCTATCCCCCCCTCCTCACCTTCCGGAAGCACAAACTACTAATCGTCTGCCCCTTGACGCCGCCGAAGCTAAAGCTGCGATACTCGACGCGGCCGACGACCTCGAAGCCCCAGTACCCGTTCCCCTCCCCGTCGTTCGGTAGGATTTCCCGCGCGGCGCCGAACCAGCTCCTCAGCTCGGCCTCCGTCCAATTACAGCTCGTGATAAGGAATAGCCCTCCCTCGCGGACGAGGGGGAGGATTCGCGTGCCGTAGACCTCGTTCACGCGTCTGGTGTCGGCGTCGGCGTCGTCGCGTATCGTCTCGGCGGACAGCGAGATGGCGTCGAACGTGCCCTTGTCGAGAACCACGTCCCACCCACGCCGTATAGAAGGCGCGTACCGCTCGTCTAGCAGCGCTGTGGCGGGACTATGCAATATGTCGTGTTCGGCGAAGTGTACGTCTACTTCGCCATCTTCTTCCCTATCGCCATTTCCCCCTGTGCTGGTCTTTCTTCGTATATCTTCCTCGCCCCTTATTTTCTCTTTCTCTCCTACTTTCTCATCATCAGCCGAAGAAGAAGAAGGAGGAGAAGGAGGCAAACCCCGTCTCGCCCTCTCGATCCTCCTCGCGAACCTCACGCTCAGCGCACTATAATCCACGCCCAACATAGCCCCTTCCCACCCATTATCCCTGAGCGCGAACAACAGCGCTCCATTCCCCGTGCCCAAGTCCAGAAAACTCGTATTCCGGACATCGAGTCCGAATTCCCCCGCGCGCTCGGATTCCTCGAGGAACTCGATCAATTTCGCCTCGGCGTCTGAGTCGTCGAACCAGGCCGTGCCCGTATCCGCGGGGTCGTGCGCGTGGTTCGCTAGTTCCGTGGTATACAGCTCGTCCCAACTATTCTCGGGCGAAAAGAGAAGAGAAACGGGCGTTAGTAGAGTCCAGAACCATTGCTCTCGTATTTTTATCTCTGACGTTATTATTCCATCATCTTTGTAAGTCGGGTAAATATGTTATGTTATGTACAGATATACATGTGCTATGGGGATAGGATATATCTACTTGGAACAAGACAGGGTAGACAAGGAGTTGAATAGAGTAGGAAAGTATTGACATACTATTCCCTTGTGCCGAGCTTGGAAGGCTCAAGGTGCGCTGGTCTCGCCATGGTGGCGAGTGAGGCTGTTATTTGCTGTAGATGACGATGCGCTGGTTTTGAGGTTTGTTACTGGGAGCTCTCGAAAAGAACCTCTTCCTCAGAGCGCTCGTCTGAAAGAAGTGAAGGTATTAGAAGTAGGCGCATTAATATGCCGTATGGCGAAACCACTTCTCAAGCGCAAAGATTAAATGCGCGCGAGCTGTCCTTCCAGATATTGCTTCACAATGTTACTTGATCGCAATGAGGGTCTCGAGCTTGGGGTTTGGAGGGGCAAATGGCAGAAAGTCGGATTGGGAAAGCGGTGTGCCCCATAGGAACACCTCCCAAATGAACTACTACTAGGTAGGCAAGGGAAAGGACTCAACATAACTTCAAGTTCACGTTGTCATGACTGTTGAAGAAATAAAACGCAGTGAAGAAGTTTGAAAAAGACTTGTTAGTGTAATCATTGAGATTCCACTCATCATCATCAGGGGTATCTGAATGCTCTTCTCGATTCCACATATCCGCCCAACATGTACGGGAGTAATGAGGTAGGCCTGTCCACGAGACGGCTAGACCAACAGGAATATATGTAAAGGATCTTGCCATATTCATTTCTCGTGCTTTTGGTCGTCCCACTACCCTCCCTCCAAAATAATCCCATCCTTCGTAATTCCGTATCTGATGCCGGATTCTATTGACATGCTAGAAATAACCATCCTCTCTTTAAACCAAGATAAAAACCCTGCCGTAGATACACCAACGAATCGGTGAGAAGTTTCAAGGCAATTCACGCCATCTTCATGAAATAAGACAAGACGATTAGCCACTTCTACGTCACCGTCCAAACTGGGGCTTTCGATAAGACCTGGCGACCCCGTACTTCCACTCCAACAAAGCCGGCAAAACGAACTCTCGGGGCGTCTTTTGGTGGTGATGCTGCTGCCGGTGGTGTCGTGTCAGTGAGAATCGAGGCTGTGCTACCTTTTCTGCTGGACGCCGGGTGTGGCACTCCGCCAAGCATTGTCAACATACCACTTTTTGTTTTTTCACGCTTCGCCGCCTTGTCGGCATCCTTGGCATTGTCCTCTGGCTCATCCACTAGGTCCGGCAACGGTGGTAGAGGGGTCTTCTCCGATTCCGCTGGCTCCATGATCTCGGGCTGCACCACATCCCCTGGCATGGGGTATGTCAAGGCTACGTCGCGACTTTCAAGCGGTAGGTTGGCAGCTATGCCCACCGCCAGCTCCACAATCATAGACGCTCCGCCATCCACGCCAGCGGGTGGGGGGTCGACAAGGTATCGGTATAGCATCGCGGTGAGATTGGTTGTCGTCATCTTGGTAAAATCCGTTCGATAATCTCCACTTTCAGAGGAGTTGAGCATATGTTGAAGACCCTCCAACGTGGACATCCGCCAATTTATTACCTTGGCCGTTAAGGCGTTGTACTCTTCCTGGCTATTCATCGTGTATGAGTTCTTGCGTATGTTTTGCTCAATCTGCTTCAAGTGGCGACTGAGGTCGACATCAAGCCCGGGATGAAAACACTTATTAAAAATCTCCTCCATAACCCATCGTGAAATAATGGCTCTCCCAACAGCAGTCATCTCTTGCTTGCCCGTCTTCACGGCATCTGGCGTCACATACCGTTCGATCCAGCCCGGTAGGGTACTCCAGTCTTTGCGTATGCTGAATGCCAAATCCTTGATAGCCCCATTGAGTCGATTGAACCGTGTCGAGTACTCATTATCATCAAGTGCGGTCCGGGATTGTGACATACGTTGTTTGGCGACGGCATTCTGTAACTGTTCTATCTGGGAGCCCATTTGCTCAATCTGCGCTTTACCATCGAAATAGAGTCTTTTGACGTTCTTATACTTCAATACTACGATCAGAGTAAGTAAGTTTTGTTGCGCTTAGATATTAAGAAGCCCTTACCTAGCTCCTTGAGGTGTCTCTCATGATCTACACCCTCTGATGGCTGTGGGCTGTTTGTACGGTTACGGTCCTCGGTAGTAGACCCTTCATACTGCTGTCGTTCTCCGGTGCCGCCGGGCCGGAAGTTAGGAGGTGCGGCATTGCCAGGGCCAGGAGTGGGTGGAAGATTGCTCATAGCGTTTAGTGGGCCTTGACTGTGTCGATATGAGGGAGGAGGACCAGGAGGTGGTTCGACGGATCGTATTTTATCACTGTCTGCCGATTTACGGCCTTGGCCAGGTGCTCCGGTCTGTGGAGGTGGCGGAGGCATACCTTGAGATATTGCTACTTGTGATTCTTGCTGTGATTGCGCTTGCTGCTGCTGTTGTTGCTGCGCTGAAGGAATTTGAGGTTCGTGCGGTGCTTGACTTATAGCAGGGGATTCCTGTGCTGAATGGTAGTTATCTGGTGGTTGTTCCGAGTCAGTAGTCGGTGATTCATGCGACAACTGAGAAACGGTTTCCGGATTGGGTGGTTGTGATATCTCAGTGGAGAGATGGCTAACGTAAATCGACGAAGGATTGCTGCCAGCCTGACGTTTTTCTTGTGGTTGTGTTTGGGGGTGCGAATTTTGCGCAGGGTCAACTACAACCTGCCCGGCCAATTGCTGCGGCTGGTCTGGTTGTTGAGGCTGAGTTTGACTAAGTCGCTGAAGCAGCTGAGCCTGATGCTGCGCAATCGCCTGTTGCTGGTGAAAGGCAAGGTCTTCTTGGTCGTAAGGTGAACTCTCAGCAGGCACAGGTCGAATGGTAGCTGTATTTGGTAGTGCTTCTTGGGAAACCTGTGCTAAGAGATCCTGATTAGACCGACCTATTGAGTAAGGGCTGTCAAACTCGCCAATGCCCAGAATTGGCGACTGCTGAGCGAGTTGCGGTTGCTGTGGCGGGAGATGGACCTGAGACTGGGGTTGCTGCGGCGGCGGCGGCGGCGGTCTCGAAGTTGATCTCGGCGGTGGAACCCAGTCCGGGTGATCTATCGACCGCGCCAACAAGGAATTTCCTTTAGGGTTGTTACTTGACCGCTTCGATGGCCTGCGAACAATACCCGGGGCAGCGTTATCGTGAGACGGCTCGTGGGCGTGGTTATCGGCAGGGGGCCGACTTGAGGAGCCGGAGATCAGATGTCTAATCAGCTTGCGGGCCGAGCGCTTTGACTCGCTGGGTGCGGTCTGACTCTGGGGAAGCGACGGCGGGCCTTGATGAATGACGGGCGAGCCGCCGGGGGTAGTCTGGGACAGGTCGTCGGCGGAGCTTGAGGCGATGCCGAAGATGGCCTGAGTCTGCAGTGGAGTGATGTGCTGCGAGTACCGCGCCGATTGAGAGCGTGAGACGAGCTCGGCGAAGTTATCGTGGGGTTGTTGTTGTTGCTGCTGCTGCTGTTGCTGTGGTCTTATGCCGTACGCAGCAGCGGCAGGATTGGGGCTGGGACTGAGGTTGGGCTGATTGAGGGGTATCGCGTTTGGCCCCTGGCCGGGTGGGGGCGGCAGGTTAGGATTGGCCTTGCGCAGGACCTCGCGAGGTTGGCTGCCGGCGAGACTGGCTAATGAGAAGTGCGATTGATGTTGTTGTTGTTGATGCTGCGGCGTTGTTGTTATTATTGTTGCTGTTGTTGTTATTTGTGACTGGGGCTGTTGTGGTTGGTGCGGGAGTGGTGAATGCTGGTGTTGGTGCTGGTGTTGTGAAGTGGGTGGTGGAAGACCAGTGGTGGTAGTGGTAGTCCTGTTATCGGGCTGTTGCGACTGTTGCCGCTGAGGTTGCAGCTGCTGTTGCTGCGACGGTGTTGAAGGTCGTTGCTGCTGCTGTTGTTGTTGGAGCTGACGATGGAAAGAGTCGGTGGAGCCAAGCGACGACGGTGGCGGTCCAGGCGAGGCTGAAGGGGGATTGCTAGAAGAATCAGGGCCAATGCCAACAGTTGAGACTTTTCGCGGGCCGGGAGTTGATTGGGATGGTGAAGAAGCTGCAGGTTGGGAGGAGAGTGGCAGTGCTGGACCACCTCCACTGCCCACAACCGTGGGTGACTTTTGCTGGTGCTGGTGCTGCTGTTGTTGCTGTTGCTGTTGTTGCAAGTGAAGCTGATGCTGTAAAGCAGCCTGCTGCTGTTGTTGTTGCTCAAGCAGATTGTGCTGAGATCTATTGCTGTGTTTGCCGATTCGGCCGAAGGATGGCATCGCTAGTATGTTTCAACGTGTTCAGCCCGACTGTGTGAGTGAGTGAGTGAGTGAGTGTGTGTGTGTATCTGTCTCTCCGTGTCTGTCTGTCTGTACGGCTGTCTATCTATTTCGGGAGCCCCCAAGCGCCGGTAGGACGACAAAGGAATACCTAGCAGGGCGGCGCAGGCAAAGGCAAACAAAGCGCAAAGAGCGCAATCTGATAATTGCAAATGCGAGATAACGCCAGTAGCCCAAAGTAACGAGAGCGAAAGGTATTAAAAAATAAAAAATAAAAAAGGGTATAGAGGGAAACCTAGAACAGGGCCAAATGCAAGATGAGACGTTGCCGTCCCCTATTCTCGTGTAGTAGTGTAGTAGTGTAGGTAAGTAATTAGTTATGATCTGCCTCCGCGTCCGCTCCCGCTTCCCCTGTCACGCACAGCTGATTCGTCCAGGCTGATTTGATGGCCGTCGGTCAGTCGATTGGCATGTGTATGTAATTATTTACCTACTACGCCGTTCCTCTCATCGCTTTGCTCTGCTTTGCTTTGCTTTGTTCCCTCACTGAATGTAGTACGTAGTACGTAGGTAAGGGTAAGGTAAGGTGGTATAAGTAATAGAGAGGTAGTAGGTAGGTATGTATCTAAGTTAGCTACCTACCTAACCTTAGGCTACCTATTGTAGGCTAGGTAGGGGAGTTAGGTAGGTATTTTTCGGGGATAGCAGGCGTGCTGTAGGTTCTGTAGGTACTAAAACTCAAATGACTCGTTCGTCCAAGCCAATGCAAACGCAACGCAACGTAGTGTGTATGTGTGTGTGCGTGTGTGTGTGTGTGTGTGTGTGTGCTGTAAATCAATCCAGCAGAAACTGAGCAAAAGCAAAGCAACGCAGCCCAGCTCGCCAGTCACAGAAAAACCCAACAGAATGTCCTGCAGATTCAAATGCGCGCTTGCCCTACACTAGTGGAGTCTTGGTGCAGCTGGAATACAGGGATCCGATGTCTCTGGGTCTGGTGTTTGTGGCCTGTCCAGTCTCCAGTCTTGGGCCTCTCGCGTCTGCCGGGACTCATCCCAGTGTCGTGGGAACTGCCTGGGCTGGGCAGTGGGACACGGCCTGCTTTCTGCTTCGGTGTCTGCTTCCGCTCCCCGTTTCCTAAAGCCGAGACTCGCGCTGAGGGACAAGGGGGGGCTGTGCTGTGCTGATGGAGTGTACCCTTACCCTTACCTGCTTGGACTAGAGCCTAGAGGTATATACTAGTCGAGCATGAAGAAGAGCAGGATCGACAAGGCAAATAAGAACTCTTGGTGCATCGTAACTAGGTATGTCTGGCAACGATGCAGCGATTTCAATAATAATCCGTTGAGGGGTACCTACTTGGTACTTGCTGCGCCAAGAAGACTATAAGTTTACCTAGGTATCTATTGCGTGCACTAATCCTACGTGACACCCCATCTACCGACTCCTATACTACTTACTGACGTAGATATTCTATTCCAAAAAATAAAAGTTTGAGAACTTTTCTTCTTTCTAGTTATAGGCATTTCAATCAAGGTATTCGTTGCCTAGCAGAGCTCGGGTGCCTATACTACGTGCTGTAGCTCTAGTACTTGGGGAGGTAAGAAACATGCCTGCCTACCTACCACTTTGTACATATAAAGTATGACTGTGCCCAGAGCGTAGGTAGACGATGTCGCTATGCCCAGAGTCTAAGCTCAAGCACTTGTACGTGGACCAAGGCTCTAGGGACAATAGGTAGGTAGGCTGATTTATGAGGATCAAATCCCCTACACAGCAGTCAGTAACCTGATGCGGACCTCGGCCATGAGCCCTTCAGCGCGCGGTTCCTTTTCCATAAGTACATGCTCGGGGTTTAGGTCATTCTGACTGCTCTGACTTAAGTCATGGTTCTGACGCACCGATATAAAGCAGTCCACACAGGTAACCATCTGGGGCCACAGTTAGGGGGGCGAAACCAAGTTACCGAGGAACGCGGAAAAGGGCAAAAGCAATAGTGTCTGTAGTCAGGCAAGAAATAAGATGGAAGTGAAGTAAGCGAGATGGGCAAGCTGAAGGGGGATGGCGCTGTTGTGTCCCGAAGTTCGCGAGCAGCAACAGATCATGACACCTATTACTCGAGTAGGAAATACATGCCGTCCAATCAAAATAAGTCTTATTGGCAAGTTAGCTACACATTAGGTAGGTAGGTAGGTATGAGATGGTCGATAATGCTTACCTCCCTCGCCTACTACATGTGTAAAGTACCCGAGTTGCTCAACTTGAGGTGTCTACATATTATATGTGCACATAATCAACATGACAAAAGGATAGGCATATACGTAATGATATAGACCGTTTTATACCATACCATATCATACATGACTACATACTATATATCTATCGCCTCCCTACTTCAGAAGGCGGCATAAAGCGAGCGTCGTGGGTTGGTACCGGTGTGGCTGAATCATGTTTCCAATTTTAGCTACCGTACGTTAGTTAGTACTGTATGTACTCAGATACCTAGTAGTGGAGATGGAGACCATTTGATCTAAACTCCTAGTCTCCGACCATTCCACATGTTGTCTGACTCGCACTCTGCTGGAAGTAGGTGTCTGTTGCAAGAAATGCTTCTAGATCCAAAATCAAAGATACGCCAGAAAAACAACTCCCATGACCTTACGAAAACCATTATAGGTGCCAACAAGAGTTAGCGTTTCCCAGACAAAATCGGCAAGGCCGTAACTTCGTTTACTATGCTCTGGCTCTCTGTACGCTACGGTATTTCTGCCAACATACAGAGTACAGTATTACACATAATGTAGCTATCTACAATAAAGCCGTACACGTAAGTATGTGTTCGGTGAATTGTGACGGTGCTACCTACAGTCCTACCGGCATTTGATGTTGGATCGGCCGAACGCCCATTACCTTACATTTTGATCGGCCGACTCTGACAGGTACACTCGCAGATATAGTACCTACATACTGTATATTCGACTCGAGAGAGATTTTAATGCGGCGTAAGTAGACAGTAGACCCACTAGAACGTAAGTAGTAATACTGTAGGTAGATGATTTCAAGAAACAGATAAAGAAAGAAATAACCAGATTACCAATCGATTTGTAAATATCCCCATTCTCAGCGCAAAACCATACAGGTAAAGCCTAACAACAGCAACAGCAGGGGGGGTGCAAGGAATATAGGAAATCTGAGATGTCAAACACCTAATAGCTTGCTACTTAAGTGCCAGTATTCAGGGCCACGGTTCTGGGATTGATACCTAGATCAGTGATTGTCGTCTCCCGTCCCATAAGTAAGTAAGCATTATTCAACTATTAGTACAATCGCTACAGCAGTTCACTCATCTTTGTACTTAACAGGGAGCGTAGAAGAGTGTAAGAAAAGTGCTTTGGTAGCTTGGCATCTGTAATTACATGTCATGATGTACATATTAGGTAGTACCCAGGCGAGGTACAACCAACCCAACCCAACCCAACGATTTACATATTTGATCCCCGCCAAATTCTATAAATAGAATGCTGCATGACACTATCTACAGGTAAGGGTAGCCTGTTTCTGCCTGTTCCACTCCTGTGTCTCTCACCCTCACCAATCACAGATCAGCAATGCGGGAGACGGGGTGGGTTGTCGAGGTTGTGAAGCAAGCTTCTGAGATGGAAGCCATTCCGAATCGAGTAATCGAGGGGAATATCACTGTCCACACCACCACGGAATGTGGGAGATGGAGATGGTTGTATAGTATACTACATGATAGAATGGGATAGGTATGGGGTGTATAAGATGAGCCCTCATCTGTATCAATATCAGTATGCATCGAGAGCCATGGGAATACTACCTACAGAGTATATATATGTTACCAGGTTCACATACCATCACATACCCTTACCACGCGGGAAGCAGATCGTAGATTGTAGGTAATCTACCCATAAGTGGTGTCAGCATACAAGGACACCTTCTCCTCATCCACCCACCCACGTCATTCTCGCACAAGAGGCAGAGAGAGATTTCTTTCCTGATATTTTTTTGTTGAATGCAACATAGCTTGCATTTGCATGTTGCTAAGAAATACCGATATGTCAGGCTCGAATACGACCCTGGCCAGCGTTGGATGCAACAGCGAGGCACATTTCTCCATGGTACCTAGGTTGACTGTGGCTGACAGTTTCTACTTACGCATAACAAACAGACTGTTTGATAGGTACAATAATATTTATATAAGAAAGGGAAATTGAAAAGAGGTGTGCTAGCCCAAACAGGGAATGAACAATACCCCAATTGATAATCTCTTATTCCATCTTGGCCACAGATATACTAATTATGCTAACCTCCCATGTAACCCTCACATTCCATCCCACGCTTCCTCATCCCGTGCGTCTGTTGTATATTGCCACGTGCGTTTCTTTCTCTCTCTCCTCACTCAGCCCGGGCCTCGCATTTCGCAAACGAATCGGCGGTCGTTGTGACGGTCGATCTCCGACGGGGGCCGAGAGAGGCGTCAACACCCCCCCTCTCCGAGCCGAACAGCGAATGCTACCTACAACGAATCATCTCGCCAATATTCAAATTCATCCAGGGTCGTCAGTCAGCCTTCCCATCAGGAATGGGAGGAAGGCAAGGACATATTTTCACCGCTCACCGCTAGATGCAGTGCGGCTACGCAATATATGCATTCGAAAGCGAGATGGACAGTTTGTAGCGTACGTTAGATTGATACTATGAATACAGCGTTGCATATATATGCGCAAGGGAGAGGAGCATTCGCCACTCAGCCTCCATGCTACTCTGACCAGACCTTCTCGTCAGCCTGCTCGCCAATCACACGACGTTTGCTCCCCGTAATCGGTACAGCGTATGATATCTACACAACCTTTCTTCTCGTTCAATGGCTTGAAGAAGAAGTGTCTGAGAACGCTCAGCCACGACTGTGTCTAGACCGACTTGACGCAACGCACGGCTGAAACATGACGCCTTCTGGGGTCACTTTGATTGGCTCTTTTGACTTCACTTAGAAAATGATAACGCCGAAAGCGTATATCGCGATCCGGCGGGTTCCATCATAGGCGAGCTTCATGCGCCGATTCTCCTTTTTAGACACCTCCGCAAGAGAAAACAACTCAAGATGACCAGAAGTGTAAAGACGGCTTTGATCGTGTCACGCTTGGCTAACTGGGCGTAAGTTAGAAATTGAGAATGAAATTCGGATACCCTAGTTGTTTCGCTAGTCGATGTGAAATATACGCCACCACAATACTTGGGAGGTGGAATTTGTCATTTAAAGTATCACCTGCTGTAGAATTAGCAACTTGTAATTCCAGGTGATTATTCTTCTATATTATTCCTAGTTCAAAGTGTGTCGAGATATTTCACTAGTCACTCTACATCTGGCGAGAGTCCGAACAATCAAGACGAGGTACCCTTTAACTAGATTCTATCTACCTTCATTGTGTTCCTGGTTGTTACCATTCATCATAATATACATATACTACAGCATGAAAAGCCAGTTCAAGAAGACTTTCCAACGCCCAATGGGACTACGACTAGTTATTAGTATTGTGATTCATCTATCTATCCTCCTAGCGCACGTACAACTATATCGAAGCTCAGACCTCTCCAGCACCATCAACGGTAAACTCCGCGATCAATATTTACCATCGGCGAAATATAAGTCCCAAAACGCCGCTTACGAAACCACACCAGGCGTTGTCCAACTCACGCACCCCAGTTTTAGTCATCCCTCTCACTAACTCAATCCATCAAAATTCGTTTTCCTTTCATACATACGTACCTAGTGCAGAATATTTGAACCGATGCAATGGAAATAGGATTCGACCGTGCCGCATCCTACGGACCCAACGCTAGCTAGATCGGACGGCCCGTAGTGTAGTAGTGTAGTTCTATTACGAAACGTGCAGATGGAAGCGTCTTTAGACGGACGGGGGAGGGAAAAAAAGTTTGAATTGCCCTCGGCATCTAACCCTGACTACTTCTACCTAGTAATTACATGCCTAGTGTACGATGGTTATACGGATAAGGTAAAATAAGGTTTCTGTAGATTTTCACTAGTTTGGTGGACTTGTATGATCTTTCTGAATGTGGACAATGACATGGGGTTTATTGGTTGAGGACCGATATTTTTTATTCGTTGGTAACGCAAATACATGCTGTGTGCCAAGAAGTCATTATTGAGACGAGTTGAGATGTGGGAGATTACGATATTGCACTCGACATACGTAGGAGCTCTTTTTTTCTATCTTGGATCCATGGCTACTAGATAACTACTATCATCTCAGGGTCGTCCAAATAGCATATACGCTGTTACGATCGCTATATTAGCTTGCTCGTAAGCGTCAGAGGGTGCTGTCACTGAATTCGCTAAATATAGAATATGGAGTTAAGAATCCACGGATGGAGATTGTGACACGAGGTTTGTCCAGGTTGAGGTGTAATTGGCGTCCAAGCTTCAAGGCAAATTAGAGTAATATTGATGGATAAATTTACTCGCTATACTTGCTACAGTATATAGAAATAATTGATTGTATATTTCAATCTTATAATTTTATCCGTTTTAGGTCACTCAAGTGAGGGCACAACAATGGCCCATCTGCTAGTCTTGAGCTATCTACTCAAACTCAAATTCCCCCAAAAGTGATGCCCCTTAAGGCACAACAAAGGCTGCTACCATGGCCTGAAAATAATATTCCTTGCAATTCGACAACATGATATGACTACAAAGGGCCTTGCAGATCTATTCGGATCGATTCTGGTCTACAAGGCCAGATCTATATTTACCAGCGAGTAGCTATCCATACGTTCCCAGATCTTCCAAAATGTCTCATATCAGCGAGGGCCAAGCAATCCCACTTTCAATCGGTTAGCTTTACACTACAACCTTGTGAAGATAAACTGGGAACGTAAGATATGGGGGCGTAAAGGACCCTTGTCATCGCGTAAGGAGCCCCGATCACCCGGTGCCGTAGCGTAACACGGAGCCTCTTCGAGACTGTCTCTAATTGAGCACCGAAGCCTGCATATATGACGCGTACGGCGTGTTCGCCGCCTCGAACGCGTGTAATATGTCACCCTAGCTGCGAATCAAAGGCTAATTATGTTGGTAGATTCAAAACGAACGAGTGTCTTCTAGCCTCGTCTATTCCGCAATTATCCCATAGTGTGATGCTAAGTAGCAAAAACAGTGGGACTAAACACTGAGTTAGGCCAGCTATTTACTTGCAGACTCCGTAATTGCTGAGTGTTGGGAGAATAACGACGTGAGTTTCCTATGGGTAGATGAACCTTATTATGTACATCGGGATAGATGGTCGCAGTGTGGCAGATGCCACAGTACTGCCCAGCTATATTTCAATGTTGTTTTACTATGACTACGTGAAGAGGGAAGTTCTGGCTCTATTCCAAGTTTGAATTGTGTCAACTTTGTATTCTCAATTTCCAGAACGAAATCTCTACCTCCTCCTCTTATTGGTACTCTAGGGGGTACCGCACACTTTGAATTTGCCCTCGGGGCGATCAGTCACAGAACCTAGGAGGTCTACGGCCAGATCTCTTCAGACTCGACTTTTCCTGTGTTTACTGCGCCCTTCGCATGGAGGGAGGGATCGAAACGGTAACGCTACGGCTGTCATAGATTTGATTTGCTCAACGCGTGGTATCTTCCTCGAGGCTAGAGCACGCCCCCATGCCTCTATGGGAGGTTTCCGAAGAGTATCTCTATTTCATGGACTCCATCGCTGGCGGTCAGAAAGCACAATAATAATGCCTCTGGCTCATAGCGCGCCATTATAACATGCGTGCTGCCTAGCTACTGAAAGGGACCCATCTGGACTTTTTCCGGCAAGAAAGAAGCTTGATGCAATAGGAAGATTATGCTGGTACATATATATATAAGGTAGATGGTCTAACTTAAATGATAAGCGCAAAAGATTTCTTCGTACAAATAACTCCCTCCTTCAACTGGGGCCCTTTGATCTTCCCGTCGTTCTCTTGTCTTTCGTCTTTGGTTTTCTTCCCTCGAAAATTTCCATAGTTTCGAGCACATTACTCAAAGCACGACGGTCTGGTACGGTAAGTCTGGTCTGTTTGTTCTGAGGCCAAAATGGCATCGTTCTCGCGGGAGCCCAAGCATCCCATTCGAGATTCTGCTCGTGCTGAGAAAAGGTGACCAACATATCGATGGCTTCCACTAGTTCCTTTCTTTGGAAGCGGAGATTTCCCAGACTCTCTTGTGGCGCTGTTGCTGCCTGCCTAGAGTAATCTCGTGCACATTTCTGTAGGGCAACTGCTAGAGGGCCATATCGCAGTGATGTGGGCCAACTTAGAAGCAAGATCGAGGCAATCCTTAGCTGGATCAAGATCGTCCTCGCTAACCCGTTCTCGCATGCAAACCGCAAATATCTTGTTGCAATATGTTCTAGCGAATCATTCCATGGCCAGTTATCCCTTTGCTCCATCAGATTCGGATTGACGCTCTTTTCGAAGATCATCAGGTGGCGGAGTAGTTCTTCCTCGGGCAAATTAGTGAGCACGAAATCCAAGAGAAATTTCTTGTCGAGATACTCCGACATGGCTCTGACCGTAACCTCCAAGTCGTCGCCAAGTTTGGCTGGCACTGGACTGTGTGCTGATTCGTTCGAGGGTAGGACCCTTGCAAGGTACGATCTCATAGACCGCTGGACTAGATACTCTGCTTCAGCTTGAGAGAACGACAAAACTCCCGACCCCTCTCGATTGTGAAGAAACTCTTTGACTGTGCGGTGAAGGAGCTGGACAGTGAAGTGCGGCTTTATTTCCGTATTCTCCCGGAAATTAGACCTGACGAATTGTGTTTGAGGTAGTATGAGTTCGATGAATGGACCACATCTGAAACGAAGCTGGCGATAAAATCCAAGCCACGACTTTGCTTGGAGTTGCGAAGCCTGCCTCGTGTCCCAAACCATGTTGGGAGTGAGAAGTGCCTTATTATCCGTCTCAAGACCAAGCGCCTCGAAGAGCTCATCCAATGCCAGTGGTCGCAGTGTGCTTGCCCCAACTACCCACATCAACGCACTTCTAGTGATCCTTAACTCTTCAAGCGAAAAGCGAGCCTCGAGCTCACTCACGGCGAATCTATAGAAGTCCACAAGGTCATGAGGTAGAGCCTCGAGATCTGACTCTAGCATCTCCAAAGTATAGAATCCTCGCCGTGCTCGACCTATCAAGGCCTGCATCACTAGTTTGACCCATAGAATAACACCGTCTGCATTTTCTGCAATATGATCGCCTATCCTGGCAAGGATCCCGGCCTCGCCATTCCTCTGCGGCGTACTGAAGGTAAAATCCATTTCTTCCTCGCCATCGGACTCAAAAGCGTTGATTGCGTCATTGACAGACGTAAGGCCATTGGCTATGATTATGGCGATATCTTCTCTGTTTTCTTTCTCCAATACGACAAGGGACAAGAGGTCCTCATCCCGAGAGAGTTTGCGAAGAGCGCGGTTCATATCCGCGGTGTAGCGGCTTGTGACTATGAACCGTAGACAGGAACGTGTTTCGCGGCATAAGTTTGCCATCAGGTTGATGATGCGAGAGCGCAGCTCGTATGTGCCGCCGCTATCGTCAGATTCGTCCATGGCGTCTATTATGCATACTGCTGGAATCCCCTGGGAAGCGAGACTAAGCAGTATCCCTTCGTAATCATCAATTGTCCATTTCTCCTGGTTCTCTCCCTTCTGCCGATAGATAGAAGAATACTGGTGGAACGAAGCTTTATTCTGCGCAAGAATCTGACTGAGAAAGGAGCGGAGACATAGAATATGTGATTTGGTCGTATCACCATGACGTGTGCTGTAGAACCAGTCGCTTATTGGTGGTAGAGGAACACCTTGCAGTCTAGACTTCCAAGTCTGTCCGATCTTTGAACGGATGGTCTTCGCCAAGACGGATTTGCCACACCCAGCTTTACCCTCTATCCAGAGGATGCCCGACGATTTCTGAGACCATGAAATGAAAGCTTGATGCTCCCAGATCCAGTCATTAGTGCCTGACTCAGCAGTGGCGACTTCGTCACGGCGGAGAAACTGTCCTTCAAACTTCAAAAGTGACAAACATTCTCCGATAATGTTAGCTTTCTTGATCGATACATTTCGCCTTGGAACACAACTCACCGTTTGCTTCGGTCTCTCTGTTTAGAACTTGATGGGGGTTTAAGAAGGACGGAGCTGTCACTACGGATGTGACGGTAATGATTAGTTGGACTTGAACATTTTTGGTGAGATCTCCACTATAAAGATCCGCGAGGAACTGAGATGACTGGTGATGGAAGTCATCATTCAGCCATTCGCCATGACAGACGGATATGACAACCGGGGCTCCATTTAGGTCGACCAAGGATTGAAAGAACACTGTCAGTCGGTCCAAAAAAGAAGGAGTAGGCGTGTGCGTGAGATTCACGGTGCCCAACCAGCTCAAGAAAAGGTTCCTGAATCTCGGGCGCCACAGAAGAATCTGTACTATTAAGGACCAAATAAAAGCTTGATGCTGGGATAAGGAGTTGTCATTGATGCTCTCCGGAGAAACGCAGTAAAAAAGATACAGCCGCCTATGCTTGGCAAAAGTGACTGAGGAAGACTTCAAGTCTTTATTTAGATTCAAGGGAACGGCCGGAACGATCCGGGCATTGCCAAGTTTCCCCTCCAAGCTAGGAGGTGACTTGTTGTTCCGGACCTGTTTCTTAGAGGGTTTGGGGGCTTGCTTATCTTTTCGCACAAGGAACCCAAGGACTGAAAGAGACACAGTCTCGTGTTCGATAGTCACTTGCTCATAGGTCTGGTCATCGTCGGACAAAACCTGGTACCAGAGATGTCTATGTAGACCTGATGTAAATCTACCAAAAGGAGCGGTATTTGACAAAGTCTTGGAGACTTCCGGTTTGGATTCTAAAAAGGCTAGAATGGTCTCTGCCCATTTAGTAGAGATAGTCTCTTGATCGAAACGCGTGCTCAGGGTAGAACGTATCTCTGTTGGAAGTACTTGAAGAGCTTCTTGAAGTGGAAAATCGTCCCCTATCTTCCCATTAGAATTCTCATCAGACTAAGTGTCTGGAGTATGTATAACTACCTCCAAACATTGCTGGTGCATGGGAAATAGCTTGTTGACTCGCCAGGCGCTGTAGAGGAAGGGATTGTTGACCCGGACCACCAATCGTTGGGTGCATGAATCCGACTATAGGATTTTCCAGAACCCCGGCTCTAGGGTCATCATTCCGCTCGCATCTCTCTAGAATTGCACAAGTCACTGCGGCAGCCGTTGCAGCCGCAAAATCTTGCCACTTCTTGTTCTTGTGGCTGTCCGCGTAATCGCATACGCCTTTCACGACAATGGAAGGAAGTTCCTCCCATAAACCAGCACCCTCCATCTCAAAAGCTAGAGCTTTGACCTTTTTCGCGATACGATCTCGATCAGACCCTGATTTCATGACTGTATCTCCAGACGCAACAACACCAAACATGATGGCCGGCTGTTGAATCTCAAAGCCGGAGTCTTGCTCCTTTTCGAGAGATTGTCTCATCTCTAAGCGAACTCTCGAAATCAGATTCTCCTCGTCGCAACCTGTGTCGACACAAGATGAAAGTAATGCCAAGTCGCAAACACGATGCCTTGGCCCCAAAGGGCGACCACATGAGCAACCAACAGGACCGTAATGTTGGTGTGGATAGTTGCTGTTGAACAGTTTGTCTTGCGATGTTCCCGGATACGCATAACTTCGACGGCCAAGATCCTCAGCTTTACTCTGCAGCTGACCGAGGAAGAAAGCAGTGCGCTGTTGAAGGCGTGCACGACCAAACTGCGTTGTTAAGCCTGCTAACAGACTCATGACGGACTTGGCCGGCTTCCCGAGCGAGTTGCTGCGGTCTGTTCGTATTTGGAATCCGTCGGGGTATTGTTTGCCCATATCGAATTGCTCGAGCCTTTCGGATACAATCACGTCGCCTAGTAGGATCTCATCGCCGTTTTTCCATTCTATCGGGACTCCCCCACAGATACCAACAAGTACAGCGAATCTGACATCCGGGTATGAGATTCGAAGACCTCTTGTCGCACTTGCCGCATGGACTTTCCCCATTCCGGGGAGCAGAAGTAGAACGACATTATGAACCCCTAATCGTCCGGTTATATAGTAATTATAGTCGTTTGGTGCGCGACCATATCCGAGCCCGTGATTATCCCATAGCTCATCGAGGAGTAGACATATGGCATCAAACTCTAGAGGAAGAGCACATATGATGGCTATCTTGAAGTCCCCTCGATCTCGTGGTTGTCGTTGTGTTTGTTCAAGCAACCATCCTGCGTGGGCATCTTGACTTGTCCCCTCGTAACCACGCAAGGATACCTTAGGAAGAAGATTCTCCATTAAAGGATTTGAGTTGAGATCATGAGCAATGTGAGTTCAAGTGATGCAGCAGAAAATAATAACCATTATCATCTAGATAGATGCCGAGTGAGGATCATATTAGACCCCCAATGCTCAGCCCCTCACCGGCTGAGACAACTGCAGCAGCTGGATTACGTGATGACATATTCAAACGAGAATCGGAAAAGCCACTTGTGGCGGTGCATTCTGTCAGATTTTCAGTGCTTGCGATAGCTACATTACATGCTCGAAGTAAAGGTGCAGAAAGTGCTATATGAATATATATATATATCATTATTTAATGAAGTGTACTTTAGTTGCTTTAAATTATTTTATTTAAAATTTCATATCATAGCTCCCTGGTAGTAGAGCCAACCTAGCTTACGCCCAAAGCGGTGTTATCCATTAATATAGACCCCTATTTGCCATATATTCCTTATTCCTAACACCCCAGCACGATACCTAAGGTAATACATCTGAAAACCATTAAACATGATACGTGTCATACAGGGTGGCAATAGGATCCTCGGCAGGGATCACAATGACCCCCGGAAGCAACCCCTTTACTATTGCCCACATCTCTTCCTCTTCATCGATGTTCCAGTATGAACTTTGTCGAAGATAGGCGTGTGCCTTCATGCGCATAAGCTGCCAAAGCCTCTCAAAATCTTCGAAATCTCGCTCAAGCCAGGCGATCGTGACGACGGTCCACCCGATTAACGAAACATCCCCAGCAGTGCTATGTGACAAGTCACGAGCGTTGATGAATTCTGTTACTCCTTTGCTAAGTAACTCTGCTGGCTCACCCCCTATCTCATCCGCTACACGGGAACTGAAGGATCCGTCGTAGTTTTGAGCAGATAGCAACTTGCGCAAAGTTTCCTTCTTTCTTCTCTGCTGTGTGTCATCCTCGATTACGTCCTCCTGTTTGCCAATTTCTGGTATGGAAAGATAATGGAAACGATCCAGAAGGGATGTTGAAGGAGCAAGTAGCCTTTGGGACTGTCTATTTTCTGGCTCTGGGTTTCTGGGCGCTGGAATAGGCGCGCGACAAGGGCGACCGAGAGGCAAATTATTGTAGGAATCCGTAACTGATGGTGCTGAATTTCTTTTGCCGCGTGCATATTGCACGACCGGGTAATAAGCACTGCTTGCGGAAGGACGCATCCTCTCGTGGCTAGAAGTTATACAATAATTGCCTCGCAAGTGTGCGCCGACATTAACGTACTGTAGTTCATCAGAGGTCTCGGCATTAGGCCTCTCGTTCTGAAGTTTCTCTTTCTGATGTCCTTCAGCATGACGCATCTGGCGGCGCTCTTGGTCCCATCGAGCCGAGTCTGCCTTAAGGTCATCGATCATAGCCTTCAATACTCTTAGCGAAAGAAAGCGTGTTAGCGGATGCTATTCTGTGACTTACTGTCGTCAAGTTCCGGTATGCAGTTACGTAATAGCCCTGAATTTCCTATGAATTTTCATTTGTTAGCATAGTGAAATATTTGTGTTGTTTATGTGGTAGTCCACTGCACCTGTTCTGTCTCAGGGTGGGTAAAGGTGCCAGGTTTTACCCAAGCACCAGGACCTAGATATCTCTCGATATCAGCAGTTATGACCCAGCGATCGATGCCATCTCTAGGTACAAAGTAATCGTTGGTCCGGTACATAGGGGTCCTCTTTGATAGTCTATGTTTTCTGCCTGTAGGCTCTTCGCCTGATGACCTTGGCCGTTTTCGACGGCTTGCGTCATGTCTTACTCTGTCTGAAGATTCGGATGAATCACTCTGGATACTCACTATGGAAGATCGGTGCCTTTTACCTGCGTTAGGTATGCTAATCGTGGGCTGCTGCTCTTCGAATATTATGCCAGGAGATTCGGCTTCATATCTGTCGTCAGCTTGTGTGCCAGATTGGGCTGTAATTGACTTGGGCGCGATAATACCAATAGGTAAATCTTCGAAACCATTCCATTCACTGTCCTCCCCACTACTATTTTCTGTAATATTGTCATACGCTGAAACTTCCCGTTCACCCTCTGTAAGGAGCTGGCGAGTAGCATAACTGACTGTCCTCGTTGTTATATGTGGTTGCTTCCTTTCTCTCAATAATCCCATACCACCACGGTGTATGCCAACCTTCTCAGCTGTAGTCTGGAAATTAATCTCGCCCTGGTCTTTGGGTTTTGTGAGAAAGAGATTAGTCCATCTAGAAACAAGTGACCATTTGCAGGATATGTTCTCTGCTTCGGTCTTCAGGTTATATAATCGATCCTGCTGTTCCAGCCAAGGCATGTTGGTCAACCCATTCAATTCGTCATAAGCGTCTTCAAGGTCCTGAACGACAGCATTAGCGGCAAATGTATGAATTAGCCTGTCATTCCCTTTGCACACTTCAATCGGGACCTGGACTTCCTCAACAAGCTTTTCGTTTTGACGGTAAACAATATGAAGTGCTTCAATAGTCTCATCAGAGTGAGACACGTCAATAAGCATGAATACTTGGCAGCGTGAAAACGACCCAAGCGTCGAAAGGTTCTTGGGAGATCGTTGTATCTTCCATGGTATGGATTCTAATATTGTAAACTGGTTAGCAAAATCCACGAAATATGGCTGTAAATATAGTACCATCATTTCCTCGATACCTAGTTCCAGAAGTTGAGGTGAATTCATATCACACGGACAGTCCTATAAGACCTGAAGACCCGAAGATAACCAACGCTACCCCTGGCAGAAAGTAAGGCTATAAGTAATTAGATAAGAACAACCTATTAACTGTAAGAAGACCAACAGTCAAGGCATAAATGCCCAACAGATAAAAGGGAGTCACAGATTGTATAAGGCTTGAATAAATATAAATAGCTAAGGAATCTCCTACTCCAAAATAGGAGAACAAAAGAGATCAAAGCCTTAAAAACCCCTAATAAATTATTAATAAATTATTAATAAATATAACTAAGTTCTAAGCCCTTTATAAAAGCCCTTATTATAAATAATCTACTATTCCCCTTTAAAATACTCCAATATAGCCTAAACCCCCGTTTAATAGATAAGCTTTAATAAATTCCTTTCTATATATATAGTATTATTTTAAACCTAAGTCCCTATAAATATAGGATTACTTTAATAAAATATTAACCCTACCTTTATTAAATAAAGGTATTTTAAGAAAGTTTATACCTTATATTTAATAACCCAAATATTATATACTATAATCTTAATATTCCTATTTAAAAAGTAAAAAGTAACTAATAACCTTATTAACCTAAAGCCTTAAACTTTTTTAAAATTATAAATATACCTTAACTATAAAACTTTAACTTTAATTTTTACTATTTTAATAAGGATAATTTAGATTTTAATTCCCTAAAATCTCCTTTATTATATAAAAATTATTTTAAGGATAAATAATAGTTAAATTACCTGCTTTTACTACCTTATTAAACCCTAAAGCCCAAAATTAAAGATATCCTACCCTTTAATAACTTATAAATAAAATTAAAATATATAAAGGTATTAAACAAATATTCTACTAGCCTTAATTAAAGTTTAACCTTTATTCCTAAATAAGCTATATCCCTTTTATTATTACCTATTATATTTAAACCTGCCTATTTTAATTAAATTATATCTCCTCTTTTTAAAGGATTACTTTCTTTAAAAAACCTATTTAAATTTATTAATCGATTAACTTTATAACAAAATCCTCCTATTATAACCCTTAAATTAATATTTAAAACTATAGAACTTACCTTTTATAACCTAACTATTTATAAAGATATTAAAGATATAGAAATAAAATATATAAATATAATAATTTAAAACCCCCTATAATAAATTATAAATATCTATAACTATATAAATAAAACCTTTTAGGTAGCCCAATCCTTATAAAAATATAAGCAAAAAATACTCTTTAAATAAAAGGAAGCATTTTAAAATATATATATTACTATTTATAATATATATAATACCTTAATTAATTTATATAAAATAAATATATAAATAACTTAAAAATAAATAAAATGCTTTTAATAAAAAATTATATAAAGAAGTATTACCTTCTTTTAAAATATATAAGGAACTATTATATATATTATATAAAATGCTTAATTTTAAACCAATATTATTAATTAGCTTAAAAAGATAATAGATTATTATTATTAAGCCTTTTAGACTTTTTAAAATAAGCTTATTAAATAAAAAGCTAACTATTAAAAAACTTAAAAAGTTATAAATAATTAAGCTATTATAATTAAGGAATAAATTAATTAACTTATAAACCGCTTTATTATAAACCTTAATTAAATTAATAAGTTATAAATCTATATTTAAATAATAATTTAAAAGATTTAAAAACAATTAAATAAATAAATTATACTTAATATAAATTAAATTATTAATAAGTTAAAAAAGTATAATATTATAACCAGCTTTACTAACTATTTTATTATAAAGTATTTATTATTAAAAGCTATTTTATAATAGTAAATTAATAATAAAGCATTATAAGTAGTAAAGGCTTAATTAATTACTTAAGCCTTTTAAGCTTAATATATAATAATAAAAGTTTCCCCGGGAATCCTTACCAAAATTACCCTACTTTTAAAAAGTAACCTAAAAGGAAACCCTAATAGCTTTAATAATAATAATAACCCCTTTAAAGGATAACCTTCCTATAATCCATTTAAAGAATTACCTTAAGGATTACCTTAAAACCTTAATAAAGGACCTAAAGGAGATTTAAATAATAATAATCCCTTTAACCTTTTTATTAATAAATTAATATATACCTTCTTAATTATATTTAAAAATATTAATTTTACAACTATAATACTTAATCCTATTTAACTTAATAAGCTTTATACCTATAATAAAAAGAATACTTTTAAATTTTCCCTATAATAGGTTAAAGTTAAGGATTATATATTTATATATATAGAAAGCTTTTTCCTTAATAAATATTATATTAATTAAATTAACTTCTTTATAATAAATAAAGCTTTATAATAATACTAATTTTATTAAAAGTAAATCCATTATATTAATATTATTAATACTTAAATAACTTATTAAATAGCTTTAAAAGCCTAATTTAAAGATCCTTTAATAATATATTAAAATGCTAATACCTTTATAAAGGTAAAATATTCTAATAATATTGCCCAATTCTTTATTAAAATCTTTAACCAAAATAATTTAATAAAGTAATTTAGCCTAACATTTTAAACCTTTATTACTAAATGCCTACTATTTAAACTTATAAAAATAATCTATTATAATTAAAGCTATATCCTTAGAAATAATAATAAATTTTTTAATATAATTTAAAAAGCTAATATTACTTATAAAAATATATTAATATACCTTAAGCTATTTTTAAAAGGTATACCCAATTTAATAAAGGAGCAATTAAAGTTAAGCTATTAAAATTAAAATAAAGAGAATTGCTCCAACTTAAGCTTAAACTAATTTTTAAAAAAGGATAAAAAAAGGAAACCTATTAATAAAAAGCTAAATAAACTTAAAGTTAATCTTAAAAATAATTATTAGCTTAATATTATAGCTACATTAAAGGGGATCAATTAAACTACTATTAATAAACAAAAGTAAAATAAAATTAATTATTAATAATATAATAAAAGCAATTACCACACCTTTACCTACTATACTAAAAAGAATATTAATAAAAAAAAACTTCCTTTAATCTTTAAAAAAACCTTTTTTATTAAAAAAAAACTAAATAATAATATAAAACTACCATCTATAATAAAATAAATTAAGATTAATACTATTACTATAAAGGCAATTAATCCTATATAATATATAAAAATAAAGGAATTAGATTTAAATTTTTAATTAAGCCCTATAAAGTACTATATAGGAATTTAAGCCTTTAAAAAGGTAACTTTTCCTACATTAATATAACCAAATAAATAAAAAACGAACTTTTTAAATTAACTTAAAAGAAAGCTAATTTAAAGCTTAAAATAGGTTATAAACTTATTATTCCTATAACCCTATTATATAATAATTAAAAATATTTAATTAAAGTGCTTTTAAATATAAGTAGCATTATTCCTATAATATCCTTTTTAAAGGTTAAATAATAAAAACTACTTCTTATTAAAAGAATACATCCTAAATTTATATTAGCCTTTAATACAACATATATATAAAAGGCAAAACAATATTATATAAAATAAATTATTCTCCAACATTAAAAAAATCATTTTATAAAGCTTAGCTTTAAATTAAATACCCTTAATAAGGATTATAATATTATCCTACCCTAATAGTAAATAAAGGAATATTAACTTATTTATTTCTTTAAAAATATAAGAAAAATTATATTTACCTTTAAATATTATTATAAGAATTATACTAATTAAGCTATTTTTAAACTAAGGACCGTTAAAGTTATAATAACTACATTTTAAGCAATTATTAAAGCAATAATAGAATAAATCCTTAAAGAATTTAGGAAGTTCCTTTTAATTATAACTAAAACGGCAATATAACAATTACTTAATTACTAACCTTAGGATTATATAATTAATTTTATAAATAGGAAGACTTCCCCTTAAAAACCCCTTTATACTATAAATAATTATAAATTAAATATATTTAAATTATAATTAAATAAAATGCTTAAAATTAATTATATTTATAAATTTATTATATTATATAAAGCACCCCTTATATTTATAAAAAAGAAAGACTTAAATAATCTATTATATTCCATTATAAATTATTAAAGCTTTAATGCTATTATAATACTAATAAGGTATCCTATTCCTCTTATTATAGAATTTTAGGCCAGATTTTAAAAGGCTAAATGGTTTACTAAAATTGACCTAAAATCCAGATTTTACTTAATTAAAATTAAAAAAGGTTATAAATAAAAAATAGTGTTTCATTATAAATATAAACTTTTTAAATATATAATAATGCTTATAAAACTTATTAATACTTTTATAATATTTTAATCTATAATAAATTATATTTTCCGGGACCTTATTAATATAGGGCTACTTATATACTTTAATAACCTTTTAATCTATATAAAAATAAAAAAGGAATATAATAAAATAGTTAAAGAAGTATTATAATACTTTAATAAATATAATCTAACGGTAGTACCTTAAAAATATAAATAGTATATATATAAAGTTAAATTCCTTAAATATATTATTAATGTTAATAGTATTTTAATAGCTTAAAATAAAATTAACTATATTATTAAATAAAAAGTATTAACTACTTTATATAAATTATACCAATTTATTAAATTTATAAACTTTTATTAAAGATTTATTAAAAAGTTTTTATTAATTATAAAACTATTAATGGATATAAATAAAATGGATTAATAGTAATAAAAGTAAATAAAAGCTATAAATAAAGCTTTTTTTAAATTTAAATACCGATTTATTATAGCCCTTATATTTATCCATTTTAACCCTTTTAAAGTAGCTTATATTAAAATTAATACCTTTAACTTTGCCCTTAAAGCTATATTATTATAAAAGGATAATAATGGTAAACTTTACCCTATTGCCTTTTACTTCTAAAAGTTAATACTAGTAAAAATAAACTATAAAATATATAATAACAAGTTATTTATAATAATAAATAAATTTAATTAATAGTATTAATATTTAAAAGGTGCTTAATATTAAATTAAGATCTACTTTAACTATTAAAACCTATTATACTTTATAATAATTAAAGTTTTAAATAAATAATAAATATATTAAATATAATAATTATTTATATATTAGTTTATAATAAACTATTAACCTAATAAACTAAACAAAAAGGCTAATATTATATTAAAACTAACCTAATATTGCTTTAAAAAAGGGGGGAATAAAGATTAACCGGTTAAATTAGTTTTATAGGATAGATATTTTTTATATTTTAAAGGATTAATATTTAACTTAACAATATTTATATTATTAACTTCTAAATAACTTTATAACCTTTTTATATTTAAATAGTTATTAAAGTTTATTAAACTTATTAAAAAAGCAATAAAGGATAACTTAAAATACTATTTATAAAAGGATAAACCCTTTAAAGATATAAAATTTATAAATAATCTATTATATAAAAAGGGATACCTATAGGTATTTATAGCTATATAATAAAAAGTAATAAAAATAAAGTATAATATATAAATAGCTAAATATATAGGAATAAATAAAACATTGGAACTTATTATAAAGAACTTTTAATAGCCTAACATTAAGGCAACTATAAAGGACTTTATATAAGGCTACTATACTTACCAATAAAATAAAGCCCTATAATATACCCCTTATAAATTACTTTAACCTATAAAGTTATATTATACTTTATAATAATTAGTTATAATAAACTTTATTATTAATTTACCTTTATTTAACAATTATAACTTTATTTAAGTAATAATAAATCCCTTTATAAAGATAGGATATTTTATACCTTTAAAAGTTAAAGAAAAGAAAATTAAAAATTTTATTAAAATCTTTATTAAGTATTATTAAAAATTATATAATATACCCCTTAATATAATTTTTAATAAAAACTTTAAATTTATAAATTATTTATAAAAGGACTTTTTAAAGCTTATTAATATTAAACCTTATATAAATATAACCTTTTATTCTTAAATTAATAAATAAATAAAACAGCTTAATTAAATCTTTAAAATTTACCTTTAAATATTTATTAACTATAAAATGTTTAATTAAAAAAACCTCCTATTAATTATTAAATTTATATATAATAATATTATATTAGCTTTAATATATATATCCCCCTTTTATATAAACTATAACTATTACCTAACTATATATAACCCTTTTATAGTATAACCCTACAACCTATTTAATAAGCTATACGCCTATTAAATAACGCAAATGTATAAAAAAGCTAAAAAATAATTAAAAAAGGCCTAACAGTATATAAAGGAATAGGCAGATAAAAAATAAAGGACTTTACCCTAATATATTAAAAACTAATTAATAATATTAAATATAAAAAATATTAAAACAAAAAGACCTATTAAAAAGCTAAATAAAAAAATGCTTAATCCTTTTAAAATCTATAAAGTAATTTTACCCACCACTATTAAACTTATATTACTTAAAGGTTAAAAAATCTATAATTTATTTTATATTTTACTTATTAAGCCCTATTACGTTAGCAATTAAATACTGTTTAACCCTAACTAAGTTTTATAAAAAGCGCCTTTAATAAAATCCAAAGATTATTAAATAAAAAAAATTAAAAATTCCTTAAAAACCTAAGGAAATATAAAGTACTTAATTAAATAAAAAGGTTAATTAATTAAAAAATATTAAACTTAAAAACCTTATAAGTATATAAATAATATTAATATAAAGGCTTTTATTAAATAGTTCTATTAATAAAATCCTAATAAACTAATAAACCCTTAAGCTATTAAGGCCTTAGATTTATAAACCTCCTAAAGAAGTTAATTATATTTAAAATTAAATATTAAAAGAAGGAAGATAATATTATACGGATAGTCCTATAAAACTTAAAGACCTAAAGATAATTAATATTACCCCTAGCAAAAAGTAAAGCTATAAGCAATTGGATAAGAATAACCTATTAGCTATAAGAAGATTAATAGTTAAAGTATAAATGCCTAATAGATAAAAGGGAGTTATAGATTGTATAAGGCCTAAATAAGTATAAATAGCTAAGGAATCTTCCACTTTAAAATAGGAGAGCAAGAGAAATCAAGGCCCTAGAGACCCCTAGTAGATTATTAATGAATATAACTAAGTTCCAAGCCCTCTATAAGAGCCCTTGTCACAATTCAATATCTTCTAAGTTGATATGTTGGGATAAGGCAGCGCGCATCATATGCACCGCAATGTCTTCCCTTTTTATGTGATTGGTCCGTACTATGTCCGCGTACCCGGCTCCAGACATTGCGATCCTTTCTATGTCTCTCCTAGAGACATCCGCACCTAGGCCGAGTGCAAAAAGTCGCAGCCTATTATCATTTGCTCTAGCCCGTCGGAGATAGTGGTTAATTTTGTCCATGTACCATAGCTTGCCGTCAGTAATCAAAATTATTTCTGTCCGTCCCAATGGATCACGCTTGCTTAATATCTCAGTTAATGCAGGGAGGAGGTCACTGCCTTCCAGGTCTGGGCGCAGGGCGGCTTGGATATACGCAAGCGCCGTTTCCAGAGATTGGCTAGAATAGTCATGAGAATGTGGCCATAATCTATCTTGCCGACTTCCAAATCTCCAGACGTTGAACTTCCATCCCAGCGGTACTCCTTTGAGCAAAAGTTCCATCATGGATATTAATGTTTCCATTTTGTCGGCCATGGATCCCGAACAATCGGCGACAAAGATCACCTCGCCATCGCTCATGGAGTGCCTGTCCTCCTCGGGGGCAATGGGGGGAAACGTAATCATAAGAGCTTGTTGTCCCGCGTTTATACTATCGTGGGTCTCCTTCCAAGCTTGAATTGTGTCAACTTTTTCATTCTCAATTTCGAGAACGAAATCTCCATTCAAACAATCTGGACCTCCTTGCCAAGTGACCACTGATGTTGGAATAATTTCTTGCGGGTTGGAACCAGCAAGAGCAGACCAACTATTGACATTTATTGGACGGCACAACTTTTCGATGCGGATTTCGTGGCTGGGACTATTGACTCTCAGATTTTCTGGTTCGCCTTCAACCTGTATTTCAACAGAAAATCGCCGTGGAAGGTCGGTCAAACTTGAATACTGGCTCTTCCCAGGTGATAGGCTCGTTGGCCGAGGGGCGAGAAACATTGGGATTACTAGCTTTGCATAGTCATCTTGAGTGACTTCCAGCTGCGTGATGAAAGTGAATTCGATCTTGACTTTCATTCTTGCTGGGATATTGCCAAGCTTGGCGCCGAAAATATTTCGTGTGACTTGCTTTAACAGACCAGCGGTCTCGCCACTAGTTGTTGCATCGTGGAAAAAGGTTTGAGCCTCTTTTTCTTTCTCTACCCGGGCTCTCATTATCTTTTGACAACCAATGCGGCATTCAAATTTGACCACCAACCACCCTGCCGGAAGAAGGAAATAGTACGAACTATGCTCAATAGCCGCATCCGTTTTATTATAGAAGACGTGCAAGGTGCTGATCCTCGCGGAATTGTGAAGAATCCGACCAGTAACCGACACTGATAAAGGGGGGAGAACACTCTTCGGCTCAGTCGTCCCATTATCATCTTTTCGGTGCCTTGGGTTTCTTCTGTCGAAGTCCCACTCTCGAAGGCTGGCATTGTGGTTGGAATTCGGCGGAAGAGGTTCCCGGGGATCGAGCAATCCTGCCTCGCACGAATTTGTCGAGCTCCACCAGATTCCCGGTATGAACAAGTCTTCTGTCATCACTATTCAGAAGCCTGTACAATAATGTCTAGATCACGGATTATGATATGGCCTAGATTCCATGTTACCTGGGATCATAGTTCATTTCGAAGTTGAGCGGGGTGCTATCAGATGAAAGCTAGGAGGAGCTGACCAATTCTGCTTGGCCCGCGGCTTACAGCTAGGCGTACTTCTGTGAGGCGCAGCTGGCGATTGCACTTTGTGGTGGCGGATGGGGGCGATAAATTGGGACGTTGGAGTTTGGAAAACGCCTAATTGAGCCGTGGCGCAGCTGCGGCGAAGATGCTTGTGTATATCTTCTACCACCATTCTCTAAAGCGGTTCGTAATCCCATTAACAACTCTTGCCACCTTGATGACTATTCGATAATTACGGCTGAACTCGAAGGAAGATGGTATCACCTATAGGCGTAGGAGATGCCATCGCAATCGCGAAGCTCTCCTGGTTCCTCTACCAGGCATTTGTTACTGGGCGTAGATCAGCACCGTCAGAATTCAGGCGAGTCGAAGACCAACTGCATTCTCTTTCTATTGCCCTCTTTGCGGTCGACACTGTTAAGGAAAATGAATTTAGAGATCACTGTCTCCTACAACAACAGTTCAACCAAGTTCTCATCAACTGTAGAAATGTCCTTGAGCATCTTCAAGAAGCTGTGAATGATCATTCAGTCATTGTGGAACCTACTAGCCCCGACCAACCGCGCTTCAGGCGCTGGACCAAACGATGCCTATCCACCTGGAAAAGAATATCTTGGACTGTTGATCGGCACGGCTTAACAGCTCTTGTTGATCAGATAACAGCTCACACTAACAGCTTGAACCTATTACTCCTGGTTGCTAATAGGTTCGGATTGCCTGGCCCGGAAAACGCAGACCCTCTCTGACTTTGATAATTCTAGTTCCCGTACAAGACAAATAAGAGACCAACAGCACGCCGACTCTGAGTTGAATGTTGAAAACAAATCGATGCTTCAAGAGATATATGACTATTATGTTGCAAATCTCAAGAATAGCAGGGCTCGGCAGTCTCATACAGACGGCATGGACAGTGTTGATGAACGCAGAGTCCTGTTTGAACTCCATCAGATGAATGAAGGTATTACGGAGCTCGTATGCCCCCAAACTAGCTTGGAGCTGGACCTGGAAGCTCCTCATCTAGACCTTGACCGCCTATTTGCCTGTCATTGCATGACTCCAGAGCAAGCCGGTGCACACACTCGCCACCTAGCCGCTTTCCAGCGTAAGACCCCTATATGTTATTCTGGTTTCCGAGACTTACGAGACTGGATATTTCAGTTTCCGACTTATCTTTTGCGGTCCGTCTCGCTGGAGATGAACTGTGTTGGCAATTACTTCAAGTAAAAGATAGCTATAATGGACAGCTTGTCAATCTGATGGTTAAAAACATGCATTCGAAATGTACGCGAAGTTACGTCAAGCACGTTGGGACAAATTCTGACGCTCATATAGGTGTTCGCGAATTCGAACAGAACTTTGTGAAGCCGTTGGGAAAGAGGGTTGCAACATTAATATTCAGTCAGGGAACTGATAGCCTTCTTGCCTATCTCCCGCCGAGCGGCGAACAGGGAAAGGTCCTTTCAGTTTTCAAGTAAGACAATAATTGTTACTCTATTAACTTTTATACTCTGGCTGATATACCTTCAGTGACCTAGATCCAATAAGCGGTCTTATAGAGGACGTGACATTCACCGTTGGACACACGTCGTATACAAGAGACTCCATTAATCAGATCAGCTTACTCATGTATGAGAGTCTCGCTGATGATGCCATTAGAAATTCATATTCAGACCTCCATCAATGGGTAGCAAATGGAAATGCGGAGATTGTGATTTATTATGAAGAAGATCATGATTCAATGAATCCAGACGACATCGTCAGAACGGACATAAAATGTGAGTTGCCTCAAGAATACATATCTTTAATCGAGACCTTCTGACGAATGGATTTTAGTTTCTCTCGCCACCTCTATTCATCTGAATACTTCTGATGCTAATTCTGCTGTTCAACTTGAGAATATCGAATGTGTAAGCATCGATAGGCAAGACGCACCGAGTCGTGTCGAGGGCGCTACTGTGACATTTCATACATCGACCCCAGATGGTGGGCATCTAGATCTCACCAAGTCAGTCTTTTCAAACTAATCTGGCGACAGGAGCACGTCAATTACACACCAAGATAAAGGCTATCTTAAAGGAATTACTTGCACTTCAGATTCGTTTTCCTCGACAAGACGAGGAGATCATTTATAGTCTGCAAGTCTATTATCCTTGCCTTATGATTTCTATCGCTAAACTAACAATTTACACACAGCCAATCGGTTTCATTCAAGAATGCCATTGTTGACATATCTGACGGCGAACTTATAGTCACAAGGAATGTCACAGGAGATCATCGGCTCATCATCTATAGCCGCGACGGATGCACAACTTTAAGCTCAGAACGTAATCACCAATATCTGCTGAACTGTAAACCGACGTTCACTAGCTGATTAGATGATAGTCAAACCCGAGTTCTTCAAGGAGGGAGGCCAAGGGTCGGTCTTTTCTGCACCTGCAGATGTGATTCAGTTACAGAATCGAGGAGTTCGTAAAATAATGAGATATAAAGAGGGCTTCCAGGCAAACAACTTCGGAAATACCAATTGTAAGTGTTGCTGCTTAGAAGTTCTCTAAAGAAATCTTGTATTGCTGACCTGAAACCTGAGCAGCTGCAAAGATGATTGAGCTAGCCCGGAAGACAATAGCCGCAAGTCTCCCAATTAGGACCATCAACGTGGACTAAGAGACCGATTTGAAAAGGACAAGTCTGGATGTGCAGTAGGGCCCACTCTAAACGTGCAGTACGCAGTTGTTGGCAGGAGTTTTCAGCTGGCTACGACATCTGCACACTGTATACATTAACGCACCAAAATCATAGGTTGTAAGGTATAAGGTTATCGTGAGTTATTAACCAGCGCCATTTTCAACTATATATTTATTTCAAAAGTACAACGTCAATACGTAGGTTCGGGTTGTAAATATACCGGTAGCCTGATATTGGTACGGTAGGCTAATAGTTGAAGCCTTGAAGGTGTAGATAGTGCGGGGAAAACGGTGCTAACGAGTCGCTGCAGCCCGCTACAGTCTTTGGCGGCTGACTACAGCTGCGTACTGCACGTTTAGAGTGGGCCCTACTGCACATCCAGACCTGTCCTTTGAAAACCCAATCTCAAGCATTTGCCCATATAGACTGTTTTACGGGGTGTTCGTAGGGAGGGATAAAACGTTTACGATATCATACACGTCGAATGCGCTGGATCGGAAGGCGCGGTGTGTCTCGAGGTGAGGCTATTCAGCCCTCGGTGCTATAAGATATATTAATGGACCTGGGAGGTTAGATAGTATATGTATCTCTCACACCTGAAAAGCTTCTGAGCAGATGCATACAGTCCTTAGCAGCCTAACACGATTATTGGTTAATTGAGTCTCTCCAAGCCCTAACTCCGTCTAACTCTACCCGATCGCACTGCTCCTGCTGATTACTGGAAGCAATTGCGGTATAAAGCCAGCTAACTGCGTCGCCGCTCAGCGTTTAAGAAACATGACGAAAGTGACAATATGAAATTCGACACCCGAGCCGAATCCGTTCTCGGCCTTCGCATTAATACAGCTGCTATCTAATGATACAAGATGGGTAACGACTACTGCGTGTGTGGATCACCCGCTAGGTCGATTTCGACCCCAGATCTCCGCCAGATCTCGGGGCGAAGTGCTGGTTCCGTCACTGGAGATTCCCCTCCTTCCTCTTCGATAGCGAAATCGGATTATTGCTTCGGGAATAAGACGATATTAGTGGGAAAGAAAAGATCACCGCTTTTTTATACATGAGTTGTTATCTGAGCGTAAGTTCGTGATCTCAGATTACTCTGCATTTCGAAGCTCGGGAAATTGCTCATAGTATGTTTGGGAGCTTCACTACCCCCTTCGGTAAACATGCTAGCTTTATTACTTAAGCGGAAAGTGGAAATCAATTCATTCAGTCGGCCACTGCATATTCAATCTTTGATGAGATAATATCTGTTAGGAAATGGTGAACATGGGCGACTCGACCGGAGAGAAAGACGAGGTCGAGCATTCGACAACTTATCGTGTAGCGAAACAGATACTAGGCTTCATCATAGACAACTGGCTAGTCATCGGCTTTGGCGTCGCTGCTGTCTTGGGCTACTTCTTTCCTCGTACGTCCAACTCCTTACTGATACCGGGTGAGACGCATGAGCTGAATCTTTTTCTGTAGATGTAGCGGCGCGTGGAGGCGTCATAAGATCCGAGTATTCGATCCTATACGGGGCCATTGCGCTCATCTTCCTGATTAATGGAGCCCAACTGAGCCCAGAAAAGCTCAAGGAGCATGCGATGAATTGGCGGTTGCACGTTGTGGTGCAAGTAACGAACCTCCTTCTCATACCTGTCATACAACTCAGTAAGTCGCCCTTCTCACACTACAAATTCCAGGATAATGGCCGATTAATCTCTTTTTAGTCTTGATATATATCATAATAGCTGCCGGAGGGATCTCCTCGGGCAACATCGACCCGAGCATCATAGTTGGGATGGTCATCGTCGCTTGCATTCCGACGACCGTCGCGTCTAATGTCGTTATGACGCGCAATGCAGGTGGCGATGAAGCTGCGGCTATCATTGAGGTAGTCATTGGCAATGTGATTGGCGCCTTCATATCACCTTTCTTGATCTACGGCTTTCTGCCACATGACCCGGCGCTCGAAGCTCTACGTCCCGCGACACCGAGCACGCTAGGACCAGTGTACGTTTCTGTCTTGAAGCAGCTTGGACTGAGTGTCCTGGTGCCGCTGGCGGTCGGCCAAGGTGTGCGATGGACATTGCCGAGACAGACTACTTGGGTCTTGAGGACATTTTACCTTGCAAAACTCGGCTCTTTTCTGATGGTCTTGGTGGCATGGTGCGTATCTATTCCCATGTACTAATTGAGACGCGATAACTAAGTGATATATAGGTCGACATTTTCGAGCGCTTTTGAAACTGGCGCACTCGAGTTGCTGCCCAAATCGTCCGTGATCTTCAATGTGTTCTTGAACATAGCAGAGTATCTCGTTTTCACCGTTGTTTGCTTTTATATAGCCTACCCTCCTTTACCCGTCGTCGAGTTATTGAATGTACATATCGCCGATTCCAAGCTCGGCACCCGCCTGCCGGATGTGTTGCGACGGGCCATCACGGTGAAGAGGATGCCGAGAGATCTAGTGGTAGCCGTCTGTTTCTGTGGCGCTGCAAAGACGACGAGCGTAGGCATCCCGCTAGCTGCAGCGATGTGGTCAAAGCAAGACAACTTTACAATCGCATCGATTCAGGTCCCGGTTCTACTTTACACCGTAGAGCAGGTGTTTATCGCGCAATTTCTGACGATTTTCTTCAAGTGGTGGTTACAGCGAGGCAAGAAGCAGGTCACGGATGTGGAGTCATCAGAGACAGATGACGTTGGAGACCGCGAGCAAGCTGTAAGAACTTCTCACAGCTCTAGCAATGAGAAATAATGAGTTTATGAAAACAATAGGCTACCTAGATAATCAGTAATATATTGATACTTATCTTGACATTACGAGCTGAGATGAGACTTCAACGGCCGACCAACCAAGCGCCTTCACGGTTTGAGCCACTTTGCTTGGTCCCTTTCTGTCTATCTTTCTTTCTTTCTTTTTTTCATCTCTCCCTCTCTCCTTTTTCTATATAGACCATCTTCCTCGAACAAATAAAATTCCCTCTAGCAGCGAATAGTCTCGATATCTCGTCTACGCACATTGGTACGCGAGAGATTATTCTAGAATCGCGAGACTTTGAAGAGCTTGGAAGAGTAGATGATGCGCCTAATGTACCTAGGTACATTTAGCACTGTCCACAGCATGCACCCCGGCTCTGGCCGAAACGCCGTAGCGAGGGTTAGGCAGCTGGGCCCACTATGACAGAGGCATGTCGCAGACTAACCACCCGTAGACGTCACTGTACCCCTCTAGAATCATCTGGAGATGGGGTAGGTAGGGATATAGCTTGGTGACTTGCAGTGGCATCAGGTGAATCTCCAATCGCCTGAGACCAAAAACCGGCTTCAACCGCAGACACAGACTCATAATATCACCACGTCTATTCCGTCGCGTTTTCTCTGTCTTTCTCTATTTCTCGCTGTGTGCCGACACTGCTTATTGTCATTGTATACACATTGTATACAATATAAATTTGCCCTGCTTGTCTGTATATCTCTACCTACCCATTACACCTCTGACACATCTTCCAAAGGTAACCGCTGCAAGTGGTCGACGTGGGCTAGCTTTTGAAACTTCTGAAGAGGGGTCAATATCATATCATAATTGTTTTAAGAACTTGTTTTCTGCGTCGAATATGGCTTCGCTGGCAGCCCAGCTGAGGGGTTCGTGCCAGTGCGGTCGGAACCAATATGCCATTCAAGTCCCCAGCGCCTCGTCTAGCCTAGCACAGGTGATATTCGATTCCGATGTAAATCACCGTATGTAATCCTATCCATTTCACCTCTATACACGTTTCACTCCAACCCACACCCCGCATCGTTCCTGATCGCGACTAAAAGTAGAGTTACCTGACAGGCATTTCTTCAGCGTCGCCTCTATCTGCCTTTCTTCGTGTTCCCTTGCCTTGGTATCATAGCGAAGTCTTCCCCTTCTTCCCCGACGAGTCACGATCGACTATCCGCCGTCAGTATGCTCACCCGGCCGAACGCCATGCCCAGAGAAGCTTCTGCGGGTATTGTGGCACGCCACTGTCTTATTGGTCTGAAGAGCCGCGAGGCGAGTCTGAGTACATACAATTGACCCTTGGGAGTCTTCTTACCGAAGACCTACACAATCTACAAGAACTGGGCCTACTTCCCGATGATACCGATTCAGACGAGATGGACATTGCACCCTCGCCCGTGCCATCTCCCGGAAGGGAACTGATCGGCCGTGACATTACAACCGTTCCATGGTTCGACAGTCTCATCTCGGGCAGCCGCCTAGGGAACATAAAGACTATGAAGGGGGTTCGACACACCTCAGACGGAACCGGCCGAGTAGAATTCGAGGTTACTGAGTGGACAGCCGATGATGACAATGAGAATGAAGAGAGAGAAGCCCCCACACCGGAATTCTTCACGTCAGGCTCGGGTAAGAGGAAGAGGCTAGAAACCGATGGTGACAACAATATGTCCACTCCGTCTGCTGCCTAACCCTGCCGCACTATCACCTAAGCAGCATACCATGTTCAACTGCGATCGCACTGCGTGGCAAGCGTCGAACGGCATTATAGCGATGCGATACCAACTTCCCTTTTAACGATGTTGGACTAGCAGTGTCGCTTATAGCCGGTCTGTTCGCTGTGATGATCTTGCAACTTGGCTGTCAGACATGACATCATCTTGGCAATTATAGCTCCCCGAAATTGATATTCTAGAGCATCAGTCATTAACATTAGAGAAGTATCTTGCTAGTAGGATGCTCCGGTCATTTGGCTGGATGGGGAAAAGTCATTTTCACCCGGCTGGGAACTATGAGGAGTAAAAATGCGTTAACGGGTAAGGGAATCAACGCGATGGAGAGAACTGCTGAGCTTTCTTGAGAGTTGACCTAGCGTCATGCATGGCGTCTGACTTGGCTAATGGTGCCTCGGCTGTTTATACACGTCTAAGCGTGTTGGCGTTCAAAGTCTACCTGCTTTTCTCACATCTGAATTCATCTTCATTTCCAAATATCAAAAGTTATGAGCGCTGTATGGTAGGAAGAGGGAATCTGGCCTGAAGGAATACTAAGCAAGTGTAAAATGGTACATATTCAGAAGTCAAGAAAGACCAGGGCGAGCAGGGGTCCCTCTCCATGTGGTAGGGCGTCAAAAGGCTTTAGTTTTAGAATATGTAGTCATTTTATCTGAAACATTGTCCACACATATTCACACAGATGCCGACTCTCGAGAGGACCCTGGCGTGGACGGCTCCTGTGCGTCTTCCCCACAGTCCCGAGCGCAAGGGACGGTGATACTCGGAATGGTAATCCGCATTGCGGCGATCGGCCAGCTTCCCCACGATAATTTACCCGAAGTTCCCACGACTCGCCGCAAAACACACTGCTCACATGCCTCTTGATCATCCGGGGTTGCGGGCCGTCGCAACCGTCTTGCAAAGTTGCCGCCTTGCAGGCATTCAACTTACTGCGAATGACCCTGTAATATGTATCCTATATCATGGCCTTTGCTCTGTGTTTGGTGAAAAAAGATGGTTACCCCGCGGCGGGGATTATCGCTGGCCTATCGTCGGCTGCCCATGATCCGTTCCAGGAAAGCCTGGAAACGGTCAAATGACCGCCATAAGGACTACATTCCAAAGATATAAAGGATAGATAAGTCCGGCGCTGCTGGCTTGGGTTCTTGTCACGAGCTTTAAAAACTTGTTGGTAGTGTAAAAAGGCTAAAGCCGATGAATGTCTTGGCAAGCTGCTAACCAACAAATATACCCGTTCCTCCAGACGAGATCATAGACGAGATCATAGACGTATCAAGTAGTATAACTCATCGACTCTTCTTCCCAGTCTCGTGACCATCATGTCGTTACCCTCAGACTTCCAATGGGGGTTTGCCACGGCTGCGTAAGTTGCGTCCTTACACCACTTGAGCATCTGCCGAGACTACAGATTCCCGAGCCCAAACATGACCCTGAAGCTAACCCAGACACTCATCGCCCTAGCTTCCAGGTCGAAGGTGCCACGGACAAGGACGGCCGCGGTCCAACTATATGGGACAAGTTCTGTGCGATACCAGGTAAAATTGCCGACAAGAGCGACGGATCTGTTGCTTGCGACTCATATAACCGGACCGCTGAAGATATCGAGCTCCTGAAAAGCACGAAGGCAAAGGTATACCGTTTCTCCTTATCATGGGCTCGAATTATTCCTCTCGGTGGCCGTAATGATCCCATCAACCAAAAGGGCATCGATCATTACGTTAAGTTTGTCGACGACTTACTCGAAGCTGGCATTACACCCTTCATCACCCTACTGCATTGGGATGTCCCAGATGGGATTGAGCAGCGATATGGCGGGCTTCTCAACCGAGAAGAATTCCCACTCGATTTTGAGCACTACGCTCGCGTAGTATTCAAGGCGATTCCCAAGTGCAAGAACTGGATTACCTTCAACGAGCCCTTTTGCAGCTCCATCCTCGGCTACAACACCGGTCTCTTCGCACCAGGCCATACATCTAACCGGACCAAGTCTCCTGTTGGCGACTCAAGCCGTGAGCCGTGGACAGTCGGCCACAACATCTTAGTAGCTCACGGTAGAGCTGTAAAAGTGTACCGCAAAGAATTCAAGCCCACGGACAAGGGTCAGATCGGCATCACACTGAACGGAGACTGGGCATACCCCTGGGACCCGGAGGATCCCGAGGACGTCGAAGCCGCCGAGCGCAAGATCGAATTCGCCATCTCATGGTTTGCCGACCCCGTGTATTTCGGGAAATACCCCGATTCCATGCGCAAGCAGCTCGGGGACCGTCTACCAGAGTTCACCCCAGAGGAAGCCGCGCTGGTCAAGGAGTCCAACGACTTCTACGGCATGAACCATTACACAGCCGACTACATCAAGCACAAGACCGGGGAGGCAGCGCCGGATGATTTCCTCGGGAATCTAACGACGCACTCGACCAACAAGAAAGGCGACATCATCGGCCCGGAGACGCAGTCCTTCTGGCTGCGGCCGAACCCGCAAGGGTTCCGCAACCTGATCAACTGGCTCAGCAAGCGGTACGGGTACCCGGCGATCTACGTGACGGAGAACGGGACGAGCATCAAGGGCGAGAACGACCTGCCCGTGGAGAAGATCCTCGAAGACCAGTTCCGCGTGGACTACTTCCGGGACTACATCCACGCCATGGCGAAAGCCGTGTCCGAAGACGGGTGTAATGTCAAGGGGTACATGGCGTGGTCGCTGATGGATAACTTCGAGTGGGCCGAGGGGTATGAGACGCGCTTCGGCGTCACGTACGTCGATTACAAGAATAACCAGAAGAGGACGCCTAAGAAGAGCGCGAGGGAGATGCATAAGATCTTTGAAGAGGTCATTAAGACGGATTAGATAGACTAATTACTACTCCGGAGGTGCATCGTCAGTCGGGGGGTGGAGGGAGTGTGTGGATGGTATCATGCATTGCGGGATTAGATTGGATCGTCCGTACGCTTCTGCGGCTTGGGATACCTTGGGGCATATAACATACTCTGGGAACATACATGTGATGGGGCGGTTTTTCATTATTAGGTTAGTTGATGGGTTGCTGGCATCTATCATTTACGAAAAGCAGGAGATACGCATCATACAGCTGAGTTAAGCACTGATGAGAGACAGGTAGCGAATACATGCACTTGGATAGCTGTCACACGGATGACGTGGACAGCACGGACCACCCTCTCGAGCGGGGTAATTCATGTATATAAAGGCTGGCTAGGTCCCTTTCTCCATTTCTCGAACTTGGAAGGTTAAGAGGCCCTTTAACGCCATAGCCAATTATTAGATCTTAGGAATGAAGCTATTCCCAAGCCCAGAGATACTCTGCCCTTGTGACAAATAATTGGCTACCACTTAAAGGCTTCCCCTCTTCCTTTTCGCGCTGGCAAAGACCAGGTCCTGCGAGAAGTATCCAACCAACCGCGCTAGCGATCGGGCACTGCCTGACTTTGACTAGGTCCTGCGGAAGGAAGGCATTTAGACTATTAGACATTCAGACCAGACCCTTTGAAGTACCGCGCTGGTAAAGACCAGGTCCAGCGGGCTCGAGGGCGAGCCCTGAACGAAGGAGGGAGATGGTGTCACACGGATGACGTGGACAGCACGGACCACCCTCTCGAGCGGGGTAATTCATGTATATAAAGGCTGGCTAGGTCCCTTTCTCCATTTCTCGAACTTGGAAGGTTAAGAGGCCCTTTAACGCCATAGCCAATTATTAGATCTTAGGAATGAAGCTATTCCCAAGCCCAGAGATACTCTGCCCTTGTGACAATAGCATTGATATCAATTGCGCTGTCCTGGTCCTATCTTTCGTCTCCTTTATCTCTGTAAGAACCGTAGCTCTGAGTTACGAGATTCTAAGCCGATGAGACAGCATACCATTGACCTGATCTAGTCTCCGATAATTGGTGAGAACCACTGCTTGCACAAGGGCCCCGTTCCCTATTCAGGGGGAGAGTATCGACCTAGTACCCCTTTCAGAGGGCAGTGTTGAATAGCCGACTCATGTCTAATTAAAGGGGGTAGCCAAATAGTATATGACCCATAAGATCCAAACAATAGCGACTATGAGTAGAATGATCCCAATGGTTTTCTCGACGGTATTTAGAGGGCGCTTGTCTCTCCCATTATCGCTGTTGTTATCGTGGAAAGTATTGTAGTTCATGTTCTGGGCGGATGTCAGCGCGGGGTCGGGCCCCATTGAGCCCTATGTAGATCAGCATTGACGATGTGAACGCAACTCGCAATTTAGTACTGACATCTGGATCCATTATATTAGTGATCAACAGGAATACCTCAAGTAGTCGACACAGTTGCGGATGAGTGAATGTGAATTACGAGTTTGTTGACTACAGAGGAATATAACAGTCACATTCTCACTCTCAGTGTGGCGGTGCAGCCCTATTAGTCAACAAGGGTTTCAGGGTGCTGCGCCTCTTCCTTCTGCCCCAACGACAATTGTCACGATCTCAGATATAGGGTGTAAATAACTCATGCCCGAGCCCCACAACTATCCTCTATACTACTGACACTATAGCTATATACAGAATACGTCCTTTGTCTATATCTTGTGACATTAATGATGCTTTCGCCTTATATTTACGTATGCCTTCCCCTCGCTTCATATAGTAATCGATTCCCAAGGAGCATGCGACCGGCACTGTATTCCTGTGCCTCCAAATGATTATTATTGTTGTTTTAATACGAACATTAAGCTCTGGATTTTAGAAAGCCCCTCGAAGAAAATACATAATTAGTACGAGCACTATAGAGTCGAGGGTTAATAAACAAAGCGCAAGGAGAAACCTGCTCTTGATTGTCGTCCCTATGAAATATGCCCAAAATATTGCCAAAGATAGTGGGAAGAACAAAAGTGGAGGGAGTATAAATACCACCATCCATAGAGAAAGTGCCACCGCCAACGCTATAGCACTGATCACCCACGGCAGATCTCTTTTCATCCATTCAGAGATACTGCTCCGGGCACTTTTCTTTCTCAGGGGGAACCCAAAAGATGTTGCGCCACCTTTTAAGCTTTTGTAAACTTGCCGCTTCAGATGTTTATCCGTTAGGCTGTGAGGATTAATCCCGTTTGCTTTTAACTCATCGTCAGCGGCTCTGGCGAGTAACAGTATAGCTCTTAGGCCTCGAGGTCTTTCTGGCTGGTCTTCCAGTGTCGGGAAACGACGTGTATAGTACTGAAATAAGCATGTACAGCCAGTCCATAGGATGAGTACAAGGATAAGAATAAAGAGCTGAATGTACGAAAAGCCCCAGTGGAAAGACTAGAACCGATACGTTAGGGGTTTCCATTGATACGCCAGAGCTATTTACGTACCTTCCCGAGGGTTTGGCAAGCCCCATTATCTAGCATCTCTTGGAGTGTATAGACATGATTTGCGTATGCCCAAGCTGGCTGCAAGTCATATACTTCACTGAGGGGATCGAAAACATCTCCTGGCACAACAAATGGTTCTATATCAAGTACAGGACCAGGCAGGGTTGAGCCTTGCCACTGGGATTGCGTAGAGTTATTATCGAATCTATACTTGACGATATCTGCGAAACCATTAGTCTCAATCAGATATGTTCAATTAGGACAGTTCTAACACTTGGAGACGTCCCGAAGCAGAAAACAAAGGGTCAAATCGTCTCCCTCAGTGACGGTTACACAGTCGCTAGTGTCAAATAAGTCTGTTGGGTGTAACGAAGTTTCATGGATATCATTTAGTAATATATCCCCTGAGAAACTGGTAAGTTTACTGGTTGACTCGGGTACATATGGGAGCTTCTTACAAGAATCAAGGAATGGTGGGCCGGCTGGAAGCTGGTAGTCCGTCGTCAGGTTGATCCTCTCCCCGTCGTGAATGATGTATGCCAGTAACCGGAACTCGTTATATTTCACTAGGTTTTCGGTGTCGATATCTTTAACGTATGCTCCGACTTCAGGGGAATATCCGCTCATCGCGGCAATGAGAGTTGGCCATGTCAAGATAAAAAGCATACTGAATATCGCCCAGATCGTCAATATTGTAGACCTGAGTCTACGATATAGCATAAAATCTCTTATTAAACGATATACTGACATGAAAGTCGGTCCACTTTCGATAAACAGTATGATGAACGTAGTATATGTTATCGGCGCTGTCTCCATTGAAAGTGTTGCGTAGTCTGCAAACGTGCTGTAGGCAAAGTATGCTAAAATGGACTGTCCGAGGCGCCCAATAACCTGTGATAAAGCGTGAACAGTAAGAAAATATCAGAGAGCTTTTGTGTGCATACAACATCCCATACAGTGTCGATGATCTTGACAGCTGTGAATGAATAACTCCCAAATGGAATGTTGATTTGGAAGAAACCAGAGGCATCCCAGTAATTATAGCCCACGAAAGGGCTGAACGTACCATCAGGGCGACAAGCACGAGGTATCTCGAAATGCGAGGAAAGAGACATTTCAAGTAATATGAAAAGGGTAGTGAACAAGAAACCGAACCAGAAAATGAGGGGAATTAGCCGCCACCTTGTAGACACATCAGACCAAGCATCTCGTCCAGCCTCTTTGGCACATCTCCCGAGTGCTGTGAAGGTTTTCTCTACCTTTTCAGGGACCCGCATAATTCTCTAAGCAAAGGACTTCTAGTTTTGCTGTTGATTTCGATATACCATACAGTGTAGAAGCGCACGATATAGAAGGAGAGTGTAGAACCAGAGTCATCTTAAAAAGCAGGCAAGACTATTCGGGGATTAAGTAGTCATGTCAAAATGCGAACCATAGGACTTCCCATCACTTGCAAATTATATATGCATGGCCCCCAATCAACCTGTTATTCTATTTCGGATACTGGAGGTGGCGCAGTAGGATTCATAGGTGCATGGTAACAAATAGCTTATAACAATGGAAGAGATATAGGCTTGGAACTTGATGATATTCACAATATAATGATCAACTAGGGCTGCATGAGTCCTTGACTGACCAATTCCTTCTTGGCATTGGTGGCTTGTTTTATGAAGCGAAGTCTGTATAACCTCACTCTCAATATTGCCTGCATGTTTTTGAAGATCATGAACAGCCTGAAATGGCCTTTCGTATGACCGAAGCGCAAGGCGAACTGCATGTTCAGCTTGTACGCGTGTGAAACTGCACATGTGACTTAGGTGCCCATGACTTTCGTTACGGATGTGAGCGCATCAACGCCTCTATTAGGTAATTCTATCGTCCCCTCTATTCAACGCATTTATCTCCGTGTCTCTGTATGAAAAATGGCTGTCTCAGCGCTACATACTAAATTATGAAGTAAGCAGGATGTTCAGCAGCGGCTGGCTTGTGTAGCACCAGCTGAAGGACATTAATAATTCCGGGCCAACCAGCTACTCCCGATACCACCCTATATTACAGGGTTTGTAATACAGGCCTCAAATTGAAGTAGAATGTCATTTATGTTGTTGGGGGCCTAAAGGCCTGGTTCGTTACTAGCTTAGCAGATCCTAGATCTCATGAACATATGCACCACATCACGCATACGGAACCTTCTATCTCCCCCAAAACCTATTGAGTGGCCTTATCCCAGAAGCAAACTCGACTGCAATGCAGTTGAGGGTCTCTTTAAACACATTGCCCATATAGAGGTTCGGTCATATTAGCAACCTTTGATTTCAGGTACCTAGGCATAACGCTATGTGGGTGGTAGTCAATATGGACTTCTGGCGAGATGATTTCTTGTTGGTGTCGCAGCACTCTATATACGTGATTTCAGGCGGTTGGGTTTTATATTATGTAATCTTTTGATAGTGTCGCGGTATCACGCTGCATTGTTATTCAGTGACAGTTGCCGAAATCGCTTGCACTTAGACACCCTTACATCGGCGTCCGCCAGAGTTAGTGTGGGAAGTCCAGATTCCGTCGAATCGCTTTTTAAAGCCCGTTCGCCGTCGCGTTTGGTCAATATAACCTTGCGATCAAACGTGTGGAGTTAGAGAACAGATCATGCCATGAAAGGTAAGAGAGGAGATACGACGAATACTTGAAGATATTTCAAGGTCGATATACCCCTGTGTAGGTTGGGATGTTCGATTTGGAGTCGGTCTTTTTCGATTACTATTGACAGCTAGTCTCATTGATGCTCCATAGCTGGATAAAGAACTTCTCAACCGCTTTCGAATGTGGATGGCTAGCGCATAAGGAAAACTGTGCTATTATCTTGGACCTAGTTCAGACACGCCATGGCGTGCTGACATCTCCCATGCTTCAGGATAGCCAGATACTGCCTCAGACTAGCCATGGTTTGCCGGCATCTCATACATTCCAGCTTTAACAAAATCCGTTTGTTGCAGATGTCCTTGAATCTTTGAAGTTGAAGCGTCACATTGTTTGCTTCGTTTCCGCCTTCGCTGTTGTCTATTCCCAAACGACGCCGTTAGACGTTCGAGCAGTCTAACGGTTATTATATAGCCCACCTACGTTCAACAAGGCGTTATACTGGTGGAAGAGAACAGGTAGACTGTTGAATAATCTTTTTTAAGACTTGATGGTTCTATTTCTGTATATTGAATGTCTATTTTGACCATGTCGTTCTCACTTGCCGTGAGATTATTGAGTCTTTGAGGATATACGCCATAGCGAATCGACGCCCATAGTCTATGTCTTAAATCTAATAAACCATCAAATCTAGCCGCCTAGCTGTTTAAGTATGCGATTATATGCATGATATTTCGTGAGCGAGTTTAGAATAGGACCGTCAGTCGCCACCCTGTAGACAGACCCCTAGCCACGACGAAAGCAATTAGAGCCGCCACGTAGAGGACACCAGCAAATATAATCAGCCCGTTATACGAGCCGTGGTTCTTCTCCAGAATAACGCCTGCAATAGGCACCCCGATTAAGGTACCAAAACTCGCGAGAAAGAACGCCGTGCCACTTCGCTTGCCGTAGTCCTCGGTTCGGCACACTTGGCCGATACACACAGGCGTTAAGCTGATGGCAGCGCCCGACCAAAAGCCGAATAGGGGTGCGAACGAAATGACTTGCGCTGCATTTGTACCGGCAGAGTACCAGAGGGCTAGGACCGTGGCCACACACGCAAGCGCTGTAACACACATCGTATTGAATGATCCGAAGCGGTCAGCAATATAGCCGGGAAGTGCTCGGCCAGGGACAGCACCGGCATTTAATAAGGCGTTTAGTAGATAGGCTGTCTGTCGATCTAGACCAGCATGTATGGCGTGAGAACATACATACTATCAACAAGTACTTAGAACACATGCCGGCGCAGAGAGGGAACTGCCAGGACCTCGAATATTGGGTTGATTGCAAGGAATACAGTTATGGAAGAAAGAAAACATGAGGAACAACTTACCGTGTATGGAATGAAGACAGCGAACTCGATCAGAAAGGTAGCGAGAGCAGTGGAGGCGAATCGTGGCTCAGATAGGGATTTGAAATCAACAGAAGCACCGGCCTTCTTATTCGGCGGCAGTCTCTTTCGAAGGAGGCAGGACGCAGTAATACCAGCAGCCACGTTTACAAAGCTGACAATACGCAGGGCCCATCCGAAGCCAACGCGGGGAGCAGCATATAGAATGATCAGAGGGAAGACGACGCCCCCTATCCCCCCTGCTGTGCAAGCTACCCCGGTTGCGAGGGCGCGTTTCCTGTAGAACCAGTGGCCAACGGCGGATATGCTCGGGTTGAACAGTAAAGACGCAGAGATGCCGCCTAAGACGCCAAAGGAGAGCAAGTACTGGTAGAACTCTGATAATGAATTAACTTTTGGTGTAAGAGCGATAAGGACAAGGGTGGGTAAAGTACCTTTAGAAACACTGAAGAGAAACACCGACGCAACAATGCCAATACTACCCGGAATCACCAGCAGTCGCACAGGATACGCATCGAAGATCGGACCTGTGGGCGGAATTTCAATTTATTTAGTTGAATTGGGCTTTCTGAATGGTATTCTGGTATAACTCACCCGTCTGCGCACCGGTAAAGTAGAGAAAGAAGGCGTACGTGCTGAAGATCCATCCAATCGTAGACTCTGGCAGGTCTGACAGCTCGTTCTCGGATACCCAGGCCTGCAGAATGGCGAGTGTGTTGAGCAAGCCCATTGAAGGAATCATAGCGCACCAAGCGCCTAGTACGACCAGCCATGCCTCAGTGCCACCCTCTGGGTATGCTGACGGGTCATCTTCTACTTCATTGTCTTCCATCGAATTTCTTCGGGCTGGAAGCTCTATCTTCGTTTAGCACTTACTCGAGGTACGGGGAATATTGGGATAGAGGTACCATTGCTGGCCAGCTGTGGCTCGAGACCGGACTCAGTGGTGCTGCCCATATTGTCATCCGACGCACCGAGAAGGCGGCAGGTAAATGATGGCGAAAGCTGTAGTGAACAGAGCAGAGGAAAATTGCGTGTTTATCGAATTTACGAGACCGCTTGTTGTATGTATACTATCATTCCAACGATTCACCACATACCGTCAGTGGAGACCACGCCATTCGGATCTACACTAACCGACGAGGCTTTTGAGCACAGGGCACGTGGCGTTTCTCTGCGTATTCGGATATCAAGTGCAAACATTCAGCGTTTCTCATGGGATAGAGAGTGTATAGTATCAGAATGTAAGATCAAGACATGCTGCTACATTACAAAGAAACTCCCGAGGGCCTGTCTGAGCCTGACGCTTTAGGTAGTTTTAAGGTCATCTAGCGGAAGATATGCGCCTTAGCTACACTGTAAATGCTGCGTAGCTAGGTACCTGCTTGCTTCCATTAGGTTAATACTAGCCGATCTACGGCAGCTAGCTACAGCCTATGCGGCGCTATCCCATTGTATGTCTCGGATAATGAGCCTACGTACTATTTCCACCTGTACTACCTACTGAGCAGATACTGAGGTACTGGGAGATTGAGTGAAGATTAACCAAGGTACACTTCCATGTAGTATTAAATACCTACATAATTTATACGCAAAACAATACAGAAATACTAGACAGTAGCATCATACGAGTACGAGGTATCAACGTACAAAGTACGTACATCCTACTCTGGCGGCTCTGGCAAACTGTTCATGTAGTGTCGCGTCGTATATGAAGCGCCACCACCCGCGATTCATTTATCACGTAATACTTTCTTCCAGTCCCTTGTACCCATGTCCTACAGTAAGAAACCATCGATCAAGATAAGTATCACAGACTGCCTCTAAGACTTTCATCTTCTCTTCATGGGTATGTATACCTAATGAATCTTTTGTTGGAGTGCGCTCAGAGGCGACAACAAGAACGAGATCGTCGTTGACGGTCCCGAAATTCTGACGGCATCACCGAACCCCTTGCGTGTGTAACCTGTATGTGTTGGGAGAAAAGATCTGTGTAGGGGCTTGGCATCATTAATTGGTTCGTTTCTGCCATACCTATACCCAGTTGAAGATGACAGACGCAGCGGCCGTGGCCGAATTCCTAAAGATGCGCAATCCTGAGCTGATACCTCGCCACTCTGTTCTCGTCTTGTTCATACACAGAGACAGACTTCGAGCAGGACATTCTGGTATTGCACGTCTCTCAAGTTGGTGATGCATATTTGGTTTCTGAAAATGCGGATTGTCTTGCTAGCCGGAGCGGTTCTGGCCTCGTAGTTTTCAACTGTTTCGTAGTCCTCGCGATCGTCACTGTTCATGATATTTCCTATAGCCGCAGCACTAGGTTTCTGGAAGCGAGAGCACCATGTATTTAAGAGAAAGTTCGATGCGGAGATGTTCAAAATGTGTATGACGGCTCCGAAAAAAGGCGGCTGGGTGTCTCACTGGCGTCCCCGCGTAATCTGGGGCCGGGCGATTTCGGCATAAGATGCTGAAGTTATCGAGATCATACATTTCTCGCATCCCCACTTCTTAGCTCTAGCACACCTAACAAGATATGAATGATAATGGTAGCGCCGCGAGCGCCGGTACAGCTCTAGCCGCCACAGCTGCAATGCATGGCGTGAAATTGCCGTCTAGACTCGGCGTGGTGGAGGGAACTGGCCAAAGCGTGATTAGTATCGCGGGGTAGCGACGAAAATACATAATGGCTACCCCCCGACCAAGAACACCCCGTCAAAGGAACTCATGACTTTTGGCTTTTGTTGAGTATTCATTCCCGAAATTTGCAATATGGAGTGCATGCTTACTTCATCCTGCAAGCGACGTGCCTTCTCTAGCGCAGCAATTTTTGCGATCATCCGAAGCATCTCAAGTCATTTAGAGCTGATCTCCCCTTTACCATCTACATACCTCGATGGCGAAGTCGATGGCCACAATCACGTATCTACCTTTATCCGCTCACGTCGTGTGAAGCACGTACATACTCGAGATACTGTCCCTGGACCCAAGGCAGCCGATAAGCCATCATATCAAAGATAGGTAATGCGGACTAGCAGTGGCGCCTTATGAGCTTCTAGATCTCCATCTTCCGCTTCCCGGAACAAGTCCCGTGTCACCCATGCTTGGGGCTATGGAGCGGCTCAACTAGGGTCCGCAGATCGTGTAGATAACACTGCTTAATTGCCTATCAGAGATCGACTTAGCTGTCTAGAGCATAGAAAGCCCCTTGACCTGATCCCTTACGCGCCTTGGCGGGCCACTAGGGCCCATCAAAGTGCGAGATCCCGAGCATACACCGATGGTTTCGGGCCCGTTGCCGTCTCCGATCCGCGCCCGGGTCCGCTGCTGACGTTCAGCTCGAGCTTTTATTATATGAGATACAGGCGGTTAGAACATTCGATGTCCGCATCATGTATGAAACTCCAGCTTTCCTCTCATCACCGGATTTCATCAAAAGTGAGTCACCTTCATCGTATTACCTGTCTCCTCCCTCAAACTAGTCAGCCCGTCTCATGGCGCAGTTCAGTTTCAAAGTTCTTCTCGCTAACCAGTATATTCTTCATGAAAGTGTCTAAAGAATTAGTTCCTCTTACTGTCATCAAGGGCGCTGGCCATGAGTACATTCAGCTGCCCGAGGGCAAGAACGCCCTGACAGCTGACTTTCACTCCATCCGAACCCAGACTACAGACTCCCCTACCTACCTCACTTCTGGGTTCTACAAGATAGTTGCTGGGCCATCTCTCCCATTGCATTATACGTGTGAGGAGACGAAATATGTCCTCAGCGGCCAGATAGATGTCCTTGATGAGGCCACTGGTATTCAACACCATCTAGTGCCTGGAGACTTTGCCTTCTTTTACGTTGGGTCCAAGGTTCAGGTTCGTCTGCCATCTCATTATGCCGCACTATGTTCGGACCTTGATCTCTCTTCTTCGTATCGAATACAATATGTTCATGAATAGGCGATTAACAAAATTGCATAGTTCTCGACCAAGAACGAAGGGGTCGCCTTTTACGCTGTTACACGACCTGTTAAGGGAGAGCACATTAACCTTAAGGGGCGGGAGGAGTCGAAATCGAAATCCAAATTGTAAAATACCAACTATAATGCGAGCGAATAATTCATAAATTCTGTACCAATATCACGAATATCTTACATTTGGCTACGTATATCACGATTTCGCCGCTTACGTCACTTGATACGTCACTCGGTTCTCCATTCAGGGTGCAATCTTGTCACGGAATAGTGTCCACGTGGTGATATAGCATTATTGATGGGATCACTTATTAACTGAAGACCTTCAGGGTCAGGCGTATAGGTTACAACTTGAACTTAGATCATCTGAATACAGTGTCAAAGCTCTCCGTTTCCCGTAACCATCAAGAAGCACCCAAGGCTATGTATGTTAAGGTCAGGACGAGAGCTTCGAGTAATACTTTCCATTTACAGAATTACTCAAGATGTAGACACGAAGCAAGCAACACTATTAGGGCTTTAACTTCCGAATCTAGTATATAGATGTAATCGTCTTACTTCTATTATGATATTTCCTAAGATCGCCTCCGCTCTATAAATATGAATCGAATTTGTTGTACAGACATAGAAGATTGTAATAACTGAAAATGGTACCGAACTGTCTCGAAACTAAAGAAGCGCGAATCTAATCATCGTGCCGGCCAACTCCCCATAGGCACATTGATAACTCATCGGAAAGATGTTATATGAAGTTACTGGTTTCATATACCGGATTAAGCTGTAGTTCCTGATAAGAGCTCCATGCTGTGACGACTGGTCTTTCCGTAATCATATTTTTGCTCAGTCTGGAGCATGAAAACGGGGTGGGCAGCAACAATGATGGTTGTGGCAATTATTATGGGGAATCCGTCAAATATGATAAAAAGTAACTCGTCGTGAATTAAATCTCCTCTGATACCCTCTGATAATTCTGCCACCCGGAAAGCCGATCGACCGATAATTAAGAGAATGGCGATTATTATGAGAATAGCAAATGTTCGAAGGCGTTTTGCTCGATGCATGGGCAAGTTGGAAGATGCAGGGTGCCAAATATTGCTGGGCCAGAGGACCGCTCCAAATAGAAGGAAGAAGGTGGTGAGAGAGACGAGCTGGAAAGTCAAGCCGGCAATGACAATCGCTGCCCCAGGGGTCACTCCTGTTGTTGTGACGTCTTCGGTAACCGAAACAGCACCTCCAGCACCTTGCACCACTAATGCGATTATATCGCAAGGAATGAAAAGTCGTGAGTATAATCTTGGGTTAATGTTGAGGATGCCCCGTCCTAGGAAGTCGGCCATGCGACCGATACAAACATACAAGCTATTTTGATATTAATCGTCAGCCGCTCAGCATAATCAATATGGAAACATAATCACTTAAAAAAGGGGGGCACTTACGAGGCACTTGCAAAAACGGGAGCGAAAGTGATGATGGAATATTGAAGGATCCATCCCGTAGAAAACCAGGGATCATTGTGGCCCAGAATCCGAGCCACGTAACCAACAAGCTCGAGCAAAGATCCAACGAGGATAGCAATGGTGTAGGTGAGCCACCTACGCTTCCATACAGCGATGATAACGCAGTATGAAGCTGCGATACCGTACGCAACAACGAAGAAGACGTTGATTCCCAGATTTGGTTGGTAACCGTACCATGATTGTACTGGGTCGCACGTCTGCACCGTGCACTGTATCTCCGCCATATGTCCAGCTTTTCTCCGGCGCGAATCAGGTGAGAGAAAAGGGAGGGAAACAATTATTTTCAAATTGTTTGAAGATTGCTTCTTGTAACTTGGTCTTCAACCGGGAAAGTCTGACCTATCATGGGGAAACTTGAAGTAGGGTGATATTAGGGCACATCGAGTTTAAAAGATCTGCTTGTAGAACAGATTTGGTATTTAAGTCTATTCTAATGCATGGTCGTCCCTGTTCGTATTCATTCGTAGTATGTGTAGTCGAAACCCCTTAGAAGTCTAGGGTCTATTGTGCCATGTGGGCACGAGCTCGCATATCTCGGATCAGCTCGGATTGACCCGAAAGTCTTGGTGGAGTGGAGTGGTGGCTGTGACCTGACTCGGCTATCTCGCTTTGATCTCCTGCAGAGGTAAAATAACGAAAAGCCGCTAACCAAAGTAATTCTCTGTAGTAGTTTTTAGACTGATTCAGCACCCGAATAACCCGAACTCTTGCTCCTGTCCGGCTTGCGTCGTGAGACATGCCTCTATGGATGCAACTTCGCCCCTGACGCCCGAATCAGCCCAACAACGCGGCGGGGCTACCTCTTCCTCTGCCGCTGGGCCTAGAAGAGCCCACCAAAAGAGCCGCCTTGGCTGCAAGACGTGCAAGTCAAGGAAAATCAAAGTAAGTCTTCCTCTTCGGTGACCATTCCAACCTTTCATCTTAGGAATCACGAGCATTAACCTGTTGATCAAGTGCGACGAGCAAAAGCCAGCATGTGGCAACTGTATCAGACATCATGTCCAGTGCGACTTCGTCGAAACTTCGGCGGCACCGTCTCGCTCTCCAAGCACGAGTTTTCTAGATTTGAATATGGACCAACTAGAACTACTTCACAATTATACCACAAGCACTTACGCCACGCTTTCTGAGAGCCCCGTCATTCGGGACTTCTACCGGATCACTGTGGTCCAGATTGGTCTAGAATGCGACTACGTCATGAGATCTCTCCTGGCCGTATCGAGCCTTCAGTTGGCTTATTATCGACCGCATATGAGAGAGCATTACCGGTCGACAGCGGTGCATCATCACGAGATCGCCTCTAGGATTGCTGGTCTGTACTGCGTACCTCAAACAACATGAAGATGGTCCTGACTCCGCTCCATAGGTAACCTAATGCAGGATCTAAACGCGTCCACGGTCGAGAAACTGTTTCTATTCTCCACGTTGACTGTTTTCTATGCCTTCGGGTGCCCACGACGCGACGACCAACTTCACCTAGTCGGCGAGAGCGATATCCCCAACTGGTTCTTCCTGCACCAAGGCACCCGTGCCTTGTCCGAGCTTGCGAGCACACGATTAGATGGGGCTCTGGCCCCTATTTTTCAACATGGCATCGATCGCTGGCAAGCACGAGAAGTTTCCCGGCAAACCGTATCCCCTGTGCACCAGCATCTCGACAGGCTGCAGACCTCGATCGAGCGCAGCGAGCCAGACGCAGCACTTCGAAATACGTATATAAATGCAATCTCAGAGTTGCGTAAATCGTTTCTATCTATGGAATGTGGGCGCGGTCAGGCCTATGAAGTGACGGACATCTTCATCTGGGTTTTCGTGGTCGGCGATGATTTCGTGCCGTTACTTCGCGTGCCGACGCAAAGCGCCGTGACCATCTTAGCATTCTTCTGTGTCTTGTTAAGGGGTTTGAAGAGTCAATGGTGGTTAAATGGCTGGGCAGACTATCTGATGGCAAAATCGTATGCATTGCTGGACAGAGAGCATCGCCTTTGGATTCAATGGCCGATGGAGGAAATTGGATACATCCCGTAATTAATCGTACATGGATCACGTCAACAACAAAATACTAGCACATTATTTCGTGAGGGCTGCCTCACAAAGAAGATGTATCCATAAGTAATTCATATACAGCGATTAAATTCTATTATGACTGAGAGAGCATTCTAATTCCTAAAGTGATAAAGAAACTAAGGGCTTATCGCTATAACTTCAGCCTTAGAGTTCAGGAAGTAGTATCGCATTGACTGCGCTTACATTTTTCTCCACTGTTTCAGTATTCTAGCTTTGGGAAGGCTCAGTGGGTGCATGGCTAATTTCGAGTCAGTAAGCGCACAAGAGTTAGACAGAAACCTCGGGTACAATGCGAGTACGAGTCCCTCGAGTGCGAGGTCCCACTCGTCTGACCGATTATGAGAGCAGATAGATGCCTTGGAGAATGAGCAATGTCCAATCGGAAACTGTCAAGCTAGGGGCAGGGGCTATGTTCGGAGCATTAACGTTGCGAGTAGATCAGATCCCTGGCGTCGTGCTGTCAGCTCCGCCCTTTTCCCTTGGCCGACTCCTTTTACTACATCAATTACGCGCTGCTATCTTCGTTAAGATCGTGGGCCGTTGGAATCCCAGGACCAGCCTATTTGCTGGATTAGCTGGGGGCTCTAACTTCTTGGTTGATAGGAGTCTGAGAAACTAACTGGCGATAATAACATCACAAGACGGAAGTCTTGTACTCGTGAGTAACGTTCTCTATACCATGAGTGCAGATCTAGATAAATCCTAATAAGCAATAACGTCAATCTAGGATATAAACCACCTCTCCAGTGACCTGTTGAAGCGATGATGTATACCTTGCCCCATGGCCACTCCCTGGCTGTGATGAGTAGAAATGATAATTCTACGCACGGTACTTGTGGTGCCTGTGATAGGAATTACGGGAAGTTGGAGAATCAAATGCCAGTTCACTTCGGATGCTCGGGATATGCGGGCTGTTGTTCGTATTCAACTCGGTGTTGATAGAACCCCTATTGTGCAACTCCATGGCAAGCACGAGGAACCAGAGAGCAAGGTGATGGTAGTTTGGTCGGGAAGCGCACAGAGCTCTTTCTCCTCTCCGCCTACTACAGTCCCGGAATTTAATATATAAACCGTATCATCGCCGTCAAGCACATCTAAGTTCTACGCTAGACACGCTGTTTTCCACGCCACTACTCAGCCAATATGAAGCTCATTTACCTTGCTGCCCCCTTTACCATGTCGGTGCTCGCCCTGCCGCGTGATAGGGGCGAATGGATGCCTCCCCAAGGAGATGCTGGTGAGTGCTTCACCTCAACCCAACTTGACTCGGTTTGCACTCGTGACGAATGATGGCCTGAACAGGAGGGCAAAATTCTATATTCAAACTCTTTAAAACTAACTCCTACTTCTTCGAGTAGTTCGTGGCCCTTGCCCTATGTTAAACACACTCGCCAACCATGGTTATCTGCCTCGTAACGGAAAAGGCATCAGCAGGGACGTCGCCATCGAAGTTTTGGACACAGTCATCAATTGGGATGTCAGCGTAGTTGGCCCCTTATACGACTTCGCGCAGCCTGTCAATCCGGCACCAAACGCCACGACTATCGACTTAGACCAACTCACTACTCACAACATACTCGAGCACGATGGCAGCTTGAGGTTAGCATCTCTTTCATTATTAATACTACTCCTCCGTGAGCCTTTACGCTGAGACTGATCCTCCTTTTCACTCATAGTCGACAAGATGCCTTTTTCGGCCCAGCCGATGTGTTCCATGAGGAGACCTGGAATGAGACGCTCTCATACTTCACCACCCCAAATATCAATGTGGCACAAGCAGCTAGAGCTCGCACGGCTCGCATAGTCACAGCAGCATCAACCAACCCCTCATTCACCCTACCTCAAATCGGAGCTTACTTCGACTATGGAGAGACGGCGGCCTACCAGTTCGTCTTTGGCACCTGGAACCTTGGAGCTGACAACATTAAGGACAAGATATCGACCTCCCTCGAAATGGTAGAATACTTTTTCAGTAAGTTGTCTCCAGTTCCTAGCCCAAAGACTCCGTCTCTGCGCGCGGTTGCCCCTTGTACGTCTAGAATTTCAAGTTGACCCATTGTTCATAGGGTACGAACGACTACCTTCGGAAAAGGGCTGGGTGCGGCCCATAAACCGCCTCACGTACGAAGTTCTAGTCAACTTTGTGCTTGAGAATCAGGCTTTGACTCAGGGCCAGATGAATGGGACTATCCCTTATTAGTGTATTAGACCACGTCAGTCTCGACGTTTTAGATCTGTTGGCATGTACGGTGGGCGTGGCTATACTACCCCTCACAGTGGATTCCTTCAGTGACTAGAACTTCAACTAAACAACATCAATACAACCCCTTGGCAACCCTTTCGTTCAACAGATCACATAACCGCTCACCGCTTATGCTTAAGCGCAACTTGAGTTAGCTTAAACTTAAATCAGTCTTAGTCAAGTTAATTTAGGATCGCTTAGTCTGGCTGACGAAGTCTATGACTCGGAAGTCATCCTTTACTCGTCACCATATGATTAAAAGTGTGTTTCTATATTTACCAACAGAACCGCCATTTCACTCATTGTGACAATACTTTCCTTCATCATGAGACGGTCGCATAAGACTGCGCCACGTTGTTACCACTAACTGATATTGCTTCCTTTTGAATATATGGGCTCAAAAAGTATAGGGGTGGCAGCCCAGCGAATCTCGATATGGGAGAGCCGGCTTATATGATACAGGCAGCTCTAGGGAAATACCCGCAATGACATCAATAGACTACAGCGAGAGCAACGTTTATTCTATTTGTTAAACCACGTATACTGCCTTCACTATAGCTCAAAGCCCCATCTTCATAGTTCTATTAACGCACTTATCCCGGTTTTTGCATTTGCCGCAGATGGTGCGCTAATGATATGACCTCCAACGACATCAACCCTTTTTGCAACGTCCCTCCCGAACGTCTAATAGTCCTTGTTGCGCACACACTTGACCGGAAGGTTCGCATGCCAGGACTTAGCAGAAGTGCTGATACAGGCTCCATTAGGGTAGCTGACGTCAAGTGACTTTGTGCCCGTGCAGGTACCCCCGTTTCCAGTCTTCTCACTCCAAAGCTCCCAATTGCCGGTCAAATAAACAGAGTGCGTCGTGTCGTCCATAGTCACGTCGTGCAAGAGGAACGAGTTGTGGCCGTAGTTGATCGAACCAGAGCTATATTGGATTATTGCTGTTAGCTAGACTAGCACAGTAGTGGGGAGAAGGGGCTTAGGAGCCTCACCAATCCTCGCTCTTATATTCGTTGGCCTTTGGACGAGTGGCACGAGGAGTATTCGCTGCGGTAGCCACTGCGGCCAGTGCAATCAGGCTGATCAAAAGCATTTTGGGATGGATTGATATGCTCGTGTTTGAGTTTTGAGTTTGTATTAACAAGACTGGATATGATTTGCTATGAGATTTGAGAAGGTTGATAGAGAACACTGGCGGCGGTGGACTTTGCATTTATAGCTGTGAAGATACTATTTCCTTTGATTCAGCCTTCCAGAGTAAACATTCCCCGAATAGGTCGTTGGGAACTTCTGAGACCTATGAGGCTATGGCCCGTAGCCCATAAGGTCAGCTTATACCGCCAAATCCTGATTATTACCTGTCATGCTCAAAAACGACGCTGTCAGACGTGAATACAGCCTAACGGTGTATATAGGCCCACTTCAGTACGACATTACCGCCTATTTCAATACGCGAAATTCAACGATGTCAGAATAAACAAGCAAAAGAATTTCACAAAAAACCGTGCGGCAGGGTAGCTAATAGCCCGTGGCCCACGCGGTCAGCTTATACTACCAAATCCCGATTTTCACCACATCTTTCAAATATGCGAAATGGAAAGATATTGGAATCAATAAGCAAAAGGAAGTCGGCTTGGCTGCGAAGAGCTGCCTGTCGTCTACCTTGATCTTCCATGCTACAGCCGCGGAAACTAATTGATACCGGTCCTCGTCCAAGGGGTTTCGTTAGATGGTGAGTCATAGTTTACCATGCATTGCCCACGTCATGTCTAGCTGAATGACTTGCCTTTATTCAATTTTGAGAAAACGTATCAGGGAAAGGTGTACCTACGTGAAAGGTCAAAAGCAGCTCCTTCGGCCATTATTGGCTCTATCTACGGTGTAGATCAGATTAAGGCATCGCTGTGTGCAGCATGTAATCAATGACCCACAAAGATTCTTTTTGGATCAGGGTAGAAAGACCTCATTTATCCGCAAGATCGCTCCATGCATCCATTATAGGACTCTAGCATCGGTCATCCCGTTTCCGACCGCGGGGCCTCTGCTTAGTCTGTTCAGGGGCAGCTCAGCCTGTTCACTGAGGCCCCCACCATAAAGCAGCGGGCTTCTCAGGTTTCGAGACGGAAATGGATTGTAGGGATCCGAGATTGACTTGGTATGAGGAACTAGTTCGAAACCACGACTAGGAAAATTTGGCGGTGATTATGTAGAAGCCCACGAAATGGTTTATTATCTCAAAGGTTAATTAGGGGGAGCTGGAGGCGCTGGCAGCAGGCACCACGGGTATGTAATAAGCCATGAATACAACATGACGCAAAAGGCGAATCGATGTAATACAGCTGGCAGTCCGTGACCTCGCTTGTTGGTAAATGAGCATAAAGAGGACTATCGCTTCACTAACGTAAATCATATAATACAGAAAAGTGCGTTATGGGGCCCCAAAATAAGAGAGGGCTTATGGCACTTCAGAAAAGAAGAAGACAGAACGCAAGAAATCAACAAAGTGCGTGATTGAAAAGGTGCTTCCAACAGCTCGGTTGTCCAACCTGGGTTCAGCTAATCTCGTTCTTTACAGCCGCAAGACAGTGCTTGAGACGATAATTAGGGGGGAAAGAGAGCTTGCCTCCAGGCCGCCGTCCCACGCCCCGCGGACAATACCAAGCTCAGGAAGTGAAAAATTGGCCCTAAAGCCACTATGTATTTAGAATAAATAGCTAGTTAACAGCTTGCCACGTCCTAGTACCCTTCCGGAGGCCCAGACTAACTGCAAAGCAGAATAGTCCCTACGACGGTAAACACCATCAATCAATCAGTCAAGCGGACAATACAAAGATCCGCCAGGTTAGTCAATGCTGCTGCTGTGGTCTGGTAGACGGAATTTTGGAACCGTCAGAAGAAGTAGGATTATATTGGATGGGGTTTGAGGCCTGGATAAGAGGGTGCGTGAGAGTGGTGGCTTTCGAAGGCGAAGCCAGAGGAACCTGAGATTCCTGAGCTGGCGCGTCGCTCTGCCGTAGCGTCGTTGCGTTTTCACTCTCGGCAGACTCCAGGTTGTCGTCCTCGGACGGTTTCTGAACCTCATCATCGGCCACGGCCGCTCCACCGTTTCTATTGCTTTTCCCCATGTTCTTTCTGATTTTCTCCAACGAGATGAATTTCAGCAAAAAGGCCTTCTTGGAGCACTTCTGGTTGGCGTTATTCAACTTTTTGTCGTCAGCTAGATCGTCATGACGTAATGCCAGGGGCTCGAGAATCTCGTCCGCCTGAGTTAGTGGGATGCTATCGGTACTGTGTGTCCAAGTGCCCATGCCGAACCCCTGGTAGCTGAGCCGCTGGATCTGGAGCGTCCAGCCGGTTTGCCACTCGAGAAGCTTGTATGGATTATACCCGCGACGCCTCTTAAGACAGTCGAAAATCGGCTCGAGGATGAATGAGACGATGACAATAAGGACGCCAACAACAAAGATAAAGGACAATCCAAAGACGCTGAAGGAAATATAATCTGTGCTAAGGATCATCTGGAGATAGAGACGAATACATATATAGTGAGCTCTTGTAGTGGAACTGGCGGATTGGAAAGAAGAAGCATACCTGGCTGTGACACAACTTCTCTTGGCTTGTGCCATTCGGGCCAAGCACGAACGAGTCTAGTGACGGGTCGTTAGGGCCAGTAGCTTGTTTGACAGCGGCCATCTGATACGATGCTAGCGACCCTTCCCACCAATTTGTGACGTCAAGCTGCCATTGGTTATCAGGCAGCGTCGTTTGGATGCCGTTATTCAAGGTTTGTGTGGAAATCAAAGCTTGACGGCCAAGTTCAGCAAGTATAGTTCCCGGGGACATCCAATACTCGTCCCAGAACCAGTTAAAGCGGACACCATTTATGTCCTTAGCAGTTCCATTGGCAGACACACCAAACAATTCCAAGGCACCTTCATACGCATCAGACTCACTAGCAAGTGGTCCACACCTGCTGCCCTCTGGCAGCCCTGTATTGCAAAGTTGAAGCTGTACAGTACAACCTAAAGGCGAGGCGGCTTCTTCTGTTCGCCACGTCGGCCATATCCCACTCGTTAATGAGTCCCTATAGTTTTGGCCCGGAACGGTGGCTCGATACCATGGATCATGTACAGGTTCCAAGAATATCACCCCATTCCCTTGGAGAAAAATTAGATCAACGTCGGCGTCTGCCCGGATGAGCTCAGGAATTGGGACAAAGTCTGAAGATGACGGATCGGGAGTGCTGTTAGCTGTTAAATAAGTCTTAGTACTGTCCACAAAAAATAGTTAGCTAAATGACTGCTCGGATTTCGCCTCTTTGGAGATAGAGTCTCACTCGAGTATGTAACTTGACCACGTGTGTGGTGCATCCAGTGGTTGTGTAGTATTGTACTGCCAGAGGGTCGTTGGGACACGATATGTATAGTTAACAGTCTTACTCGACATATCTTGATCTGCGCTTGGGAAAGTTGATGAACCATAATTATATGCTGTGTAATTAATCTCCTGGTCTAAGATGTCGCTTTTATAACCATCAGTATTCAGGGGTGCGCAGTGATAGACTTGTCTAACTAGAATCCGCTGATCTGGAGGAGAGTTTAGGCCGAGATCTGTATGACTGTCGATATATCCCGAGTCCAAACGGAGATTACTATTGTTACTGCGACATATTGCGTCGGCAAAAGGACAGAGGGCCTGAGTGTCAACTGATGAGCCCAGCCGGGGAACGACATATAATCCACAGCCAAAGCTACCAGTGCTATTTACCGAGTAGCATTGCTGGGCATAGGCCATGGAGTTCTGGGTCTCTTCAGAGATAAAGCGGTAGAAGCTGTTGAGGTCGCTGGTAGAATTCCCTACCCAATTCAAATTTCCGCATTTTGCGCTATCGAGTAGGACCGCGTTGCTGATACCCGCCGAGATCCAAGATGAAAATCCACCCGCGACTGTGAAACCGGCGAAGCACAGGGCAGCGGCCCCGAGGACGGGTAGCACTCGCAAAAACGCGGACTGGGCCCGGTGACGCCACGCGTGGCACAGCTGGACAAACTTCCAAAAGCTAGACTCAGAATTCGAAGAGTTACGTAGCAGCGCCTGTCGCTGGTGATGGAGCAAATCTCTGGATTCGGGAGTAGAGTAGTAGCGATGGAGAAAAAAGCAAAGAATTCTCCAAAAGCGGGAGGAGATAAGGCTGATGAAGGTAGCAACAAACGCAATAAGAAGATTACCATCAATATGTGAAAGTGTGAGGGTAACGCCCATAACAGAACCCCGCGACCAGTTGGTCCACACACCCGTGTAGATTTGGTAGGTGTTTGTCAGGCTGGACGTCGTCCAGTTCGTGGGTGTTGCCATATTGACGAGGGTTGTAATAATTAGATAGGGGTGGTCGATTGCAAGAACACGATACAGCAGCGATGGACTTCTTCTGCCCTAGATGGTCGTCTGCCTTTATGCTAGTTCCTCGACGGGGAATCAATAACTCTTGAGCAGCACTGGTCTGGCCTGAAATGTACTCAATCACAAAGGGGCAATATCCAAATTATCCTATCAGCTAAAGAAAAACGAAACAAAGCCTGCCTAGAGTTCTATTGCATCTAGGTAAATGCTAGAGTCCAGGCATAACTAACCGTGCCACGCCCCCTCGATAAAACCCCACGTTGCAGTGCATCCGTCCGACCGCCCCCAACAGAAAAAAGTGCATCTCATACCCAGAGTTTAACTGCCCAGCCCCTCGGTCAGTAGATAGGCTCGTAGCATCGACATTGGAGCTAGTGATCTGGAGCAGACTAAGCAGGGTGCTCCGGGGAAGATGATAAAGGACTGTCTATGGATTCTTGAGACGATTTCCGTAAAGTTCGGTTTCTGCCTTGCTAAGCCAGGCAGAAACAGGCAATACTTCTGTTCAAGGTCAAGCCAACCTTGCTTACACCCCCAAACCCCCCTTCATGACACGGGATTGTAGATACTCGACTTGGGTCGTGATTTAACTTAAGCCGATCGATGTGCCAGTAGTTGACCATCCTAAGGCACAGTCCAAGCTCGAATACATGGAACTGCTAATACATCTGACCTACCCCACACTCGTTAGTAGTGACCCCGTGATAATATCTCTAATATTAGCCCATAACCTCATAATTACTTATTCACCTCTTTCTTGGCTCGATCATCCACTTATTACAAGTCCAAGGTGAAGCACAATGCATTAACAGTGGCATTAAAACGATAAGTACCTCCTTCTATAGTGTTAGAATATTAATACTTGTTGTTGCACGAGAGTCTCTGAAGGCTTTGTGACTAGGCTAGGGTCATATACAGCGAGCCTTTTTGTCTGTAGTCCTAGTATCATGACATCTATTTCATTCCTTATGCACAAGTATTTCTCTATTATGGCTATATAATTGACATATTGTAGTTAGACTTATATATGTAGTCGGAGTCTCCAAGATTACGATTACGGATATTTCGACCCCTTTTAATTATATACCAGCTGTCTCCTTATTCCCATTGTTGAAACCTTGGAAGCATACATCTAAATCAGAATCAGAGAAATCTAGGTAGCAAGAGCATTATGTGTTAGGTAATAGAGCTAGTAATACCAAGGCAAGTCGAGATCAGATCAAGTTATTGCCAAGACTCTTTTATTGTCACGTGCAGGGTCAGGTCCGAATGAAGAAAAGAGAGAAATATACTTTTTCCTCAGTATGGAGTGGGCCTAGAATGGACCTAGGAGCCTAATACATAGCAAGTCTATTGATTGTGGGCGCCAACTATGAGTCTTTGCCTCTTTCACAGTGACCAGATGAAATCGACACCAATCTACACTTCCAGCAGTAATCAATTGAGCACGACAGTGAGGGAATCTGGCCATTGGTTGAAAAGAGAAAGAAGGGAAGAAGAAGGAAGTAGTTGGGCTAATAGACTGACTGCTAAAGGCTTAAGCTTAAGTCTTAATCAAGTAAAGCCATTGCGAAAATTTACATATGTAGCGCTATATTCATATTCTTAAAACATACAACTTTCCAAAGAGCGAAGCTAAATCTACAGTTATAGAACCATTCCGTCTGCCTACCATCTTTCAGCATAACCTATGCACTACATACACACCTATTTATATAGACATATAAAGTAATTACCATATATAAGCCCAAGATAGCAGTTTTTAGCCTTAATAATTGTTAGAAGTTCACAATCGAAAAAATATCAATTTCGCCAATTCGTAATGTTTCAAAGTCTCCGAAATAACTACTTAAAAGGTAGAATATAGGGTGATTAAAGGGTGTACAAGGTGGTAGACAAAAGGTAGAAATAATGGCAAGTCAGTAGAGATATTTGAAGGTATTATCGCAAAGGTACAAGGGCCACTGCTACAAAGATGTCATTTTAGTGGAATACCGTATACTCAATATATCCCCAAATGCTGCCGTATGGTAGCAGCCCGACAACTACAGATCGAGTTTCGCTCATTCCAAAACTCCAAAGCCACTATAGCTAAGCGTCTCTGTAGAATCAGTCATTAGACATCCGAGCTAGGCAGAATCTCTGGATGCATCGCCCCAAATGCTGTGTATTATGTGAGGCTTGCTGCACCTCAGGCCTGACGCGCCGCCTACGGATATAATGGGAAAGTCCGGGAGACTTATCATCCCCGCTGAGCCACCACTACGGTAAGGCGCCTGCAGAAATACCCCGATTTGGATCTTCTGTGGCACCAGTGCTTGCAAAATTTCTACCATATTTTCATTGTATACCATTACAAAAATAAAAAAATACAAAAGCTCCATATTCAACCATTAATCAGGCTCATTTTTGTGATATTCTTGGATGCTGGCCCGGGGCAGTGCGAGAGATCTGGCCAATCTTACAGGTCTATGAAATCTATGGGGCTAGTTTTCAATCCGTTAGAATTAGCCAGGTTACCCCTGGAGATGGCGGTGGCTATGAGCGTCGTGGGGGAGAGGCAGAGATACTTGTCAGGCTGCAACCATAGGGTAATATAAGACATCCGTTTGACTATATAAAAGGTGTCCCTTCATTCTAGGAATAGCTTTATGACAATACTGTACCGTGGCTTGTTGCGTAGTTGTTTAAACAGTCTTTAATTCCTTCAATCTGATGAGGAGATAATAAGTTGCGAGGTTGGAGTGACACTGAAAATGACTTACGTAGTTCTAATAGCATAATACATAAGTGGTATAACATGGTACTGATTGGATTGGAGCACTGCGTCTCCAATTTGAAGGGGTTGTTATTGTATGTGCCGGCAGGGCGGTTGATCGTGGTACCGGGGGAAAGAGGAGGCGTTGGAGCATGATAAAACCGAACACTTGAGTGCAGAGACATCAAGAAGGGTTGGACACGCAATCTTGAAACGGCGCGCCCCTGAGGCTGGAAGTTTGTCTCAATAGCTATTCCGTTGTTGACAGTACAATGAGCCTCCAGTGACCTAGGTCCAATAATAGAAGAGTAAAGGCCTATTTCGTACAGGCAAATGGGGAAGTCTCAGAACCCAGGCTCAGAAAGAGTCTCTACCACCGAGTGTAAGCATTAGATTGCTGCTAGTACACCTATAGTATCGCATAATTTAGATCTGGGGTCGCACAATCCTTCTGTATGATGTGCATATCAACTTTTTCATGCAGCCTACCCAACCCGGAAGGACCGAAGGCATGGCTAAGCAGTGTGGTATTCTCATCTCAACTGGCCCCGGGTCATTGAAGATTAGCTATTTCAAGATTTGTGACACATAAAAGCAAGGCATATGGCATCCTCCAAAATAGAGATTAGTCCTACGAGACTATATGTGGTCATGTTGTAGGCTAATATACAAAGACGTGCCCTATCCATGATGACGCGGCCTTGGAACAAGTCAAACTTGCTCAATGTAGAGCCAACGAAGGTTATGAGGCCTTTGCTCGAACACTATATTCCATATATACCTTTATAACCTAGCTATGAGACTCAGTTCATAAATCATGACTCCCCAAGTACCCCAGCTTTCTGTGAAGTCTAGTGGGTTCACAACATTGCAAGAAGGGGGTGCTCACCCTGATTGTGATATTGTGTTCATCCATGGGCTTAACGGAAAGCCCGATAAATCCTGGACGTATTCTGCCCACGCAAGCGAGAAGAAGAAAGAACGATCAATACGACGTCAAGCTAGTAAACTGTTCGGAAAGGACAAAACAAATATTCAAGTGTCGGTCTCGGAAATCAAAGGTGCGCTATTTAACCTATTTGGCCAACTTCACTAGTTAACAGAGCAGCACAGAAAATTCAGATGTCTTCTGGCCTAGGGATCTCTTATCCCAAGAAGACTGTTGCAAGACAGCTCGCATCATGACGTATGGTTATGACTCTGATGTTCTCAAACTAGTCGAGAATGCGAACTTTTCAACAATAACGACTAATGGCGAATCACTCCTGAACGGGCTGGCAAGAATCCGTGAGGATTCTCCAAGACGTCCCCTGATGCTCATTGCCCACTCTCTGGGGGGATTGGTAGTTAAATCAGTAAGATCATTTCTTGTCATCAAAGGCGGTTTTCGAAGAGGGATGAGGACCCGAGTGCGATTATATCGTGGGCCCTAGCAAACATTGAAACATTTATCGCTTAGACAATGTATTGAGAAGTCAACGTCCGATAGCATGCAACCAATCACTTGTTTACAGTTGATCCAGCATTCTGACAGATAAGTTTTAGGCTCTGAACCAATCCGCCATTGAGAACTCGCAAGATCTCAGAGCAGTCGCTGAATCTACTTTTGCCATCATCTTCTTTGGTACACCTCATCGGGGCAGCGGGTATGCCGAAATTGGAAACTCGGTTGCCAAGGCGGCTTCAATGTTGGCAATGCGACGATACAACGATCGTATCCTCACGAATTTGGCCCGTAATACCGAGATTCTAAGCCAGTTACGAAAAACGTTCAGTACACATACCATAGTCCTCATGAAACAAACGAGCTCTTTTGAAGCAAGCAGCTTTCAAGAGAATCGAGGCTTCTCGTCTGCGCCGAATTTCCGTGGCAAGGCAAGTTCCATTCCTTGGGGTATTAACGAACTCGTCCTAGCATCAAGGGGAACTGCTTTAAGGCCAGTGGCCAACTCAGATGGTGCCCATTAGGAATCAGTTGAAAATATATGCTAATCTTTCATGTGCTGCGTAGGTCGTTGACGATGATTCGTCTGAATTAGGAGACGGAAATAGAAATGATCATATTGATAAGAATCATATGGAAATGGTAACTAATTTCGACGGACCTTACACGAGGCCTAATTTTGTAGCCCTTTAGGCCGAACTAAATTCTTTCTTCACTTGCTCTTACACTATCTCGGCTGAAATAGATGGGCGCTGACGTTGAGACCTTTTTCCAGATTAGGTTCCCAGGACGAGATGATCCGGAATACGAAAAGGTCATTGGAGAGATCAAACGACACTTAGATCGAATCCGTCGAGTAGTAGACAAACAGCATAAAAGTCAGTGCAAAAAGCCCAGGCCATAATGGTTATAAGTTGCTCTCAGACTAACTTTATGCAAGATTTATGCAAGAGTTTGGAGCTCACAGGAAAGAATTCATGGGAGCATTGGAACCAGATCAAATCAAAAACCCCAGGCACACTTCGTTGGCTCTATCATGTCCACGCAAACACGAGTGAGAAAAGAAAATCGAGAAAAGAACGGGGAATCAGTCTTCAGACTTGGTTGGCTGAAGAGACTGGAATCTTCTGGATAACCGGCGGATCGGGACCAGGGAGATCAACAGCAATGAAATATTTGTCTAGTGACAACAAGACGATCAGATATTTGCAGAGCGATGCGAAACTAAATTATAGTAATGGCCAATCATCAGGGCATGCGTCGCCTGCTACCGTCTCCGAATATATTACGGGTGGTCCCGATAACTCCGGAATCGCAAAGCCTAGGTATAAAGATTGGTGCATTGTTAAACTCTTTGTCACTAGCAAAGGCACCGGAGATCAAGACAAATGGTCGACAATGTTACAGGGCATACTTTGGCAGCTTGTCAATAGTCGACCCGAACTGTCCAAGCTTGTCATGAACCTAGCGAGAGAGAACAACGTCTTAGTTCACGAAAGCGCGCAAAGTACGGCTAGAAACGCATTACGGGAAACATACAAATGGAGCCCGGACATTGTTGAACAGGCCATTGAAGTCTGTAAAGCCCAAACACATTACCCCCTGAGGGTCCTTGTTATGCTAGACGCTCTGGACGAGATACAGAATGAGGAAGATATTCGGCAATGTGTCACCTTCCTCAAGCGCCTCTCGGAGTTATCTCCTAGTTCCCGGAATATCTTCAAAGTGTGTATATCTAGTCGCTCCGGGCAGCGATTCCTCAATCTTTTAGCTGGAACATGGCGAATCAATATGGACGACCATTCCATTCGCGACATCCCTCGAAAGCTTCTTTCCCCATTTCACTAGCCTAGCTTGCTTTGGGCTTCCTAGGGCTTATGGATAAAACTGCAACTAGTTTGTCCGCCAATCTTCATTTGACAGCATACTAGCCTCGAGTTCTCGGGAGGTTGATGAAAACTTCGTTTCAGTTCATTGGGATAGTTTATTTTGCCGGTCTTGGAGGAGTATGGATGTTTCCATACTTATTGTTGTCACCACGAAAGGAGGGTGCGGCTCCATTTACTAACGAAGTTCTGCCATTTTCTTCCCTCGGCCTGATTCGTGACCCGGCGGTGGAGACGCCGATCAAATTGAGCATGCAATGGAAGATCCAGCCCAGAGACTACGAGTACAGGCCCAACATCACAAGGAGAGAGGTTATCTTGCAGTTTTAAATAGAAAAATATCACCCTAAGAGATTCTAAAGGAGCGAAGCTATCTCTGCAGTTATCGGGCTGGCACCACTTGGCATACAAGGGCAGAGATACTGGGCTTGGAACTTGGAATTCAGATTATAATGAACAACTAGGGCTGCATGAGTCCTTAACCAACCAACTCCTTCTTGGCTGTTGGTGGCTTGACTCGACTTTATATACAGCTGGTCTGCCAGCCCGGACCGCATAGGTCTCTGGGTGTTACAGTACAGTACTATATAGTGAGTGCAGAGACGTCAAGCCCTCGACTTGATAACTCGTCGTTACCTTTTGGTAGCGCAATGGCATAGGTACTGCACTCCTTATGTCGTTCCGTGACACTGGGGTCTGTTTCAAGAAGCGAAGTCTGTATGACCTCACTTTCCAATATTACCCAATATTGCCTACATGTCTCTGTAAGATCATGAACAGCCTACAATGGCTTTCCGTACGGCCAGTTACGGCTCCTAGCCTTTGGGCCAGCGCCGCCCACCGACCAAGTATTATTTTGTTTGATTGCCAGATAACTTGATCAGTCAAAACAAGATAAGACCTTCTAAATTATTTCACAACCCAAAACAGATTTTTGTACTTGACTCCTTTAAATGCAATTAATTGCAAGTAATCTTTTGACTTTTTTGATTTTTTTTACAGGGTTTAGGCATTAGAAAGTTGTTGTTGAAGGCTTCGAAGGTTGGAAGGTTGTATGTAGGTGACCTGACCTGACCTGACCTACCACCAAGTAATCCAAATAAACCGAAGTAGCCTTATAGGTCGTCATTAGCCCGCACGGAGTAGTTTGGAGAGTACGGAAATAGCTTACCCTTATAACTAATCACGGTGCCAGCTACCCAAACGTCCCAGGCGCCTTGCGCGTTGACGCCCCCTTACGCAACGCGTACTACACTTAAGGTACATCGCATACCCATATGAATTTAATGTGTATACAGTGTATAAACTATGCTAGCAGATGGCAGACAGATCGCAACGGTCCTACAATTGCAGAGACAGCTTCGGTCTTCTAAAGGATGAGCATCTTGGCGTGGGGTAAGGGGCCGGCAGGCTGTGTGTAAATTGCTGGCTAGAGTATAAGTAGATGTACTCGTGTAGCTGTGTGGCTTAGAATCCCCCACCTAATGTCCTGCAAATTATATGTATTGAGATTTGGGGCTTATCCAATGATGTCGCGGCTATGAGATGCTTCCTATCCATGAGAGCTGGCGATCTGGTTTTGGAGTTAGCCAATCATCTCACCATAAATTTGCACATGTACAGGAGTGAAGTCGGCCGCCAAGTATCCCCGAACAGTGCTTGCGAAAGACCTGGCGGATAGATATCTAACTCTGCAAACGCACAGTGCCGTGTCTTTCTCATCTTTATTTCTTACGAAACATATCCTCCAATCTACACACATGGCGTCCAATACCTGGGAACAGCACAAAATGAAGATTGTGCTCATGTACTGTGTAGAGAAACAGCCTCTCTCGCATATCATCTCCTACATGAAAGAGCATCATAACTTCGACAAGAAGTATGAACAATCCTATCATTACTTGCTAACATGCTGATCACGGTTAGATCATGTCAATACGAATACCGACTCCGAACATGGGGAATTAAGAAGAATGCGACGAAACAGGTTTGGAACTACGTAGCTCATTGTATCCAGAAGAGGAACCGAAAAAGCAGATGTTCGAAAGTCATACTTTACGGCGTTCCTGTTCCCGAAGAAAGGCTGAGGAAAGAGGTCCAGAGATATACGAATATCCCGAGAGCCGCTGAGTTTGGACAGAGAGGTAAGGACAATACACAGCTATATGTTATAATATATTCACTTTTTGGTTCAGTACCTAGTCCACAAACGCCAGACAGCAATGTCGTCTGTGTTCGGAGTCCAAGTGTTATAGAGCTTGGTTCTATTTGGCCAGAGACGCTTCCTTGGCTCCAATTCGAGCAGAAACTTCGTACCAGTAAGTCGCAAGCTCCTGGAATAATGACAATCGCATATGGCTAAATATTCACAAGTTTTATACCAACCGTCCGGTCTTCTAGATTCTCTCTGGACGACATTCGGATCGGTTACACTGGAACCACAATATCAGAAGAACGAGGACTTGTGGTCGCTCTTCCCAATGTCAGGAGATATTTCAATGCTTCGCAGAGCCATTTCGCATTATTCCAAGATGATTCCAAGCAACTGTCCAGAAATGAATCAGCTCAAAGCACTAGTACCAGCTAATGAGTCCGACTCAATAGCTATAGACATGTTAAGAGTTATATTCTTCCAATTGTCGAATAACTTCTGGGATACAGGCAATTTTCAACAACGCGATCAATTCGTGCTACGAATCGTTGAAGCACTTTCACGCAGTAGCCCACAAATGGTGTCTGCTCTCCTCGCAGACAATTCCCGGACTGCAAACGCTATTAAGGAATCCATATATAAATCAGCAATTCGAGAGAAAAGTTATGCAATTGTTTCTCGCCTTCTGGCGTCTGGGATTGACCCCAGACTGCCTATGACACTGAGTGACGAATTTCGTATATCGCTATCACGCGTCTTGCAGCGGGGAAAAATAAAATTGCACTTGGAAGGTTACTGGAATCAGCCGTCGCTTTGTACTGGTATACAATTCGCGGCTTTTATAACCGATACACGCCTTGGAAAGATTTTATTGGATGCAGGGGCAAATGCGAACACTTCTAGTCCTGAAGACCTGCCACCTCTGGAGCTCATTGGGCTTCATTCGAACACCAAAGCTGATTTTGACGACGCTTTGGAATTTGCACACATGTTGGTCAAATACGGTGCTAAAGTTAATCTGCCACGCCAATTATCTTGGTGTGGGAGTGTAATATCGAGTTCCTCTCTTGATCTTGCTCTTGGAAGATATGACAAGCCATTGGCAGACTTCTTAATCGAACAGGGCGCTAATAAAACAATGTACACTTTTTTGGACTTTCAGGGAAGACAAGGAGGCTGGTTTAGTCGTCAACTGCAGCCGCGTGGTTTCCGCTACTCACCTTTGTTGGTTGCCATCGTTTCAGGTATCGACGAGATAACTGAACAATTGCTACAGCCAATCCTCTCAGATCCGGATCAAGCACCTCTAAATTTCATTCAAGATATTTTTATTACATCATGCTTAGCAGGGGACTCTGCTATTGTGGCTAAACTCCTATCGAGAACAAACATCGATCTAGACAAAGATTGGGTGCGTGGGATCACGCCTCTAGTTGCGACTGCCTGGAACCCTGATGTTACCATAGCCAAGATGTTGCTAAGGGCAAGGGCAGATGTTGGCCCAAAGGTGAATGAAAGTGCTACGCGAACATCAATACCTTGCCCGCTGCACGTTGCCGCTTTCCACGGAAATGCAGAGTTAGTACGGATCTTGATAGGTCATGGGGCGAGTTGCAATGTACAGCTAGATTACAGGGACGACTCTGAGGTCAACTATTATTACTGGGATGACTCTGAGCCCCGTCTCTTGCCTATGGGCCTTTCATATCCACTCCATCTTGCCCTAATGAGTGAGGACTCTGAGACGATTACTCTTATTTTGCCTCACTCGGAGCTCATCGGGGGCGAAATTGCCCAAGCGGTCAACTTCGGCGACAAGACCATTATTTCAAAACTTATCTCTAAAGGAGCAGATATCCATTCCATTAGTCAGGATGGCACAGCAGCGCTCGAATCAGCAGCTGCAAATGGTAATACAGAGATTGTCTCTCTATTTTTCGCCCTGGGAGGAAATTACAGGTCCTCTGCACTTTATAAAGCTGTAGCGTTTGCCATCGAATCGGGAGATCACTTTTTAGTATCAGACCTAATGGGGTATCGCCCAGCCGGCCCCATCGACAGCTATGAAGCCTCGTGTCTAGTTCTAGCCTTACAAGAGAGTGAATGGGATCTCGTGCACCAATTACTAGATTCATTGGCACCTGGGCCATCACAGTCCTTTTACCTTCTGAAGAGGAACGTGAAGAATGGACTTGAATTGAACACCATCCCTGCCTCTCATGAATTTCCAGATCACAGTGGGACAGGAATTACACCACTCTGGGCTGCCTATTTGTTTGGCAATGTCTCCATCGTTGAAGAAATGCTCCAGAAAGGATACACCCTTCAAAAGGGCGACCAAAAATCATTCGGTTGGACCGCATTATACCATGATGACGAACGATCAAACTCGGTCCTACTATTCCTTTTGTCTACAAGTCAATTTGAGTGTTTAAATCAAGAAGGCCGTCAGATGCTTCTTTTAGGCTCAATCAAGCTGTGCGACCAACATAAAACACGAGCACATGAATACATCAAGCTTATTGATTCTTTAAACTTCACGAATGGCGACGATGGGGATCATTCCCCGTTGACTTTGACTGTAGAGATGAACCGGAGTGATTTGATAAGCGAACTTATCAATGCTGGTGCCGATGTCAACTATGTTGAGACCAAAAACCCAGCGAGAATTAAACGGTCAGCATTGCAAAGAGCCGTGGAGTTCGGGTATATCGATATTGTGAAATTACTTATAGAAAAAGGCGCTCATATCAACCAGCCATTACTTTCTAATTTTCAAAATACCGCATTACAAGCTGCAGCGGGTTATGGGTGTCTTGAATCACTTAAGGTTCTGATTGATAAAGGGGCGGATATAAACGCACTGCCAGCCAAACGTTACGGCCGTACCGCTCTGGAGAGCGCAGCAGAGAATGGCAGACTAGATGTCGTCCAACTTCTTCTGGACAACGGCGCGAGTTTAAGAAGAGAGATGAGGATATATTATGTTCGATCCGTCTGGTTTGCAATGTGATGCGGTCATTATGTCATTGCAAATTATCTGAAGGAATACGGGTCATGGACCCTAGAAGACCAGATACTCTACGATCGACCAAGTACGCTCGAGGTGGAAGGGTATTTTCATTATGATGAACAATCAAACGACTGGAATTTTCAGCGGGTGAAATGGGATGATGATTCTGGGTGGTATAGCGTGGCATCGACAAGTACGACTTCTTCCGCTGAAGATGGCACTTATAATAATTCATCAGAAATGAGAGGTAGTGATCATAGAGAATTGGCCATATGGCGTGAGCCGGAACGAGATATGGAAGATTGGTTTCGTACCTTGGTAGACACGTTTGACGAATCTGCAGGTTTCGGTGCTTGCTGGGAAGAAGAGACAAACAATCACCTCACTTTACCGTTTAGAACAAACAGTTTCCAAGGAAAAGACAATCCCCTACAATTGAGCGATGAAGACGCAGAGACTGCAATGGTTGAATTGGCAGAATCCTGCTGGGAACAACAGTCAGCTAGTCGACCGGACAACGTCGAATCCCAACTGACGACAGGAGAACAACAGCGCAGGGCAGTAACAATGCAAGAACTTGACTTGGAATTTAGGAAAATGCCAGAGCTTGTAGACGAGCAAGTTCTCATGACGGACACGGCGCTTATGCTATGGAATGATCCTTTCTTCGGCGCTGACGAGATAGAGAATGCGTGGGATATCTGACCAGAGTATTTGACGTTGAGTTCCGCGGAGATATGGGAGCACTGGTAACGCACACCTTCCAGAAAGACATTTGAGTGTAGGACTAAGCCCTTGCGCATGAACAATCGCCTTGAAGACATTCCCCCATTTTCTCCATACGACGTAGTTAGAAATAAAATCAACATATTACGATGCGAAAGACATCGTCTAATGATTCGAAAGTACAAGTGACCCTATCTGAAAGCATTGAGCTGAACCTTGACCGATGATATGTTCATACTATTACAACAACGATAATGGTACAGAAGCGCCTCTCTTCCGGAAAACGAACTCCACGCGAAAGGAACCAGGCCATATTTCCCGAAACGTCCAACGATATATTGCTTACCCATCACCAGGATGGGAACCCTAAGGCTGTCGCCGCGCAGCCAAATCATGCAAGTCGCCCGTCTCGCCCACCTGTACGCGTCCGCCACTCTCCGGGGTTGCCCTCTTCGGCCCGCTAGGGGTAGCGCCATCGACCTGATCCTTGACCTGCTCGGCCTGGGCTTCGGCGTGAGAGCCTATGTCGACCTGTGTGGTGTTGCCATAGTTGGACTTTTGCTCGCCTATGATGTTTCTATTTCAAGGGAAGACAGGGGTCAGCGTCTGCGGTCTTAGCGGGGACAAGCAAAGATGACGAGATACTGCAGACAACAGCTGCTTATTTGCTCCTTTTTAGAGAGAAGGAATTGATATGTGTAAGAGAGACATACTGAGCTTGTCCGTGCTGGTTCGCGTCGAGCGGTACCTGCTCGATCCGGGAAGAATGTCCGCCGAGAGAGTCAGCCATCTTGACTAGCGACGCTTAGTTCTGTGAGGTAAGAAGCTGCGGAAAAATATATGTATTGATTCGCGATAATGCTCGATAGAGCGACTCGAAGAAAATTCAGTAATATAGACAGAATTTACTAATTCAATATTTCAACGAATCTAGCAATATATAAATACCAAAAACATTTGGTTCATACGCCCTTCGGCAAGCAGCGCGACTGAAGGTAGGACAAATTGCATCATATGTGGGGTGAATCCATAGTGACGTATGCGGCACAGAAAACGGCCGAGCCACGCGCTGAAAAGCTGGGCTTTGCTATGGTGGTCTCTTTGGTAGGACAAGATTGCCCGACTGTGCTCGCTCGTCCGGTTCTCTTCCCCTTATATAGCAGGATATTGATGCTGACTTCTTGAGTTGAGTAGGGTCTCTTCGTCACGGTCTGCAGCCTAGCGCTGGTGGATCTGGGGTATGGCTATGGTAATGGGATGATAATAGATCGAGACTACAACGCGTCTGAATCTACGAAAGTAGGTTGCTTACCCCACTATACCTTGACGAGTGGCGCTTTGCATGTTAAATTTCGGCATATGCCGAAATATAACCAATTAATTCCTAACGCTACGCCTCCGTATATGTGCCGCTGTCGGTGGCCTGGGGCGATGGCAACGCAACCTGTTTACCGGCCCAAGTCCTTGCTAACAGTGGCTACTCGTACTCTGTCATAGATATTGAATTTACTATCTCAAAGTCGTCCACCTGAGCCGCCAAGTCAAGGCCTCTATGATCGTTTTGTTGGGGCTAGGCTTCGCCAGTTCAGTGGTAAACATTGTCCGCTTGCGAGCCCTTATCGAAGTCGGAAAGTTAAAGTCTCTAAACGGTCAAGAGGCTGAGAATGTTTACCTAGTTTTATTTTTCTAGTGAAGCTCTTGTCAGTTAACCAGAGGGCAGGCAGGCGGGACGCCAGTCCGAAAGACACGGCACTCGCATATTCGAAAACTACAAAGGGGTTCTACATTGGCTGTGTTCATTACCAAGTGAAAGAACCTATCTATATTAGTCTATAAAATAAGGCGGCAAAAGCCTTTCACTGCTATTGTCAGACTTGAGGGAACTGTGTATGCTGTCCAGCCCAGGAGAAGAGACTTCCTTTCATGCTCAGTGTCTACTAGTAAGTTGACGAGAAGAAATCACCGTACATTGCTCACACGAGTGGCTCTGGACTCTGTTTTGAAGCGATCGCGATTTTCCATTGAAAAAATGAAAGTTCATAGCCCCAAGTCCTTCCAACAGACGGGTTGGCTCATCCTGTGCTCTCCCATTATACTTCCCCATGCACCCTTGTACCCCCACAGTTACTTCATATCTAAACGATGGATAAGCTGTTAACCCTCGACTTTACCCTGTACTACCCCATATGCCAAGATGATCGCAGCAATAGTGTGGTACACGACATATGGAAAACTCGTGCTGAGTTTCATATATACATCGGCAAACCCCTCCGCGTCCCGTTGCACAGCCGCCCCTTTCTCACGAAGCTTCCCCAAAATCTTGCCGGCCTCTCCTAAAAGCTGGTCTGACTTCTCATCAAGCTCACGACCCCATCCTGCTTTCTTCGTAGTAGCTCGCAAGTCGTCGTGCCAAAGTGTATGAAGTTTACGCAGGATATCTGCTAGTTCTTGATCAATGTCGTCGGGTATCAGGATGGTCTTCTCATCTTCGATCATTGCGCGCCATGCCAAGAAGAATTGCGAGTCGTCTTTGGCAGCAGACGGTGGTAGTTTCGTGCCTTTTGCACCTCGGATGAGGCCTTCAACAAGTGGCTCGCGGATGGCTGTCTCGGAAAGCTGTAATTTGGCCTTAGTGTAGATGTCTTGATTCCTGAGGGTTATCGGTTAGTCTTTCCCGTAACACGGGCCGGCGTGTGGAGTTGTCATGTGTTCCTGGCAAGACTCACCAATCCCAGAACTTCGGGTGACGATCCGCGTAGAGCTCCACGGTCTGAAAAACACGTCGATGGCGAGCCCTACCCATGCCGTACGCCGGCGAAGCGAAGGCTACCCCGCCATCTCCGCGCTTGCTCTGCTTCAGTCTAGCATAGCCCCTATGGAACTCACAAAGTATCGACGACAACAGCGAGGATGCAAAATCCAGTGCTTGATCGATATTTTGGGATTTCGGAGCTAGAAGCCGGATAAGATTTCGAGTCTCTCGCGTAAGGATATCCGTGTGTAAATCAAACACGTCGTTCGCCAGAGCTGTGCCGATAAACGAGCCTACGCCTTCATCGTCATAATACATCCCGCTGCTCGAAGCCATGTAGACGTCCGTAATACCATCGAAAGCACGGGCAGCCACTACCACTTCATCAGGCAATCCATGATCAATTCCTGCCGCCTTGCCTGCCTGAGATTGTTTTTCCATTTCGCATCTAGCCATTGTGGCAAGATATGCATTAGCTATTCTCCAATAAGAGTCATCTATGTTTGGTTTCCAGTAAAGAGTAGACTCCAGCTCTTTAGAGAACTCGTGGAACATTTCCGATGATTTGTCGTCGCGGTCAAACTGTAACATTGAACTTAGCTAGCTCATCCGCTTTATACAAGCTGTTGAAGCCGCAATGCAGACATGATAAGGGCTATGAGAAGAGAAAAAGAGTAAATTCGTCGGTTTCTGGGGGCGACGTAAGAAGGGATGAGTAGAGGTGATTACGTACCCAATCTACACCAGACATCATAGAGAATTTATAGTTAATCTGGTCATCGAGAAGCTTTTCACCACCGCTATAGGCCTTACAAAGTAGCAGGTAAAACGGAAACAGCCCCAGGATCGGAGTTTTACAGGTCTCGCCGACGAGTAACTCACACCAAGGAATCATGTGGTCGTCTCTTGCTGCATTTGACGAATGGAGATCGCGTGACCAATCTACCGGATCGTCGGTTTTATTGGCTTTGAGTAAAATGTGAAGGGAAATTTGAAAGGCTTTAATCTTGGTCATCAAGTAGGTACGGAGACCTTGTTGACCGGAGCCATTCTTCATCTCACTTCCCTCTTCCTCAGACAGGAGATCAAGATGTGGTGTGGGAAACGCACACACCTCCTCCGTCGGTGTATACCCCTCTAATGCCCTCTGGACCCATTGTGCAAGCTCCGGGATCGGGGTGCTCAAGTTATTGCTTGGCCCCGTCTGCTGTGCTTGTACGTGGAAGGCTTGTTGCTCGTCTTCAGAGTCGACAATTGTCGTATTTTCACATGTCCCGCGGGTTAACAGACCGCCTTCTGCATAACTCTGGTTTGTTGCGGCCTATCGATTGCTGTTAGCAGATTTCCAAAAGCAAGTGACGTCTCCATCATCTCGTACCATGGCTTTGTCGGATAGTGTTAAATGTAGGTGGAAACATATACAGTATGCAGTAAATGGTTGTATTCAGGATACTTAGAATGGAAGAATGCAGGGCTAAGGGTCGGTGGATATCTGAGATATATCTAGGTGTAAAAGACAGCGAAAGTGAGGCCATAAGCGATTGGATATACGGAGTCACAACGCCAGATTGTTAGATGCAAAGGAACCAATAGTTAAGGCATGAGTGCCCAACGAGAGACCCCTAGTAGATTATTATTGAATAAGTGATTGATGATGTGTTCGAAAGGGGGCAGGAGACTTGTTACACGTGCAACCTCTGTACTAGCTGAATATACAGTTCGCCAAGCACTTCGGCCGTACGAAGGACCTTTGCAGGCTGTTCATGATCTTTCAAGATATGCAGACGATATTGGGCAATATTGGAAAGTGAGGTTATACAGACCTCGCTTCTTGAAACAGACCCCAGAGACCTAGGCGGTCTGGGCTGGCAGACCAATTGTATACTTCGTAGAGTTAAGTCAAGCCACCAACAGCCGAGAAGGAGTTGGTTGGTCAAGGACTTATGCAGCCCTAGTTGTTCATTATAATCTGAATTGCCTAGATTCCAACCCCAGTAATCCTGCCCTTGTTATAGGACTCGCCGTACAACTTCTCCTTTATATCACGATCGTAGGTACTTGAGTTAACATACATATAGAAACAGGAATCTTGTAAGCCCCAAAGGACGGGAGCGGTGGACTGAAACACAGCTTATTTACCCCTTTCCCTGGGGCGGAGGGGACCCGGGGCCGGCGCGAAGGTCAGCCTCTTCTTAAAAGAGCGTGATTCTTGCGGCACGCAAGCGATGCTGGTACACAGTGATGAATGACAGTGTTAGAGTGTTGAATATAATAACTGTTAGACTGTTCGCTACGTCTAACGGTTATTATATAGCCCCACATACGTTCAACACCCGGCGGCGGCGGCGCCCCCTGGGTATCACCTACTGTAGCAGCATTGCTTAAGAAGTCCAAGACTTCTTCATGGTGGCTACGCTGGGGATATTTGAAAGACTGCCTACCCGGGCAAGCTTTACTATTAACGACAAAATACTATGTAGTTTCTTGACATCGGAACATCTATTAATGCGAGCAAATGGACAATTACGGCGGGAAGGGGGGTTCCCACGGAATCCATGGGTACGACCAATAGGGTCAACAGGAGACAGATCCTTCAATGTCTCAATAGAAACATGCTGACGACAATGTTGTTTATGCATTGTCATCTCACCCATCGATTCCAACAGAGTATCACGTGGTGGGGAGGTCTCGGAGGTCATGTAGGTTAGCTTAGGTAATTGCATATATATCCTAATAGGTAGTGTAGAAGGTAACCGGTACGTGGGATAAATGGATGTAGTATAAATATACATCAGGCTTGGCACAGTAGGTAGGCCAATACTAGGTATACAACCTCGACCTCCGTACACACTGCAAGGCAATCCATCGATATACAGACCTTTGAGTCTATGCAGCTCCGCCCTACGTCAAAATTGCCCAATTAGGCAATACGTAATATGACGTGTAGGTGACAGACAACCATACAACCTAACTGACAGGAGACCGATTGCAACCTTGGTGGTAGTGGTCATGGTCTTCACGAACGTCACGTCTGTACGTCACGTCTGTCCCAAGCTTGATCGCAACGATGTCGGTCGTACTGTAGTTTACGAAAGTTAAGATATTTCTCATCTTTGTAAAATCCTCCAGCACCAATTCTCCGGTCTGCTGAGTCATGTCTTTGAGAGATGCATGTGTTCCTAAGTCTGTGCGTGTGGTGTTAATAATAATGTTGAACATAGCCCAGCCCATATCGTGTCATGCTAGATCACCTATAATTTAATATAGTATAAAGATGCTCTCTATAGCCTCTGGCCTTTGGATATAATGCAGATCCTTTACGCTAGTAAAGCCAAGGGGCAGGTGTTTCTTCCCCATCAGGAGCCGTCAGACATCTTTACCATAATGATTTGCTTTAGTCGGATAACTAACAGTTACCATGCTCAACCTTTTCTTTATTAAACCTTTTCTTATCCCACTCACATCCTTCGAAGGAGTCTTAGGCTACCATATTCAGACGTTCTGGCATTATTCCCTTTGGGAATATAGATCCATAGATGCATCCATGAGTGAGTTGTGAGCCAGTTTCGATATAATTCGAATCGGCGAATAGTTGGCCTGCAAGGGCATAAACACCCCCTAAACAGCATCCCAAGTGCTCCTTTTCTCAATTTAGAAGAACACTTCCATCTTTAGTGACTTTTCCACTACTTGGAAGAGCTACTAGCTCATCTGTTGGGGTTATCGGCCTAAACAACAATACCTTAGCTGCCTCCAAGAACCTTTTACACATTTCCTTATATTTTGGCCCTAGACCTCCTATAAGAGCATACATTTTAAGTAGATACTTATATCAACTATCAGTGCCTCCTACAAGAGTGAATCGATCCTCATCTATCACGTTCAGTTTACTCATAGATATTAAATTTAGCTATAGACCAGGAAGTCTACTCATCTGCTGGCCTTTGTAGAAGACATCCATAACATAAGAACTGGCTTCGTAATCTTCAAGGTAATAATAAATCAAAGTGTTTCCTTCTAGGTGTAATTTTCAAAGTACATGGATTATTTATATGGCCAATTTATATCATTGGGTTTCTGGGGTAAGGTGTCCACATACTATCAAAATGCATTAGCTTTGAGAGATAAAGCTTAAGCGAAACCAAGTCTTATAACTAGTGACTGAATCGCATCACGTTGGAATCCTTATCCTGCGCGATGATCCCGAGAAGATCGCCATTTACAGGGGTGATCCGCGGCGAAATGTTACTCTCTGTAGCAAGGCAAACTGGAGTTATCGCTTACGCGATAAAGTGTGCTGGCGGGGGTTACCTGCTCGGTAAAAACCACTGAAGGACAGTTTACGGAAACTCCAACTTCGTTATAGCTGTTAGTTAATAGCTTCTATATGCCTAGGATACATGATGCATAGGTCTAATATATTGTTTTGATTATTGACCGATTACTAACTGATTGGCATTGCTAAGCTTATATTAATTGAATCGGTAGAGGGCATGCTTATTAGCCTGGGCGGGGGGGCAGTGATACAGTGTTCTACAGATCTTAAACAAACTTTTAATTGAAAAGAGTTAACTTTCGACTTCATACATGTACACTCTTCGAACAGTATGAGAAATTGCTTTAGTTATTCAGTTTAAATATATATTGAACTTCTCTTAATCGCGCATGCTTTTTAACGCAATAACTTGATTTGTGATCCACTTGTTATCTTAATTTAGTGGTGTAATAGTCAGCATTGTGGGCTCTTCGAGGCCAATTAGAATATATAGATCTATAATGGCTCCGTGTCTCCAACGATCCCTTGTCGGGTTTCCTGGTGTAATGGTTATCACTGTGGATTTTGACTCATTAACATCATGAAGCAAATTTCCACCAATCTGGGTTCGATTCCCGGGGAGACCTATATTCTCCTTTTGTAATTTTTGATTCCTTTTGTTGGAGATGTGTGTTGTTATATCAGCATGTTGGTTAACAATATGGTTGTGACTATTTTAAATCCTGGCTTGCAGAGAGTAGGGGGGTGCTGTTGTGTCACAAACAATGTTTGTTTTACGCTTGCATCGTCCTTAGCTAATCGTGCAGTAGCCAAATTCAATTTGCGGGCTTGTCTCGCCTGACAGACATCTCTATACCATTGGACAATTTCATATTTGTCCTAGAATTTGTTATAGTACTACATTAATGATGGTACATCGCAAGATGAAATGCGAGTTTGTATGTCGAACATTTACTGCAATGTCGCTCAATAGCTCAACCAGGGAGTGTATAGTCCGATTCAAAAGGCCCCCTTCCTATAGGTCTCAAGCGTCTGATAGCTAATCACTCATCGGCGTCTACGGTTTCGGTCATTTCGTGGAATTTGGCGACGGCGCGGGTGAATGCAACGTCTTTTTCAGAGATGCAATATTATCGTCAATGATGGCAATGTCCGCATCAAGTCGAAGAATCTTGTCTTCAACTTTGTCCAAGTAGTCTTTATCAGATAGTCGCTGCATGGGACTCCATTTTGAATCGAGCCAACTTTTCTCCCGGGCTGATCCAGTACCCCGAAGTAGTTGAGACACATATGAGCTTCCAGCTCCTAGAGTGCCAAAGACAAAAATGCCTGGTAAAACGTTTCTAGGGCCACCTAGACAAGGTGTGAGAGCTGGCTCAAACAGGTGTTCAGGAATTAGACAAGTACTTACGGATCATGCCACCAACCATACCTGACACGCCGCCAGCAATACCACCTGCTGCTACCAACTCCAAGGAACTTAGGTTCTCTTCGCCACCCCATGCATGATGAAGAAGTCCTCTCGAAGCTGATGTGAATTAGCGCGTGCCCGCAAATGAGACATGAGAGTTGGAATCTCACCTATATAGGTCGAGCCTAAAGTGAACCATTGAAGGCCAGCGAAAACTGCAAACAGGGCGGGCGGCGCAGAACGCATAATACCTGAACCAGCACCCACGAGGAGTCCGAATCCACCTTTTCATGGTCAGTTAGCAGTGAGCTAAGAATTCAAGCTCAGGGGTTGAAGAATACTGACCTGTGACCATACCAGTCTGCAAGGACTTCGCACCTATCTCCCGTAGCTCAGTAGGTGATGGCATTTCTCTGTAGTCACGTTTCTTTATTTTGGGTGTCAAAGGTTCAGTTGAAGGTAGAGCAGGGGTCTGATTCGGTGAGGAAGGAGGGCTTGTCATGGGGGGAGGCGACGAGGGTGATGAGTCTCGCTGTTGTTCCTTTTGCTGCTGCGAGGCAGACTGGAACCAGGATGACCACGGAGCCATCTTGTCCCTTCTACACAATAGTACACACTACAATGAACCTCGAATGATGTGATACGGCAATTAACTGTGCGTAGGGAGTTTGTTGGAGTCAATTAGATGATTTTTGTTTGATACAGAACAAGGCTCGGAAAACGCCGGAGTTTGCGAATCAACCCCACAGAGGGTCGGTTCTTGTAGGTGTCGCCAATACAAGTGAAGCGAGTAAAACTGATTTTGTGGTGCCTCGGAAGCTCCAAACGTGGCTGGCTACATCCAGGTGTTCTAATGGCCCGAATCTGACTTGAGCTCGAATAAATAGGAAATGAACTCGGATACCTAACAGACTAACAGAGAAAATAAGAAATATTTGTGAGGTACATTGTGATACGGCGACTCAGTGAGGGGCAGGGCTCAACATGGGTCAAATTGCTAATTGCTTTGAGCTGCACATACATAGTAGTACATTACATGTACCTGAGGTGTCGCATGTTCGAAACTTCAGGACACATAGGAGGTATATGTACTTATTATATACGTGGATATGTACATATACGGTAGGTACCTGCATGCATCAATGCTTGCTTCAAGTTCCATCCTATCACTGAAACTCTGTACAGTAATACTGCCCTTACACCCATGGGGGCTGACGCGGGACAGCCATTGATTCCTAAAGGTGGAATGAACGTATATACGCAATGGAAAAGCCGATCTCCGTCTCTCCAAGTCAACCGAGGGCATGAGCATGGCTAGACTAAAGCGCGCAAAATCAGGTCAAAAAAATAATGCCATTGGTGCGCTGTAGCGATGAGAGTCAGAAGCAGGCAGTTGATACCTGGTACATATGTACTCTGCTACCTACCTAGGTACGTAGTAGTGCCCGTACCCGAAGATGTACCCAAAGATGTACCCGAAGACGTTGGCGGGCATTGGTGGGCATCGGGGGGCATCGGGGGGGCTTTTGGTAACCGTAGGGCCCATTGACGCGCTAAAGTGCGAGCAGCCTAACCCCAAGCAGGGTACAACTCGGTACAAGCAGTCCATTAACCTTGGAGAATTGGCCCAAGCGGCCTCCCCACCACGAACCTCCCAAATGCCCAGCACCCAAAATTGCCCTCCCTCAGCGATGAAATTTTTCTTTCCGAAGAGGCAAGCGTCTCCCCTTGCAAACCCCTCGGAGACCACCCTCGCGATCCAGCCGTCAGCCAGTCGACCCGTCTTCGCAAGACATTGGCGACAGCATCTCCAGCTACGTCTACTGACTCCATCTCTGCCCCCCGATCCGCAACAGCCACCCGGCCTCCCACCGAGCGACTGTTCGACTGTTCGGCCTGTCATTCCCGCCTACGCGCGACCCTTCCCTCTCCCACACCGCACCCTGCACCGCACCGCTGCGCATCCTCTCCCAACACCGCAATCATGCGTATGTGCCCGCCCCCCGCGCCAGCCCACCCCGTCTGTCCTTTGTGCTGTGCTAACATGCATGTCCTGCAGCGCCCAAGAAGAAGGAGCAACAGAAGATGTCCCTCGGGGCCTTCTTGAGTGAAGAGAGTCAGTGCCTTCGATCCCCCCCTTGCCCCGCGGTGGATGCCGCTTCAGACCACGCATGCCTAACATGAATGCATAGAGTACGGTGGATCCTGGGCTGATGAGGTCGAGGACGTTGTCGGTAGGTGGACATTCCTCGCGCCAGAATATCACATCATTGTGTTCCTAACATAGACGACCTTCAGGCTCCCAACCTCTGCCTCCCCCGACCGTCGAACGCAAGGGTGGCTTTTCCAGCTATTCTGGTGGCTATGGCTCTGGTAGCAACGATCGAGGTGCGCTTTTACACCGGCTTGTTCCCGGCCTCTATATGTATACTTTTTCTGTTCTTAGACACTGATATCGAACATAGGCTACCCTCCCCGTGACTCCTTCCCGACTCAACTGCCTACCAAGCCACCTTATACCGCTCATCTTGGCAACCTCTCTTACGAAGCAACCAGCGAGAGTGTAACTGATTTCTTCAGCGACTGCGAAATCACCAGCGTTCGCATCATCGAAGACCGAATCGAACAACGTCCTAAAGGATTCGCTTACGCTGAATTTGCTACTGTTGATGGACTCAAAAAAGCTCTAACTCTTGATGGATCCAGCTTCCAGGGCCGGACTATCAAGGTCAGGATCGCAGATCCTCGTAAGTTGGCAGAATGTAATGTCATTTATTTGGTGAACACCCGCTAATGTGATTTTATAGCTAAGGAGCGTGAGAACCGTGGCGACTCCGCTCGTGACTTGCCTAGCTGGGAACGTAAAGGGCCCCTAGCCGACGACCCTTCTCGGAGCAGCAGTCGACGCCCTAACGATTTTGGTGACCGTGGTGACCGCGGTGATCGTCGGACCCCCAGTTTCCGTGAGGGCCCGGCAGACGATGGAAAGTTACGAGACTTTGGCAATTGGGAGCGAAAGGGTCCTCTATCTCCTCTTCCACAGCCCGAACGCTCAATGTCGCGCACTGATAGCCGTCCCCGGAATGAAGCCGGTCGCGGAGAATCTTTCCGACAGGATCGCAAATCTTCATCTGCGACTTGGGGTGAGGGACGCCAGGAAGGCTCACGACCTCCTAGAGAATTCAAAGACCGGCCCGAGCGCCCAGAACGGGCTCCCACTGCTGCGGAGCTTGACAACCAATGGCGTAGCAACATGCGTGCTCCTGTTCAATCCCCAGAACAATCACGTGAAGGTAGCGAAGCGCCACCTTCTCCAGCTGCCCCAGCTCCGGCTACCATGGCCACCGGCGGCCGCCCTAGACTTCAACTGGCGAAGAGGACAGTTTCAGAAGCGCCAGATGTTACATCACCAAGCGCAGGCGGAGATGCGAAAGCGAGCCCCTTCGGTGCTGCCCGTCCTATTGATACGGCAGCAAAGGAGCGTGAGATTGCAGATAAGCGTGATCAAGCTCTGAAAGAAAAGAAAGAAGCCGAGGAGAAGGCAAAGGAAGAGCGTCGGTTAGCCAAGGAAGCTGCTGCGAAGGAGGCTGAGGAGAAGGCGGCCGCTGAAGCTGAAGCTGAGGCTGAGGCGGCTCAGGCGGAGACAACGGAGGAGAAAACTGAAGCTCCTGTAGAATCTAAGGAACCAGCAGCAGAGACTGCCCAGGACGGTGCCTCGGGTGATCAGAAGTTGCCCTCTCGACCTAAAGAGATCCAGCAGAACCCTAAGTCGCGGGCAACAGAAAGTGGCAATTGGAGGACAGCATCAGGAGAGCAACGACAAGGCCGTGGTGGTTACGTTAATGCACCACGTGGTCGCGGAGATGCTCGAGGACGTGGTGCGCCTCGTGGCCCTCGGGGCAGTTATGAAGGCAGAGGCCCTCGTGTAAATGGAAACCCACCCCCTACTCCTACTACACAGCAGGCTCCGCAACCCGCTTCTACTACTACCGAAGCTGAGGCGGCCCCTACCCAAGATCCTGATGGATGGACCACTGTACCGTCTAAAGGTCGTCGTCAGCGTGTCTGAAGCAAGATAATGGACGGTCTATAATAAAAGATTTTCACAACCTGGGTGTTCACCTACTTGGCGTTTTGATTGGCCTTACCAACGCAGGCAGTTTCTCTGATTTTAATTTACAACCTCGTACGCAGAGGGCCTTTTCTTAAGCCTAGGTATCTCTTGTGCTTCGGATCTCGGTGACGTGCTGGAAAATTAACAGCTTCTACTGGATACCCCGCCTCTTTCGGCTCATCCTGCGGTCGATATGTTCCAGCTTATTCGACCCCTCCTTCCTCCCCCCTTTTTTTTCCTCTCCCTCCTTATCCTTTTTCGACTATTCTGGCACACACACATCTGGCATAGAATTTCGCTCGATACAACACACACACGCACACACAACGCAAGAGGCCTTTAATCAGATGAAAGTCAAGCGGATTTACATTTTGTCGAAGTTAAGTAGAAAAAGGTACAAAGGGGAAAAAAAAAGGACACAGATACTACAAAGTTTGTAGGTAGTCAGTCAGTCAAAAAAGTATGAATTCGCAACGTCAACGTAAAACGAAGGATGACGAATGGGGTGTTGAATTACGGAAATGAGGGATTGATGATGAGGGGGGGTTTATTACTATTGATGAAATATGTCTTATTCTTCTCTGTTTGTCATGTGAGTTTTTTTTTCTTTTTTTTGAGGTTGTTGATGAATGAGTAAATAAGTAAGGAGGAAGGGAAGGGGGTTTCTTTTTTAACGATGGAACGGGGTCTGGTCGGGTTGATTAGGTAGGTAAAGGAAATATTCTGTGGGTGGGTACGGTGGGGTGGCGGGCGGATGTTTCTATCCTAGCATCTTGTTTGTTCATAGACGTCGGTATAGGGAAATGGTCTCAACGAAGAAGAAAAGTTTCACAAGCAAAAAGGTTTTTTCTATTTTTCTGTCTTGCATGTGGGTGTTTTGGGGGGTGTTGTTCTTGAATTTTTTAATGTTGGTGTTGTGATGACGAATGGTGAGAGGCAAGAAGTGCATGGTATAGAATTCGGCTCATGGCTTAATTTGGGTGGAAAAGGGCTATATAATATATTACCTATCTGCCTTGCTCTCTTAGGATCATTGTTACATACATACATACATTACTAGAAATATCCGACATATTTGCACTGCCGTCTCGCTAACAATTTGATAAGTGACTATACTAAGCTATTAACTACTTCTTGAACACCTGCGCCCCTAATCGCTCGATTTCGCGCCCTTCCGTGGTGGTCTTGCCCGCCGCCTCGAGGAGCCGCATCCACGCGTCGGCGTCCTTGGCCTTGACGGCCTCCTCGGCGGCCTTGACGCGCATGCCACATTTCTCGTACATCGTGATGGCCGCACCCGGTTCGAGGTTCGTGCACTTTGGGATGAACGAGGCTGCGAGACGCGCGTTGCCGGCTTGTAGGATTAAGTTGAAGAATGGCTGTAATTTGTGGTTAGTGTGTGTTACCGGAAATTATGATTATGAGAAGAAGGGATGTGTTGTTGATGAAAAGAGAAGGGGGAAAGATAAGATAAAACTCGCTTACCTCCCATCCTATCGGGCTTTTCCTGCTCTTAGCAATTTCTTCTATCTCATTCCAATCGCGTCTCGCGACAAGAGCACGGAGTCTGTTGTACGTATTGTCAGTCAGCGTCGTATGATAGCGGCGCTCCAATCCCAAATGGTGAACAGAGGTTAGGCGGCGTGTTGTCTGCTTACCGAATCCACCACGTCACTTTCTCCGGTACTTTGAACTCGCTTTGGATGCGCTTGGCCTTGTTGGAATAGCCTAGGTGGATCAACTTGTACAGCGTTTCATTAACACTCAGTCCCTTAAAGGAGTCCGTCAGGTCTCGGTCGAGAGATTCTTGCATCCGCAGTAGTGTTGCTGCTTCTTTCAAAGCGACTAGTTCAAAATTGTTCTCCCGCGAATCAGAGAGTAATTTAGCCGCAAGCGCAAGCTTGTCGCCCGACGTGCGCGCATCTGGCTGTTTCAGGGCCTCGCGGATGAATATCCCGGCACCGTCTATTCTTCGGTCGTCTTGGTAGTAAAAGTCTTTGAGCAGAGTATTGTCGCCTTCTAGTAGGGCAGAAGACTCGACGAGGGCTGTAGCGGCCGGCCGAGTATTGATGACGCGGAAGAATGCGGCAAGGGGTAGTTTCTTTTTTAGATGCAGAAGTACGATAAAGATTAAGTCCGAATCACCGCTTTCGATGGCTTTGTCAAGTGCGATTTCATCCTCCTCCATGCTCAAGAGAAGTGGTACCTGACGACCGGCGCGTGGTTCGTGGTTGAGGAGTTCGGTAGCTAACCGGCCACGACCTTCATCATATGCAGCACGCGCGATAGTCTCAAACGATATGCCGGGCTTGCCGGCAAGTTTCTCTACAATCATGTGACAGATCGTACTATCATCTTCCGCTCCAGTCCGTACTTTGGCCGAAGCCCAGTGGACGTATATGCGATCGGTCGGCAAGCGCAAATATCCGGCGATTTTAAGGGCAAGTAGATATTCGTGTCGATTAATCAGCCTTTGTATCAAGCCTTCTGGCGTAAGGCGCTGGTATTGCTCATATGACAAGGGCAATCCAATTTCGTAATAACGAGCAGCATTAAGAACCCTCAGTGTCTCACACATATCGACAAAGTCGTCGCTATTGTAGATGTCTAGGACTGACTTGCCGAATGATGCTGCTTTGAGTAGTTGTTTTTGCCAATGAACATTGAATTCATGTCCAGCCGCTGCGACGCAGGTGTCGACTGCTTCTACAAGGTTGGATCTGATAAGTTGAATGTTATCATCCGCCTTCGGCGACTGGTTTTCGAGCTGTTCCACAGCGTCTAGAAGAACAGAAGCTGGTGATTCAGTGCCAAATCGGAAGACTTCTTCAGTAACATCTGGTACTTTTTGGATAAAATCGCAAACGTCGTTAGTTAGAAGGCGAACGCCATCGTGATCTACGATTATTAGCTTTGCCTCTATCTGAGCTGCGTAGACCTTACCGGAAATTACGTGGACACGACCTTCATATACAAAACTCGTGACGGCACTGTTAGGTCCGACTAAGTTTACTTCATCCTCCCAGGCGATGACAACAGCGTCGTTGCCACACCATGCTAGATACTTCGGGGTGATTTGGGATTTTGAATCATACTCGCTTAGTCGATCCTGAAAGTCGGACGTGATGACGTGGGTTTTCCCATCTGCGGCGTATAGAGCCGCGAACTTACCATTGGGCGAAGCACTGATGTGACTGAAAGGTCCAATATCAAGCAATCGATCTTCACAATCAGTAGCGTCCGCAACATAAATGGTCTTTCCAATGCTCAATAGCACCTCGACAGATCGTGATAGGGTGCAGCTAGGGGAAATAATAGTCCAAGAGTGAATCTCTCCCTCGGGTGGCGTAGCCAGTAGTTTGGGCCGTGGTTCGTCGTACGACGCTACTGACACGAGGGCGTTGTTTGTAAGCAGTGCTACCATGCCATGATCGTAGAATCGACACGAGTGGACTCCAAAGTCTTCAGCCTCGCGCCCTAGAGAGAACTGAGTGAACTCGCCTTGCAAGTCGTAATAGCAGCGGACAGTGCCATCATAGCTCACTACTAGCAGTCTCTCGTCTTCCGACCATCCGAGCCCCTTCACGGAGCCCTTGTCCCAAGCAATGCTCTTGAGAAGCTTTCCCGCGCAGCTGTAAATATCGATGCTAGGCTTTGAGGATTGATTAGGCCGGTAAGATATGATACGCGTCTCATCTCGACAGATTGCTGTGTGACGTCAGTTGGATTATTCGCTTACACGTGACGATTGAAAACTAATTATGAAAACTAAGGATAGGTTTCCAGGGCTTTACGGAAGGACGCAATGGGTGATAGGAGAAAAACAATTTGCTGTCTCACCTACAGCGCCGCCATATGGAGCTCCTGCAACGATATAATTATCCAGGTCTAGATCCTGGTCGAACACGGCGGTATACAGCTGGGTCTTGCGGTAGAAACGGTCGCCGACCCTTTCCCACCACGCAGTCGGATTCGTAGCCTCCATTCTTTCTTAGAAGCTACCATGCCGTTTCAATGACATTGTGAAATTGTCCGTCTCAATCATATATGCACTCTCCAGCGTTACCTTCGTCGAGATTAGTGATTGGGCGATGCAGGCAGACGCGCAGGCAGGAAAGTCGCTACTGTGACTGGCTGAGGCTTGAAGTCTTATAAAGTGGCTGGAGCTGGGGCTTGAATGAAGGACCATGGTTGCTTATGTAATACACCCATAGCAACCAACCATGTTAGAACTCTACAGGATTCAGTGTATCTCACCAGCTTCACTTACCCAAGGTAATATCTAGACTATCAGCTAATACAAAGATTGATTCAAAAGCATACACTAAGCTAGATTTAATATGCTACACGTCTGGCATAGAATATCATGTGTCTACATACTTGCTCCTGTACATGCCACACATTCACACCATAGAGTGTCAACACTAAGATCAAAACGACAGATATCATTCAAGGAATTGTTCTGTATTTAAATTGAATAAGCAACTAATTATCCTATTCCGACGTTGACATCAGACTCCAAGACTGCAGGAGTCTCCATATCTACGGACCGCCAGAGGGTCATTGGTCGCCGTAACGAACAGTTGTACTTCAACAAGTTCACCCATAATTAATAGAATGCAGCGCGAACTGCTGCGCAGATCTACTTTGCCACGCCATGAACAACATGCTCGGCTTTCGTTACGATACATGTAAATGGCGTGCCTAGAGGACCAGCTTCATTTTGACGGAGGCTTGTCCAGCAAATATAGGCTCTCTGGCTAGGCTATAAGATCACTGCTACATACCTCCCCAAGCCCCCGTGCGCGACACAGCAAACGGAGGTGATGTGACATAATCGCCAGGTATATAGGCTCATTTAGTCGTGAGAATGAGTGATAAGGGGAGCAACCTTGATGTTCCACGAGCAGTGGGGCCAATATAGCCACCCTTTGGCGAGAGAAGCTGCTTTTCACAACTCGCCATGGGGACTCAGCACCAGGCCTTCCTCGGTTTGGTTCATGTTAGAGCGGTGTTGAGCCTGTAGGCTGGCTGGAGCTAATTGCATGCAGTGTCATCAGACTGAGATGCTTAGCTATCAGCTACAACCAGCTGCCAGCACTAAGAATTCAAAAGTCTTCTGCACGTAGATCATAGTTGTCGGGACCTACTTAGTATACCGGTGGAGACGGACTAACTGGTTCCTACCAAGGCTTTTCATCCCTTGTAGTTGCGTCCATATCTCTTTTGCATCATTTTCTTGTAATGAGCCTTTTTCCCACTCGTTTTGGCGGCTTGAATCTCGCCATACTTGTTCTTGAATCTTCGGGATGCAGCCTCCGTTTCTAACACATCCTCGAGGAGAGTTCGCTTTCGTTCCTTCTTCGTCATGCGGCTGCTGAAATAATCAGTTGGCCCAGGTACGACGGTTCCTACTTGTGCAAATTCGGGAATGGCACGAGTAGTATCCTTTTTGTAGTGGCGTTTGGGATCCAAAACGTCTCGCATTTTGAGAAGTTGCAGATCGCGACGAAGCTGAGGCGTCAAATCAGTAGCAGGCAGATTGAACCACTGCGGACCTGCATCGGCTTTATGCGCCTAGTTGTTCGTTGTCAGTTTCTGGTTATAGACGAAGGGACAAGAATCAACAAGTGATGAAGCTTCAATCAGCGTAACTATTCCAGAATGATTAGTTGTTGAACCAGGTAGTGTTGGGACTGGTTGGGCTTACCTATGATATAAAAGATCATTCTGGCGTGAGGACATTGCCCATGACGGGAGTGGCCCTCACATCAATAAAATTGGGATAAATTTTCATCAGGAAGCAAGGCAGAACGGTGATGTAACAGCGCGATGACATCGAAAACGTACCATTTCTTTCTTAGACTTGCGAGCCTCGGGCACTCGCACAGATAGTTCCTCGGCCTTGGCCTTACTGGGTGTTGAAGTGGTAGGTTGCGAAACAGATGCGTCGGTGCTATTGCTCTTCACTACCACATTTTTAGAGGTTCTGGGCGCAATGCCTTTGCCTTGTTGTGCTTGCTGTTTCTGCAGAAGTCTCACTTCGGCCTGTTCTAAAAGCTCGTTGATCTGCTCATCAGACAAGCTGGTCGCAGTGTCCGCCATGATGGATCGGTGGCAGGCGGTGCGCCCGTGTCAGAGTATTGAGGATTAAGAGTTGAAGGAAACAGGTCGCAGCAATATTTTTTTTCTTTCCTTTTGCATGGAGCTAGGTACTCTTTCTCCACTGTGGCTGGTACGCGTGCTTGGGCATTTGTGGCCGGGCGACCAGGTGTGGCTTGGTTATGCTCCTGAGGTAGGTATAGTAAGTAAGTACCTTAGGTACCTAGTCCCGAATCCGCATCACAGATGTATATGGATAGTAAAGATGCTTCCCCAAAGTCAATTTGTGACACAGCACCAAGTGTTACTTCCCGTCTCTGCCCAATTGCTACATCCGCCTTGGGAGAAGAACAAATCGTCCGATCTCTTGTCCTAGAGGAGGCGGAATGGATGTCAACTGCCGTCTTCCACATGGAAGGTAGCTTAACGCGATGCCATGGGCTAAATGCATGTTAACTGGAAAAGGAAACAAAAGCGTGTGTAGCAGCATGCAGGCCCGGGATGGAGCTTGCAATAATGTGTACAGCTGTACAATCCCTCCTACTATCGTGACCTCATCCTATCCATATCATATGTCTCTATGTACATATGTAGGTAGGTAAGTAGGTAAGTAGGTAGAGAGGCAAGGGATGTACTGCATTACTAACAAGCCATGAACGGCAACATCGTCAGATGCCGTCACAGCCAGGGCTCACTCGGGATTGACGATGATGCGTTTCTGCCCAACCAGATTGCCAGCGCATCCCTCCCACACACAACTCAGCCGTCAGCCTGGTGTTGGCTTGTGTTGGCTTGTGTTGTGCATCTGATAATGGGCTTAATAAGAAGTTATGGGGATCCTCTTCTTCTTGCTGCCCTCTCATCTTCCGACAAACCTTTGATCAATTGAAGATAACCCCTTTGCATAACATTCAGCCAATTGCTTGGAGTCGCTCAACACAACGTTTCTTCGACAACCCACAGTCTGGAAACCTGCCTATTGGGCCACCAGCAGCCCCGTCCCACCTGCTCTCGCGAATCTCGCGCCATAGAGAGTATAATTACAGTTCGATATTATACAGCCTGGAATACAGGACAGCGCATGCACGAAACGCGACAAGACAAACGGATACATACGTCTCTGTCTTCACATTCTCTAGATATCTAGATAGGTAGGCGCTTTCATGTCTGACTGGAAAAGGCGGGAGAAAGAAGAACTCTGGCCCTGAGCAAAAGCAAACATTATTCATCGTAGTCTAACCGGGACAGGCTAGATCAACCCGCTTTCTCTCCATAATTAAGAGGAAAATACCTGATCCAAAGTATCCTTTGTCGCTTCGTCTCGTCATCCCAGATTCTACCCTACAACCTACAAGGTACCTAAGCAAAATCCTTCCAGCGGTCGGTTAGTAAGGTACCAGCTCCCTCCACTCCCCATCTTTCTTCCCCCGATCGCTCCCTGATTGCCCTGACTGCGCCGATTGCCCTAATTGCATCGCCCACTCAAGCACCCAAAAAACCCCTCCTTCAACCAATCAATCCTGCCAATCCATCCTCGACGAGACTCGACGGCGGTGCCAACCATTGGAAGAGCTCATTCGTTACATCACTTTATCGGTGTCCTACCTATCTGGTATAGCTACGCGAAATCCAATCCCAGACCAATCCCAGGCCAATCCCGGCGACGCGTGCGCGCAACCGCTCTGCCAGCAGCTCTCAAGCCCTTCTTGTGCATCGACTGTAACAGCCCAAGACAAGGAGCGACACCAACCAGGCAAGACAGTCCACCCGACCTCAAACATACATAGTTATTAATCTCTCCTCCCCCGCCCAGGCGCGACCGCATCACTTCGGCGCATCGATAGCCACAGCCTACCATCTGCCTCCGCCCGCTTTTGCGCCTGCCATCCGGGTTGTACCTTGTGGCCGTGTAGCTTTCTCGTGGAAACTTAGTCGGCACGAGACATACATTACGTACTGTCGAGAAACGACCTCGTGATCGATCCTCGAATATACGACTCTACGTCCCTATACCTCTCAGCGGGACCCGTTCTCCTCGGCCGTCAAACGGGCGATATCGGCTATCACAGGGCTGCATCTGCATACACCTGCAGGAATACCAAACAGCAGCGAAGACGGAATAACACTGGCGCTGGTCGTCTTGATACCAATACCGTAAACGCTTTTGAAACGAAGTTGAAAGCTCTCATTATCTGCCTACCTACGGTTTTATTTGAGCTTTCATACCTACAACCATGGATCAGTCAGCGACCAGTCACCCGCAATCGTCACGAACAGCCGGCGCAAGTGCAGCGCCCGGCGCAGCAGCAACTGAATATGACACGCGTCATGGAGGTCATTATGGTATGTGCATGTACCAATTTGTCGCAGGCAGCCTCAGTTCTGTGTGACGTCGCTAACCATCTCTCCTTCTAGGTGCCAGCGCTGCTGTAAGTCATACACCGCCACATACCATTCCTTCTCTTTCTGCTCATCTCTCCTTCTCTTGTCATCCATTCCCATGCTCGAACCATTCATGACTGACTCCGACCATACAGCTCGCAAATTCCGGCTTCGCGCCCGCTGAGCTTTACACAGGTCCTTGGGCGAACGTACACCAGGGTCTACACGGTCAATACAAGGACATTCTGACCACTTACTGGCAGCAGACAATCAATCATTTAGAGACGGATACTCACGAGTACAAACTGCATCAGTTGCCCTTAGCCAGGATCAAGAAAGTTATGAAGGCCGACCCTGAAGTGAAGATGATTTCGGCAGAGGCGCCCATACTATTTGCCAAGGGTTGTGATATCTTTATCACAGAGTTAACGATGCGCGCCTGGATTCACGCCGAGGAAAATAAGCGACGAACCCTACAGAGGTCTGACATTGCCTCCGCCCTCGCGAAGAGTGACATGTTCGACTTCCTAATCGACATTGTTCCGCGCGAGGAGGCCACCCACCCCAAGCGCCCCAATCCAGCAGCTCAGTCACAGTCAGCGCCAGGCGTCCCAGCTGCGGCGGGTAACCAAATGCCTGGTCAGCACGGTATGCCCGGTGCTAATCACATGGCACCGGACTACATGGGCGCGCACGGCATCTCGCCTGAGCAGGAATACCGTCCCCAGCCCATGTACAATCAAGTACAAACTGGCGCGCCAGGCCCGCCGTACGGCCAACAAGGCCCGCAAAACATGTATGGTGAAATGGAAGGAATGTATGGGTATCCGGGAATGCCACAGCAGCAGTAGGACGCTCAGGGCACGTCGACACCACAACTCCATCCTACTTTGCTGCAGGATCAAGTTCAGGACGAACCACAAGATCCAAGCAGGGATGAACCACAGATATCTACACTAGAGGAGTATATTGACTAGGAGAGATACCTTGTCTGAAAGCCTGCCTCGGGGAAATTCAGAATGAGTCGCAGGGTACTTCATCACAGGAGAATGATGGCTAAAAGAGCTGTGTCCTGGCCCAACTGATCTTCTTCACGACGTTGCCAAATTGGGGAAGTGCTTCTCTTCGCGTGAATATTTTTTTCAACCAACTTCGACTTGTCGTGGGTATAATTTACACTTTTATTTTCTTTAAAGGTATGGATGGCAATGGCGTATAGGTGAAATGCGCTTTTGTTTTTCTAGGTTAGGGCAAATAGTATACTCCCCCACAGGAACAAATACGTAGCATTTAAGCTCGGGTGTTATTCGAGAGAAGTCGAGAAAAAAATGCGATGTTTTCTGTTTTTTGTTTTTGTTTTTGTTTTTTATTCTCAATCCTGCAGAATGCGCGCATGGATGCACCTAGATGGATGCCAAAAAATTAGTTTTCGCTTATTTATTCGACCCGAAACGGGACGATAGATTAGATGAGAAGTTTGCGAAACGCTGGGTTGTTGGGCCCGTGCTCGAGATTTCTTTTGTCAGCCTGTCGACATGTTAGTAAGAAAGAAAGTTGTAAATTACGATTTCTGACGTGTAAAACAATGCATACTTCTCGAGTAACATGGGACCGTTCATGGCGTCTACACGGCCGTACTTCTTATTCCTTGTAGAGACGTCGAAGAACTCGTCCGTGTTCTCTGACTGCAGGAGCTGTATGGTCTGTTCCAGCTCGTCCAGGTTAGACCGCAGCATGAACCCGTTCTCGAGACCGTCGACGAAGTCCGTGAGATGCTGGACATCCTGGGCTAGCGCGATGACACCGTTGGGATTGATCTTCTTAACATCAGGGGATAGTGGGAGGCCCTGTAACCGGTTTCTACAATTAGCTAACTGTTGGTGTGGCAGGTAGGCAAGGGGAAGGAAGACTGACGAGGATCTTGCTTGCTGCGTGGCTGAGTGCGTCAAAGTATATAAGTTCCTTGATCTCACGTGGTAAGCCCAAGAGCGTCGTGCTCATGATATTAGACAAGTAGGTAGTCAGGGTCTGAATGTAGCTGCTTGGCTCGGCCGGCGGGGTGGCAGCCATCCAATCGTACTCGGCTGTCTCCATAAGGTCGTCAATTTTGGAATTAACGAGCTCGAAGATGCGCTTTTCGGCTGTTTTTTTATGTTCGCGGAACTGCTCAGTGGCGGCAAGATTCAGTGGACCACCCGCAGAGCCTGAGGATCGCGCGCGTATCAATAACTGTTCCAGCTCTTGACATGCAGTTTCGAAATGCTCCAGGTTCGTCAAGATTTGGACGATCTGTCCAGGATATTGCGAACTAAGGCGCTCAACCAACGACTTGCACACCTTCTCTGTGAGGAGCTCATCTAAAGACTGTTTGTTCCTTGAATAAGCAGATGGTCTAAATCAGCTCCGAAACAGGGTACTTGCCTTTCGCAGCGTCTCGTCGATCTTCGTTGGATGCTGAAAGTAATCATTTGAAAAGAAGTAGAACTGGTTGAGGAAATTTCTAATATCGATACAACACAGTGGGTACATCTGCGAGAATGGCAGTACGCAGGGGAATCTTTGAAGAATTAGCACTTGGGGAACTCAAAAGTGTACGTAGGGAGTCAACTAACGTTAATTCCTCAATAGGCTGGTCTTGGGTGAACCAACTGACGTTGGCAACCTTTTCGTATTGCTCTCTTGTATCAATGGCCATAGGCATATAGTCATCAGTAGACACAATCTACAGAAGGTCAGTTTGGCCCTTGAAGAAGCATTGCTATACTCATCCATACCTCTTGAAAGTCTTCGCTGAATCTCCGCTTCAGCAGCTCCGCGTAATTATCAAATAAGGTTACTAAGAAGTCATCGAGCCTTGTGACCGAGTAGCCCCATCCCTAAAATATTATGTTAACCCTGTTACGCCTCATAGAACGGTTATCCATACCTCCATAGTCTGTATGAAGAGTGCAAATGCTCCTTTGATTTTCACGAGGTCTTCGGCGTTGCTGATATCCCCTAGAGCCTTTGAAGTCAAAGAGATGGCGGTCGAACACATTGAATCCCATAACTCCTCAACCTGTGCATAATGTCAGCGAGGTCCTAGCTTGCCTACAAGAGCCGTACATCTATTGCTGAGCGTAATTGAGGTGCTCTTCGCATCGTCGCCTTCTCGATGATTGCAAAACCGGAAATGCTCTCTAGGAGACTGCTCAAGGATTGTTCATCATCAGTCGTCAAGCATACAGAGCCCGGAAGTAGTAGTTCTTTCTGCCGCCTCCTCGTAGCAGCGTACTCGGACCGAAACTTGTCGCTCTGGCCCAGCGCTTCATGTATATGTAAGGCTTCAAAGAGAGGGGTAAAATCAACCTTGCGATCACGTTAGCTGAGAATTCAAGTAGAAGCCTTTATATGTACCCACCCGTAGTTCGTCATTATTCAGGACATCGAATTCTTCACTTTCATCGAACACCAGCTCAATGGCGGAATTCAGGCCAAAGTTATCTAAGAACTCATTCTGCTGTACCCTCTCTTGCTGTCGCATCCTCCTAGTTTCTGTCTGATAAAAAGCCACTTCTCCTAGAAATTGCGAGGTTTCTCTTATGCGATACAGCCACGTGTTTAGATCTGTCATGACTGCTTCAGAAATGGTCTTTTGCGAAGCTGGTATAGATTTTTGGATCAGATCGGCCAAGCGGTGCTGCGTGGCGTACTGATTCTGTATTGTGGGAATGAGAAACTCATTTTGGAGGTCGTCCAGCGACTTGAGCGCGCCATAGTAATTCTTCTTTCGAATCAAGTCATGGGCATTATTGACATTATGCAAGATTTTGAGGGATTCCTTCAAGGCCTCAGAGACGTCGGAGATATTTTCTCGAACTGCACGGGTATTCACAAGCCCTTGCTTCTGTGCTGCCAGCTTTTCCGTGCTCGCTTGGATGGACTGGTTGAGCTCGAGAATATCGGCTGTTAAAGCAACGGTTCGCTCGCGCACATTTTGTAGCTGATTGACTGAGCCAAGGAATTCTTCATGCTTTGTCAGACCTATCCTCTCTATCTCGACCTCTCTATCATCGGCATATTGAGACAAAGTCTGGGTAAGGGCGCTTGATCGATTGGTGCTCGTCGCGTCTTTCAGAACAGGGATCAGCTGGTCCAGGAACTCGGCGTCGGTGGTAGAGAGGATGATCTGCTGAACGGCCGAGCCGTAGTCATCATAATTTTGTACTTTGCGTGGCATGATAGATAGGCGCTCCTGAACCGTCAACGAGTAGGTATGTACAAGTATGCGATCGATATCGTGTGTATTCGAAGACGTTTAGGAGATCGTAGGGGTACTGATGCGAAGAGATCGGCAATCGTTCAAGTTGCCTACCGATTAGAGGACGTCCAGATAGTCTTTCTCATACTGGGCGACGGATGACGTTTGGTACTCCAAGATTACCGAAATGTCCTTACGAGAACGTACTGACAGCGATCGTGGGATGCTGTATGCAGATGCCTAGGCTAGGTACAGGGGTACTTCACTTTACATACGAGACATGCCCACTTCACGCATTTGCTACACTAATAGTAGCAGCATTACAGGGGGAGTCACCCCACACTTGGCATCATAAGGCGTGCGGCATCTACCCGCACATTATTAGGTAATCTTTCAACAACAATCCTCGAGTTGCCGACGGGTACCCGGGTATTCGGATACTTCCGTCTTCACAGAAGATTTCGCATATGCGCTGCCAAGATTAATAGAGGTATCTTCGCTAATACCTTTGCATCGAGGTGCCTTGTGCCGCTTCTGAAGATAAAGCTACCTCGCAGGAAAGCATTCATTCTTCTTCTCTAACCCCTGTCGTAGGTACTCACACTTCTACGAGGAACACATTATATAGGACGTTAGCCAACTACAAATTCAAGATACGAGACGTCGGTGCAATAAAGTATCAATTGAATAGCTAGGTAGGTATTTTGTGAAAAGAAAGAATTCATGAGTGGAGTTTCTGTCAATTTGCTCATCTGCATCTTACATAACAACCAAAAACGTACGAGAGCCCCCCATTCAAACCCAATTTCAAGGTTTGGCTCAGTACATGCACAGGGCCTTTTCCTATTCTAGTCGACTACACAAGTTCTCCGTCTTGTTTCTCGCTCTCGCTAAAGCTTACGGGATGTGTATTCCCAACACTCTCTCAACTTCGACAAAACATGTCAGCATCGGCGAGATCTAAAGACTCAAATCGCACAAAAAGCTCATGAGGCTCTTTCTTATGGCGAGTGGAGATTTTCCGTTTATAACTTCTTAAAGGGGTTCATGGAAATTTTAGAAATCACTCACTGGCTGCTGTGTTCCCACCTGGGCCGTCATTGAAGAAGAGTGGAACGCCAGGCGCAAGCGTAATACACATATTGACCATGCGTTCGAATAATGCCAAATGGGCGGGGACAATTCTCACCCCGGCCCCAATGCCAATGGCGTCGTAGCCCCCTTCCCGCAGAAGCTCCTCCATTTCCTTGAGACTCTTTTCTATCTCTTGAGAGTCCAGCAGACACGCAACAGGTGTAATGCCGGCGCGCTGGATACGAGCGTGGTCGTTGCGAATCTTTGCACCGATTTCTTCCTCTGTCCCGTAATGCTCCCTGAAGGGCTGTGGCAGCGGGACGTTTGGTTGGAATCCCGTCAGGAGTAATTTCTTATGGACAATGTCTGGCATGGTTTGGAAGGGGCTTTCTCTCTCTCTACAAAGATTCGGAAGTAACAGGTTGGATTATCAATATGCTTCTGCCGTGAGTCAAGTTTCTCTTGTGATATTGGAAAACTGACCGCATGACGGGCATCACGATACTTATACCCTTTCGCTATATACTACGCCTGAGAAAGTTAATCCGACGTTTATAAGATTTATAAGCGTACAATGACCCTTATCTAATTTCTCAAGCAGGGGAAAACTCGCTTACAAAATCGCCGATCACTGTTGGTGCGGAGGAGCCCGCACTTAGGGTAATCTTTCTGTAATCCATGAAAGATGCCTAACTACTTGCATACAACGCCCACTTAGTCGAAGGACGACATGATACGAACTATGTAGCTCTCTAAATGTATCCAAATTCGGCGGACTGTCTTGAGTGGAACAAGCCAAGGAGTTTCAGTGGACCTTCTATCTTCTAAACATTAGAGTGCAGAACAGCGACAGCAGCAGGTTAACACGTGCAAAACGGCCACCTCATAGATAAGGGGGTAACCATACATTGGAAAAAGTAAGTGATTGTTATTCTATGATTTTAGTCAACCTGCTAACTCGGAGTTTATAGGTCCCTCGATTATGGGATCCGTTCACATTTCCTTACGTACCTAGGTAGGTAAGTGTGATGATAGTGGCAGAGGCTTGCAGTCTCAACAAAAATCTACATGTACCTACCTAGGTAGGTACCTGGGTGCGGCAAGGCCAACCAGCACTGGGCGTTATGGGCAGGGCCAATGGAACTACGTGTTGCCCATTCTTCGAACGCTCAGTGAGATCATATGGCAACAGCGAAAGAAGAAGGAGGTTGAGGTGGAAGGTAGTGCCTCCCTCAGGGCAGCCTGTAGGGAATTTGGAAATATGGGTTGCATCATCGAGGAGGGAAGTCAGCGACTTCTAATGGTAATCGGAAGGCGGTTGCAGTTCACTCCATGAAGGCTATCGCGGCAGGTAGGTAGGTATATGACCTATATGTCCACAAATGTAGGCTGATAAATGCATCTTGTCAGGTAGGTAGTAGGGTAGGTAGGTGGGTGAAAGCCCACTTGAAGGCAGCTTCGGCAGCTTCCAGTCAACCAAGGTTTGTATGTACGCATGTTCTTTCCAATTCACACTAAACGGCGCGCCTTCCATTCAGTATCCTTAGTTCAAAAGTTTGTACCACCCTACGAGCTGTCCCTCCAGCCAGACCGGGCTCGACTCGACCCAGAGCAAATCCCTTTCCCTCCCCTGCCTCCTCCATCTCAGCCAGACGACCCTTCGACCATCACTCGCATAGACAATACTTCGTCCCCCTTCACTCCTTGCACGCCTTAATCAATCTTCATCTTCCCTTCGTCTCCCGCCGCCGCGGTGAACCCCTTCTAGCCACCCGTAGTCTTCCCCGTCAAGTCTTCCCGAGGGCTTGGGTCTATCTTAGTGCAACGTCAAGTAGACTACTGCAGCAGACAAACCCCTTCCTCGGTCAGAATCTTTAAGGGCATCTGCAGACAGCACGGACTCTATTTTCTGCATTGTACGTTTAGTTTGCCAATGGAAAATCACTCATTGGTCCATTGTCTATTCACAGCACAATAGGCCCATTCGGGCTGTATGAACTAACTAGGACGTAGATTTGCGATACGAAATCACATTGGGCTTAGGGACAGCACCCATTCATTCGCCCATTGACTGTCTAACCACTGGCGAGTGGCTTTGACCAGTGGGTGACCGAATACAAGGGCCACAAGGCAAGAGTGCAGGCAATCAACCAATCTAAGATCATATTTATCACAGCGATTTGAACTTGACCGTCAGAAATCTCGTACTTTAGTGCTAGAGATATCATTTTCTATTTCAAGTCAGGTACCCTACCTGGGATCATTTAATCTGTGCTCTTCAGAATCCTTCGGTTTGCTTGAGGCACGAGTTTTCGAGCCTGTGCACTCCCTGGTAAGTAACTGCCCCGGTTCCTACTTATCTTCTTCACCTTGCATAGTGTTTTCACCCAAGTCAAGCCTCTTTTCAGAAGGCGAAGATTTCCATAGCGAACTCGTTATTTTCCCCATGCGCGCTGCTCTGAACTTGAGCCGCAACTCAGATCATCAAGCCTTCTGGAAAATCTATCCTAGACATCATTTCTCAACTGGGAAACTTGCAGGCTGATATTGAATTAGTTACCGACGCAATATATCTGTTGCGCACCCGATTCGCATTTTTTCTGAAGCCATCCAACTTTCCCAGAAGTAGGTTCCGTCATAACTAGCCCAACTTCACCTTTCACTCATCGGGCACTCCGAGAGCAGCACCAGGCCTGGATTTTTGTTGTAGTGGCTTTTTGGGACCACTCACTTTACCTAAAATTTCTTCAGCTATCTCTCCAGTCTACATCTACTTCTCTATCTAATCAATCTTAGATGCTGATATGTTCTACTAGGGATCGTTCTTCTACCTTGTTTACTGAAACGAGTCTCTCACTGTGAGTTAGCCACCTCGTTGGAATCACGTAACAGGCTGTATATCTCGCAGAGGCAACTTGGTTCATCAATCGTCATTGTACCTGCTGCTGCTGACCGCGCTTCAGCTGAAAAGACTCATTCAAGACTTTTGCAAGGGAAACGAGGCTGGTCTAATCGAAAGCTACAGTAACTTTAACTACCCACACTACCACAATTCCAATGAGCGACCAACCGTATACGCTACAAAAGCCCCCCGGTCCCAACATGAGCGTCAATCCTTCTAGCCGCGAGGGTCACTTCAACCCGGCCTCGCCTCATTCGTCCAGCGGCGCAGCCGATTCCTTCAAAGGCACGCCAGAAACTCGTTTGACAACCTTTTCTCCGGATGATGGTTCTGCCAAGTCCTCTAAGGCATCGCAATCTCTGAGTGTTAGGACCCAAGAGAATCGACTCAGATTCGCATCAACTCCTCGGGGAACTCTAGAGCTTCCAAGTTCTTTCGTTCGGGCAAATCTACATTCAGAGAGAGATCCCTTTGTGTCATCTTCAGCTATTGGAGCCAGTAGAACACAGAAGCTATCCCCAACTGCCTCTGTATTCCTGCCGTACCCGAGTGTCCTTACCAACAGTGGTCAGGTGATTGAGCCGATAGGACACCAACGAAGTGATTCCACTGGCAACAAGACCTCTGATCAACAGTTAGCAACGCAATCTCAGCAAGTACAATTTGCCCACAACACTCTCAGTACGGATCTGAAATTGTCACGATGTTTGGTCATAGACGATCCCCGCCGTCGACTTCGTGCCCATGATGTGGGCTCATATCTATCAGTATGGAGTTCAAAGTGTTCATTGGGTGTATACACTCTGCTAATATTAATTAGGAACTTGAAACCAGCGGTCTTGAGATGCATGGAAGGCGACAGATCTGCGAGGATGAGAATGGAGACAGAATCTTTGTACGATTTCTCAACATTCGAGATGCCTGTGCCGCATACTCCATTCTTAGCCGCGCGTATGATAGAGGTTGGCTTGTCAATTATATCAGTCCTTCGGAATACGCTCAGGTACGTGATTATTTCGGAGTCTCGTGAATGCCAGTCTAATCCCGCTTAGTTCGTTGAACCAGAGATTGGTCGCCAAACCATCCACGAAGGCCAGGTTTACCTCAATGTCTTTGCAACAGGCGTTCCTATCATTATCGAACCCCAGCGATTCGAACTAACTCTGAAAAGACTACTACAAGACCATGGGGATCTTTTTGCCTTTAAGCCTGAATTAACCACTGGAGCCGAAGGCAGCCTCTTCAGTGCAATCGCAGAATACTGCGATAATGATACTTGTCTAGAAGCCGTGTCCAAGTTCAACAACACGATTATTGAGGTTCGTAGCCATAAATCTTTACTATTATTAAATTGATACTGACCTGGTCAACAGGGCTGCTTCCAACTCTGTATTACATTATACCGACCTGATATCTCAGCATACGGAATCAGCAGCAATGGCATGATCAGCCCTGCTCGGACTTCCACGACTGAATCAGATATCGTGCATGATCTGCAACGGTTAAACATGTCTCGTCCCCAATCAACTGTGCCGGGGTTGAACAATTCCAACGCACTTCTCAGCACTCCGGTACGCTCACCAGCACTACATATGCAGCCAACGTACGGAATGCTTCCTATTCTATACCATGGCATTCCTATGACTACCCCACCCTACGTATTTGACAACTTGTCAACTCGAGCCCATACCACAACGTTCCCATCTGCGGCATATCCATTTCTCAGTCCTATGGCGCCCCGGAGCGCTTACATTCCGCGTGATATGGTCGTTCCACGACAGTTCTCTAGTTTGAACCGGAGGCAGAATGCCACCAGAATCTCCAGATCTCCTTACTATCAACAAACCAATAGTCATAACCATGTTGATGTTAACCGCATTAGGGAGGGAACTGATGTCCGCACAACGGTGAGAACTTCATATTACAAATTGCAAAACATTTCTAATCTATGACAGATCATGTTGCGAAATATTCCAAACAAGGTTGATCAAGCCATGTTGAAAAGAATCGTAGATGAATCTAGCTGGGGGAAATACGACTTTATGTATCTTCGCATCGATTTCGCTAACGACTGCAAGTAAGTCACCGCTATCCGAGCAAGAACTTTAGGTATGAAGACACACATGACTAACCTTCTATAGTGTTGGCTATGCGTTCATCAATTTCGTTGATGTAAGTAAAACTCAGAACTTATAAGATTGAGCTAGCTGACTCTATGTAGCCATTGGACATCATCGATGTAAGACCTACCTTGTAAAATTACGCTATCACTGAGCTAATTCATATGTAGTTTGTGAGCGCAAGAGGAAACCAGCGCTGGAATTGCTTCAAGAGCGACAAGGTTGCCGAAATCTCTTATGCCAGTAAGTTCACTCAACTCATTTCCTTATTTGCCATTGTATGCTAATCCGACGGTACAGCAATCCAAGGCAAAGATTGCCTTGTCCAGAAGTTCCGTAATAGTTCGGTTATGCTGGAGGCTGCACATTACAGACCCAAGGTAAGAAAGGAAATCCCTTACTAGTTAACATTTAGTATTGATGTATTTGCGTAGCTATACTACACTCTGAATGGGCCCTTGCCCGACCTTGCTGGACAAGAGGAAGCATTCCCCGAGCCTGATAATCAGTCCAAAATGAAGCGAAGCTGCGAAAATGCCGAGCATGTTGGTACGTAGAACCCAGAGCTGTCAATTATACCTTGAAGCTTTGCCATCCTAATTCGCCGCTAGGCCTCTTTACTCCCAATGCCGGACAGCACTTCCGTGACGAGCAACGTCGTAGACGCTCCCAATTCGATAGAGGTACCCGCATGGCAGAGGCTGAAGAGTTTGATTATGATGCAGCACTGCATCACAATTTCTACCCTGCATAGAATCTACAGGCACTGCGTCGAGAGAGACTTGTCCCAAATTCTCAAACCCTGGGATACTCGACGCTTGAGTGCGCCTCAAACGTCTCTGGATGGGGTTCTTATGACAGTCCGCCCAGTCATAAAGCCTCCCCGAAATTTTGCCACTTTCGCTCTGAGCTCATCTTTTGAAGCATGTTCCACAAGTTCATAACCTCCAGACTCTTTCGCCTTAAGAGATGCGCCTTATCACATCTCTGCCTTATGCAGCGGACTGAAATCAACACGTACGCCAACATCACGGTGTAGCGAGTGTCGGGGATAATAGCAGCCAGGAAGGCGTGATACTTCAGTGCTTGCTTCGATTATATCCCTCATTTTGGCACTCTAATTCATCGCAAATATCATTTTATTTGCTACATCAACATTTGGCCGTCTCGCCTTCGACAATGGACGAGTCGTTTTTGGGGTTGCGAACCAACACACATATCTATCACGGCTGGGAGTGAACGTTACACAATTATATGGAGTTGTCTACCTGAATGACCACGACTGATAGAAACACAGCGCAGCGAACAGTCGAGGACCTCTCATGAAGTAATACGCCCATTTCTCGATTTGCCATTTGGCAACATTCAGTTTGATACAAAGTTTCAGAAGATGTCGCACTCTTTTAGGGAACTAAGAATACTGATCTGAGACACTCCTCATACTATGGGAGAACCAGGAGATATTTTTGCTACTCATTGAACTTATGGGAATGTAGGAGAACACAGAAAATTTGGACGCGATGCTTTCAGGTACCGCGCGAAATGTTTCAGGCGAAACAGGCGAAGCGTTGTGATCTTCTAAGGTCTACGATTGTCGACAGCAGTATCAGCGGTAATATCAATATGAAATCGCTTTGATTTGCACTTGTGATTCCCCGGAATTCATCTCTTTCATGAAAGACACGAGTGGAATGCGTCGTTGCAGAGAAAAACCGCAATCTCGTGAAATGTCTACGAACTAAGCGTGACAGCTGCTTATGTTGCTCAAGTCAACTACCCTCCATCGGGTATCAAGAAGACATTCAACCAAAAATTAATGGAAGAAACTCTGACGTAACTTCAATAACTCGCTGCCAGCTCTCGTCTACACACATGTAAGGACTCGAGGTGACTATTGTTTATGGTGCTCTATGGTACAAGCGATGATTCGGCATCAAGTCACTCAGTTCTAAGCACATCATCGACGTTTCTGCTCAAATGAAATGTGTTGGTTTCGTTTCGTTTGACTCTCCTGTGCATCGCATCGATCTAGAACCATGCTCTCTGTAGCCCAGTCCCGGGAAGTTTTATGCTAGAAAGCATAGAGAGCTTTTCCTTGAGACTATTTGCGATGATTTATTATCTTTCTTTCTTTTTCATGTGTAATGTGATTATGTGGGAGAGAATCGCAAATGTGAAGGAAAGAAAAAGAAAAAAGGAAGAAAGGAGAAGGAAACGAGGGTGTTGTTTTGTTAGATGGAGAGAAAGCGGCGTGGAGAAGAGAACGGTTTTGTGGGGTTTGTACGATGGTGCTTGCGATGCCATGCCATGCGATGATTTATGGCGATATTATGCGGAGAAAAGGAATATTGCGATCGGTGATTTTTGTTTCTCGTGTTATATTTTGCGGTTCAATATGTTGTTTCCTTACTTGCGGTGTTTTCCCCCCCCTTTTGCTTTCGGATGTGATGGTGATTTGAGCAATTGAGTGAAAGGGATGCGAATTGAATGTCTCATGGACTGATTCGTTGGTTGATCGGAAGCGTTGCGCATTGTGAATCTATGGGGGCTATTCTCTCGTACGCTGCGGAGAGAGGGTTGTTTGCGGTGATATATCGAGGACGATGACTGCGGATGAAGAGGGATAGGGGATATCGTGATGGAGTAGATGATGATTATGACTGTGATTCACTTGATGCGATGAGTTAGTTAGTAGTTTGTTTGTTATGACCTCGTACGACATTGCGTGGTAGATACGTGCCATCGAGGTTGATCTGTCATGACGATATACTGCGAAAGCGTTGTTTTACAGACAGACATGCATACAGATACGCTCACGCTCACGCGCACTCAGCTAGTGAGCTAGCTACGGAGTCACTTCAGTGGGAAAAATAAATTTGCGCTGGTAATTCATTCATTTCTTCGCTATTCTATCATACTTTATCCGTGATCAGAATTTCAACGTATCTATACATGCATCGACATGACTATTTACAATAATTGTTCCCAGAGTCCCTGTGTAACCCTATCCTAATCGGGATCCTCAGGTAACGCGGGCAACGGTTTTCGCGTAGAGCCAGAATGTGTCAGACCAGGCCTGCCTGATGATGATCGTGACGGCACTACATTGTTACTATAATCTGAGGAAGAAGACCCTAGCCCTTCCCCCTCCGTCTCCGACGTTGGTGTGAGCTGCCTCTCGGACTGCTGCATTGCGAGCATTTCGGGGTATGTCATGGATACTACCCTTCCCTCCTCGTCGTCTTCTTCTTCGCCTTCTACTTCTGTTGTTGAAGGATCGCCATTCACGCTCGTCACTGCCGAGAAGTAATCACCGCCAGGCGTCATGGCTGGCTCAGAATCGTACGCCATTTCTTCTATACTAGAGGGTGTGGGCGGCTGGAAGTCCAAGCCTGAGGGATCCGAGCGAGCTCTACTTGGAGTTGGTGGCCTGAGTCCCGGGTCTGAATCTATCTTATTAGAATTCACTCGACTCCGTGCTTTGGGGGTTCCACCAGCACTCAGGGCATTATTGCCGCGTGGTGTAGAATGACTGTTCGGCCGACTCCTAGCGGGAGTCGTATTGGCTGAGTCTCCGGACAAACCCATGCTGAGACGGGCGACTCTGAGCTGCTGTGCCTTGGGTGTGGAGGGGAGAGTCGGGGAGGCTAGTCGAGAGGATGTCGTGAGAAACTGGGCCGGGTAGTAAGCCTCCACGGCAGAGCCGGCAAATCCGCGCGAGAAGATGACCAATACAAGACAGCCAAGCAGAAGCACGCTCTGGACGATGGCCATGCGCTTCTGAAAGGCGACCTCGTCTGCTAGGACACCGACACGCGTACTCAAGGCCACGATTTCATGTTCGGCTTGTTCTCGCTGTGACTCTAGTGCGATGACAGTTGACTGCCAGATATGGTCGTACAATGTTCTGACTTCTCGAAGCTCACCTAGCACAGTGTTATTCAGTTTGTCAAGAAAGAGATCGACCTTGGCGATCTGCCTCCGCTCGAGCTTAGCGAGCGCTTCTTGAAGAAATCTGGACTGTGACTCTATGTACTGGAGAGACAATGTAGTATTGGTCTCAAGAATCTGCAGGCGCTTCGTCAAAGCCTTGAAGAATGAATCCTGTACCGTTGGTCCTGGTGGTGGTGCAGAAACTGTACCGCTGGGTTTGCTGCGAGCAGCAGTCTGTGAACTGGAGGAGGCTTTTGCCGATGACCGGGATGATGGGGGCTTGACAGAGGTTGAAGCTGTAGGTTTTCCTTTCGCAGTATTCTGAATTGTTGCGTTTTCATTACTAGTTTGCGACGCCGAGAGGTTGGAAGCCGTGGTAGAGGCATTATCTTTCGACCCTGGTGAAGACGGTGCTGCTGTGCTAACGCCGACACTCACAGATAGTTCTGTGGATGCAGAGACTGAGGATCCGGAACCAGTTATTTCAACTGATGATTCTGATGTCTGTTTTGTTGTAGGGGCTGCCGTGGAGCCGTTTAGTATCGTAGAACTAGCCTGCTCGCCAGAGCTAGCTGATTGAGGCCCTGTTAAGGCATTTCTATGTTGCGCAGTGCTGTGAACAGGTACAATAAACCCTGCGCTAATTACTTGGGCGCAGTTTTTGTCAAGCACGAAGGCATGGTCAAAGTAAGACCTATCCCAATAAGGTGTCCAACAGCTCTGTTCCTCGATGATAGAGTAATTCGAGGTTGGCACGTGTTTAATAACCTCCGTTTCTACTGGTGGTTCATCGGCTACTTCGAATGTCTCCTCCACTGGTTCTACTGGAAGGGTAGGATTCTCATCTTCACCTTCAAGCTCAGATGGGTCAACTTGCTTCCAAGAATCTAACATGCGAAGTCCGTGAACGCGCAATAGAGATACAGGGCAATAATACTCATTTCCGTAATGACTGAGAATCTCGACTCGTAAGTATCGTGCCCAATCTTGCGGGTTTTCAATAAGGAAGGGTTGAATGTCCCTCGAGTTTCGAGCTTGGAAGTTGCCCAAAACCTTCCACTTGTCTAGTTTGACGGGATAGCGATCGCTTATGCTCACCCTGAACTCACGCACCATGCTAGAGAAGAACTCGAAGTTGGCGATAACGACGGTGTCGACTAGAATTACATCGCTAAGCTCGACGATGAAGAACTTATTCTTCCTGCCGCATTCCAGCAGCATGTAAGAGTCTTTATTTTCCACCAGGATCGCGGTAGGGTTCTTGGCCCCGGGACTCGTCTTCTTGACTGTTGCGCCGGCATCGAAGGACGAGTAGGAGAACCTCTCCTTGCATGTGGTGCCGGCGTCTTTGCTCCGGTAGTATGTGAAGCCCTCGTCGTACGCCACTACCTCTACTTGCTCTTTTGTTTCTTTCTCATGCTCGCGAGGCCGTGCCGAGGAAGCAATCTCAGAGATCTTGTCAGAGTACGAGTCGAAATCGAAGGAAATCTCGCCCTCATCTCCGAGACTGTCGAAGCTATCTCCCGGGCCCGCGTCAGGGCGTCCGTCCCTTTGCCTGCGTGTCTTGGCGTCGAGGGCGTCGGGGCCGGATTTGGCCAGCATCATGGCCTTCCATTCCTCGAAGGACATGAAAGCACCGGTGCTCAAGTCCTCTCCCTCAGGATCGAGTTCATCATGTACGGCATCGCTCGCGTGGGCCGAGGGGTCGGCGCTGGCAGAAGTACTACTAACAGTCGCAGTAATGGAGGCCGTATCGGTGGTGGGTAGCGAGCCAATGGATCCGGTAGTCAGGCACTGCTGAGGCAGCGAGTCGGTAATATAGTTTACAGTCCGCGATTCGCAGGTGGGCTCAAGGCCGGACGCGCCAGGGCCGTCACCTTGGGCGTAGGTGGCATGGGGCAGAAAGAGTGATACAAGCAAAATCAATGCGAGGTCTCGGACCCGTCCCTCGACTAAGGGCCACATTGTGCGAGTATGGTAGATCAAGGCGGTGAGAGAGTCGGCCCATGGGAAGTGACATGTCTCGCAGCCATTAGAGAGAATAAAAGGATAGCGGTGACTAGGTGATGCACGGGAAGGGTTTGCTGTCTTTCACGGCAGTTTCAAGCCGTAACAAGTTGGCCATGACATGGTTTGATGGAAAGCAACACATAGATAGCCTATTTTTGTATGCAGGTACTTTCCGGGCATTTTAATGCTGGCAGTACAATACGGTATGTATGTTGTCTGTTCAGGCGGGAGCTTGTTCGGCTATATCGGGCCTAGCGCAAGTGCCGCTTTTACTCACTGTCGGACACATGCCCCGGCCGGGTGATACGATGGCTTCAACAATTGACCAGACATACAATATGATTAGAATGGATGATCTCGATATGCGCAACTAAGATTATTACCTAGGTGTAGTCAAAAAGTACCAACGACCATGCTCGTGGATTTACTTTTCTTGGTTCTAGGTACCGCTTGCGGCAGCCCATCCATTGGCTGAGCGGATGAGGCATTGGGCCAGACTGCCAGGCTGGGCTCGTGATTTGGTGTGGAATTACATATACTAGCACTAGTATACTGCGGATTGAACCTTCAAAGTGATGACACTACTAGGTCTGGCAGGATTTGGGTCAGACAACAATGAAAGGCCAGCATGAAGGATTTCTAGAGCCGGGCTGATCTATACGCATAGAAATACACTTTGGGAGCGGAGCCCCTTTTGCGGGTATGAGCACACAATTCTCAGTTTGTATAATGTCAAAGAATAATCACACGTTTTATTCTATTGTTACTATTCAAATACTTTCCATCAAGATCGGAGCAGCTACTAAGCTAGCCACATGGCAAAAATCTCTCAGAGTTCGATCTCCGCCGAGACAGACTGGCCCTCAGATGGAAAGGCGGATGCCCCATCTACATCTACAGCGTATTGCTGGACCTCTGCATTCTTCCTGACTGCCATCGCATTCGCATTTTGGCGTGCCAGAATATCTGCACGAGGACTGTGGCCGGTATATCCATCAGGAAATTTCTCCACGAGCCGTTTCATCTCATCAATAACCCTACATTCTGTTAGGAAGTCATTCATTTGATATTTAGACCCCTTACTCACATATCAAGATACACTTTCTGACTGGGAAATAGGGTTGCCGCGTTCAAATTGAAGCGCCTGATGTATTAGTCATGCGATCTTGGAGGGCGATGAGAAGACTTACATTGCGTAGAGGGCATTCCTGTCGTCATAATCATCCTCCGGCGCCGACTTGGGAATATGCGAGTGGTATGCATTGAAATACTTCCGTGTGAACTTGTTTCTCTCAGGCCGCCAATTCCCCAGTTCATCTATCACTGTCAGTGATATACATACGCCAACGGCGATGAAGCTATAAACGTACACTCATTATGACCCCAAAAGCTAGATGGGTCGAAGACGATACCTTCCTCAGTATCCTCATCCGTGATGGCAGCGTTGCCGCACCAGAGATCTCCGTGAACTAGAGATGGCTGGATAGTGTTTCCACCAGTCTCTAGAGGCCGCAAGAGTCTGGGGATCACATTTCCAAAGAAGGGTTGAAGAAGCTCATCAAGCTCAGCGGACGGTCCTGCGCGGGCCTCCCTGACATTCAAGACATGTCTAAACCCGCTTTCAAAGAAGGCTTCCCAACTGTCTGACCACTACAGTTGGCCAGAGTCAGTACTTACTCTTGAAGCAAAAATAGAAGGAGGTTTTCGGGGTTATGTGTACTCCTGAGCCGTGCTTGTGGTTCTGACAAGCAATTATGGCCGCCGCGCGCGTCTAGAATAGGAAGAAATGACTCTAGGGGTAGCGTACAGTGTTATCCTGCGGAAGGTCACCATTATATGTGACAACATGAAACCCAAATCTGCCTGTTGGAGAAGAATGGGAGGAGTGAAGCCTTGCAAGGTTTGCACAAAACATTTTTGGGTTAGGCAATCCGTCAGTGAACTCGTAGAACTTGCATATATAGAAATGAGAGTCATTATCCGTCTTGAAGGTACCCCATGCAATTGGTCTTGTGCCCACGCTGGAGTCAGTAATTGCCAGATAGTGAAAGGGTCCAGTTCATGTCTTGGGAGTATCCAGGAGCAATGAGGCCCGAAACCTGCCTAAAGGGGGGATATTTCACTCTAGGGAACTAACCTTGGGCAGAAATCTGGCGTAATTGAGTATATTGCCGAGGTAGACTCATATTCTCCTTTCAATGATTCGAGTCCATCATGTCCTTGAGAAACCTGTGAAACGATTAGTGATTCTCAAGATGCATATGGCGCTGTCTTACCTTCATGAAGTAGCTCTCCTTACTATTGTCTTCGTGAAGCACATCAATTCGTGAGGCCCTTGCCCAGGCAGATTCACCTGACTTGCTCACAGATACAATCTCCTTAACACTCGGCAGAACTGCTAATGTGTAAGTACCACTTCCATAACCCCGTGCCTAACTGACCTTCAATGATATTTTCATCTACAACCAATTTCGCCATGTTGCAACTAGACGCTGATCAAAAGACGCGCTGGAATCCTTGAGCTTGGGCTATTCTATTTAACTGATATGTTTCAAGGTGCCAATTGGTAGGTCTGAACAATGAAATGAGCTTACTTTTCGAGGAATGACCAACCCAGTATACGCGACCTTTCTAATATATTTCACCCATTTTATTCCCGCTGATAATCGCCAGGTCAGAGATGACCTATAGTCTGCAGCCACCAACATCATGCAGCCAACGTTATGGAGTCAACCAGCCTCGTGAGGGGTCAACTCGCACGTCTGACCAGGGTGGTCCGCGGGGGCAAGCGCCGAGCTTCGCCTTCAGACGCCAGGGTCGGAAAATATCATCTTTGTCTCTTGTCCAAATCACCATGGATATGCCGAAACATTTCGTTCTGAATGATGGCCACAAAATTCCTTCCGTAGGTTTGGGAACATTCCAATCAGACGAAGGGAATTCGAAGGTCAAAGAAGCCGTCAAACTTGCTTTAAGTCTCGGTTATAGGCACATCGATGGCGCTGCTGCTTACGGCAATGAGGGGGAGATTGGACAAGCGATAAAAGAGTCTGGCGTTCCTCGGGAAGAGATATTTGTGACCTCCAAATTGTAAACCTGACACAACTTCCGAGGGTCAACTCCAACGGGAACTAACATTTTGCAGACCACAGACTGCGCATGCACCCGCAAGTGTTGAGAAGGCCTTATCCCAAACATTGAAAGATACAGATCTTGACTACGGTATGTCAACTTGGATGAAACTTCACAAGCGGCCAATTGACTGAAAACTAGTTGACTTGTATTTGATGCACTGTATGAAAGAGCCTGCTTTAATCCATGTCTTCATTTGGGACGTCCGGAGTGCCTGGGCTAACCATACTAGCAAGTCCCCCATGCGTACAAAGCAGATGAGGATTTGAAGACAATTCGACACGCAAGTGGCAACGGCAAACCAGTCATTGATTATGACTTGTCACGCAACTATGCTTCGACCTGGAAAGCGATGGAAGCCTTGGTGAAAACTGGTAGAGTGCGATCAATAGGTATGTGCCGGAAGCCGACGCCACAATATTGCCGCTGATGATACTAACCAATAGGGCTCTCAAATTTCAACATCCTCAAGACAAAGAAACTTCTGTCCACTGCAGAGATAGTCCCAGCGGTGAACCAAGTTGAGCTTCATCCGTCAGTACTCTACCACACGAATTAGGTACTTGTAGTTAGAAGAAGCAACGGGCTCATGAAAATAGATATCTCCCGCAGAATGAACTACTCGAATTCTCGAGGCGGTACGGTATCCTACTAATGGCACACCAACCCCTCGGCGGCCGGCCTGTAGGCGTCGTTCGTGCTCATGCCGATGTCCCGCGGCCAATCGACGATCCAATTGTAAGCAATTACCTCTTACGCTTCAAATTACTTCACTAACCCTCAAATGAGCTTATCGCGACAGCTTTGAGGCTTGGTAAGAGCACAGCTCAGGTAAATCTTATGTTGCCCCTCGATAGCGGACTAACTAATCCTTCAGCAGATAGCCTTGTCATGGGCTGTGCAAAGGGGAATACCGGTGGTTCCAAAGTCGGTGCAGGAGCACCATTTGAGGCAGAATCTTCAAATATTCAGGCTAAGTGATACGGATTTTCGTAGCATCGAGAAACTATTGTCCGGCAGAGACCCCGTTCGTTTTCTCGACCCTTCGCCGCACATTGGGTTCAATATCTTTGACGAGGAAAATGACCAGCCTACTGCTGACCAGGCCCCCTGGGACTAGGTCACAGAACCGCGGGGCAGTAGTGGCTATGAGATACCGTAGCTAGTCAGCACGATATACTCTTTCACAGGGAGTTAAACGTACAACATTAGCTAGAACCCTGAATATATCCAGTTTCCGAAAATTAATTTCTCGCATGATATGCTGAAGTCCAGGGCAAAATAGAACAGATTGACAAGCCCCTGCTACTTATGTACTGTACAACCCGCACGGAGATAAGCCCCCCAGCTCTGTAGCAGCTGAGGGGGTTCTTCTGCGAGGGACCCCAGCCTCGGTGTAGAATGGCAAGCATCACTTTGTTACAAAATTTTAGGCATCAAACACATCATCACGAGAAACCCTGTCTTTGATCTGAAACGACAGTCACATTAGGACGATGCCGATTTAGTTCTTGCGAACTTCGTTGCGGGATGTACCGAGATGAGTCAGGTGCGTTTCCCCCGCTCTCGGCTGCCAAGTCATCATCGAATAACTTCAAGAATTCGGCCGACTCCAATTACACGGATTCTCTTTGAATGGGTCATCAAGCTAATCGAGTGTATCGTAGTTCCGAAAGCGATCGCTCGTTCACGTCCTCTCTCGACAAGATCCCGATCGATCTCAACATGCTTCATCTATTGCGACCAGCAGAGCGGAGAGTAATCTCTCTCTACTCAACATCGACGACGAAAGTGGCGAAAAGGGCCCCCTGGGTTTGACCACCCTCCACGAACCACAAGGAGTAACGCCAGCTGTCGACATCGTCTTTGTGCATGGCCTTGGAGGTGGCAGTCGCAAAACGTGGGCCAAGACTGCCGACCCCTTACACTTCTGGCCAAAAGTATGGCTTCCAGAGGACACGGATTTCAGGGATGCCCGTATTCACTCGTTCGGCTATAATGCCGATTGGGGTGAACGACGTCAAAGTATCCTCAATATTCACGACTTTGCTCAGTCCCTTTTGGGGGAAATCAAGAACAATCCATCGATCAGGAGGGGCAACACTAAGCTAATTCTAGTGGGTCATAGCATGGGAGGGTGTGTTGTGAAGAAAGCATACATTCTTGCTCGTCAAGATACCACTTGCAAGGCTCTGGCTGAACGAGTCCACTCTATGTTCTTCCTTGGGACGCCTCACCGAGGATCTGACCTTGCGGGCATTCTTCAGAGCATGCTCACAGTCGCCTGGGGCACGAAGCCTTTTGTCAATGATCTCTTACCAAACTGCTCTATACTCGCTGAGATCAATGACACTTTCCGTCATTATGCCGCAGACCTACGCCTATGGTCTTTTTACGAGACTTTGCCAGTCAAAATGATGCTCGTGAGCAAGCTGGTTGTGGAAAAGTACTCAGCCACTCTGGGGTACGGCAACGAGGAGATTTGCTCCATGGATGCTGATCACCGTCGAGTGTGTAAGTTCGATAATGCCACGGATCCCAATTACAGGAAACTCCGGAATGCTTTGACTACCGCAATTGATATGATAAGAGCCGAGAGTAAGTGCACAGCCATGGATTTGCCAACAATAGTCTTCTGATAACCTACCAGATTCAGCTCCCACTCCACGTGAGACGATACTTCAGTTGGAACGCATCTTGGGCATGAATGAGCCGGCATACGAGGACGACCTTGCTTCTCTGCAGGACTTGAGGCATCCAGGATCCTGCTTTTGGTTCACCGAGCAATCTGATCTAGGCCACTGGAAGCTAGGGACCCCGAAAAGCCCCCCTATTTTCTGGCTCACCGGGCGTCCTGCAACTGGCAAATCCGTGCTTTGCAGCCACGTAGTTGATCAGCTCCGCACGCAAAACCTAAAGTGTAGCTACTTCTTCTTCAAGCACGGGAAGGCTGGCAGGTCGAGTTTGGCAGACTGTTTCCGTGGTCTCGCCTACCAAATGTCTCTCAACGACCCGACCGTCGCACAACGCGTTTTACAGTTAGACCGGGATGGTGAATCGTGGGATCAGCATGACGATAGGGTGATTTGGAGAAAGCTATTTGTCAATGCCATCTTCAAGCTCAGCACTATATCGTCTCATATCTGGGTCGTCGATGCTCTCGACGAATGCATCAAATTCTCTAGTTGGTTCAAGCTACTTCCACAACTTCCTTCCGGTCTTCGACTCTTTATTACAAGTCGAACCACCGACGAGGTGGAGCGTGGTATCATATCTCTTGGACCGCGGGTAGTAACACGATCGTTGACCAATCATGATACAGGTATGAACATGTCATTGACCTCTATGATATTTTACCTACTGATCCTGACTCTGCACAGCTGAAGATATGCACGCCTATCTTTTCGCCAGGTTAGAAGATCTTTCATTCGATAACGTAGACGAGCTGTGTAGAAGGATTCTCGCCAAGTCTCAGGGGTCTTTCCTCTGGGTGCGGCTGGTCTTGCAAGAGTTCGAGAGTGCATACACAGATGAAGACATCGAGGCAATTTTGCAAGATGTGCCTGACGATCTGTACAAAATGTACAATAGAATGCTGGAAATGATTGAAAGTGAAAAGCGGCGGACTAAACTTGCTAGATCCATTTTATCTTGGGTAACGTTGGCATGTCGTCCGCTCACAATAGACGAACTGCGATGTGCCATTCGGCTTGATATCAACGAGACGCCTCACAACATGGAGAAAGCCATCCCGACAGTCTGCGGTCAACTCGTATTCATCGACCAGGCTTCTAGAGTTCATATGATACATGAGACAGCTAGGGAATTTCTCTTGAGTGAGGATCTGGATTCTACTCTGGCCGTCAAGAGGGGCGAGAGGCACGGGTATTTGGCTCAGTTATTGTGCAAGTATCTTGCAACTGACGCAGTGAAAACACCCCAAGGCTTTCAACCTTTTCGAGGGACCAAGCTCTCCATGGCCATTGACACGTCATTGGTCGATTACGCGGCCAAGTTCTTCGCAGAACATTTGTACCGGTCAAATTCCGAGGAAGAGGCCCCGATGTATGAGCTCTGCAGGTTTCTCAAGAGCAACGTTCTGTATTGGTTTGAGATCATCGCACAGGCAGGCAATCTTCAACCTATCAACCGTACGGCTATCAATCTTGCGGGTTACTTGAGACGGAGGACCAAATATGTCCCTCCTGTGGATAAGGACATACAGTTAGTGGATGCTTGGGCGACTGATCTCATCAGAGTCAGTGCAAGGTTTCGGTCAAAACTCCTTAGCTGCCCTTCGTCAATCCATTGCCTGATCCCGCCGTTCTGCCCTACAGGGTCGATAATCTCTACCTTTTTCACGGCACAAACTCGGTCGTTACTTGTCAAGGGTGCGAGGGAATCGGATTGGGATGACTGCCTGATCAGCATCGACTTTCAGAAGGGACAAACAACGACAGTGGCTCATGGTATAACCTGCTTTGCCATCGGCCTGTCCACAGGACAGGTATCCTTGTATGATTGCGCGACAGTCCAGCATGTCTCGATGATGCGTCATCCGGAACGTGTTAGGCTACTTGAATTTAGCAGAAATGAGCACCTCCTCGCTTCAGCAGGTCAAAAGCACATCGTCGTTTGGGAACCCAGATCCTCATCGCAAATATGGTCGTCTCGACTAGATTCGCCGCCAATAACGATGTGTTTCCCATCGGAGCTGCTAATCCATGCCAATCGAGCAAACCAAATCATTACTAGGTAACATACCTGTGCTCCGCATCATGTGCTTTGACGTGCTTGTTTCAACCTGCTAACTGCGGCGAAGTAATGTGGAAACCGGCGAGGTCTTGAGGGTGTCCTGGGACGGGAACGGAAACAATTCCGATATCCCCGATCAACCACCAAACAAAGCTGCAATCGCGCCGGAATTGGGTTTGCTTGCGGTCGGATACCGTAGTCATCCGATCTTGATATTTGACACAGGGTCAGGTGCTTTACTAGGCTGTTGCAGCTCTGTGAAAAGCAACGGGATTGACGCAATGGCCTTCAACCCCAACACGGACATATCCGCGTTAGTTGTCTCCAGTGCGAATGGAGATCTTTTGGTTTTCGATCCTCAAACAACAGAACTCCGGTATCAAAAGTCTAATGTGTGCGCACACGCACTAGCCTGTTCACCAGATGGCAAAAGCCTAGTCACGGGCGATTCACGCGGTACGATTGAGGTGTACGACTTCGATGGGCCTGAAAGCACGTCTTTATCGCTGATCTATCGTATCAACTCTCATGAGGAAAGCGTGAGAAGCGTGGTATTCAGTGACGATGGCTTACGCCTTATTGACTGCCGAGAATCGCAAGCCCGTGTATGGGAGCCGACCATTCTAGTTCAGAAGGACACTGATATAGGAAGTCAAAGCGATATTAGTAGCCAGGTTACACTAGCTCTGAGGACTTTTGGAACTTTAGAGAGCCCGGCCGACCCGGAAATCACCTCCTTAGTGTGCCATTCCGATGGGGAACAGGTGTTTTGTGGGAAGACTAGTGGCGAAGTTGCGCTTTACTCAGCAGCAGACGGGCAGGAATTGAATGTGCTTTACGGACATTCTCGTGGGACGTCTGTGATTTCTATCGCTATCGTTGAGCACCAACATATTGTGGTATCTGCAGATGAGTCTGGGAGGATCTTAATGGCCTGCACGAGTCCCTCGAGCTCACAAGGGCTGCAAGCTAAGCTGATAGCAGACACAAGATTCAACAGCGCTGTTTTTGGCATGCTCGCCAATCCAGATAATGACCGGCTCCTGATCATGGGGAAAGAAAAGGATGAACTATGGGAGTTACCTTCAGGTAAGGTGATCGGCATCAGAACACCTGATGAAAACGGGCTCAGGTCAATGATTGTGCATCCCCAGGCACCAAGCGCGTTCATAATATTTACAACAACAGTAGCTCGAGTGTTCAACTGGTTAGACTTCAAGGAGCTTACCTCGGAGATGGGGCTACCCGTACATCGAGATGGCTTATCTTCAAGCAAAGATACCCTCGTCAGTGCCACCTATCATGGCAGTACGCCCACCGTTGAAGCCGTGAAAGCCGTAGGTGAAACCTCAGGTACTCACTTGTACTGTTGGGACATAGTCTCTTCGGATTCGATAGCAGACAGAATTCTAGGATCAAGGATCGGACTTCTAACCCCAGTCCTGCGTGATGTCATCGCTGTAGTTGGATCAACGTTGATATTTCTCGACAGAGACCTGTGGGTTTGCAGTCTCGATCTCAACACCTTCAACAGCGCTCCGTACGGAAAGCGGCATTTCTTCGTTCTTTCAGAGTGGTTGAATGTCAATGGAGACATGCTGTACGCCATGACGTCCAAGAAGGATTTCGTCTTCGTTAATAAACATGGACTAGTCATTGTCAAGGCCGGCCTGGACTTTTCGGAGGTCATCACTCTCAATCAGCAAGGGGGCTGGACTGTGCATTCGGGCAGTATGCATCGGAGGACATCGAGCAGCATTATTCCCATGGTCAGCAGCATGGGTGGAACTACGGGACGAGAACTCGAGTCTAGAAGAACGCCGGCCTGAGTTAGAATGCATATAATACTTTTCAATTATCCATCTAGTGTATACAGTCCTATGTGCTGTCTCCTCAGCCCTAATTTCCGCAGGCTTTTTACATTTTTGTCTTTTCCGCCACAATCACTTCTCCCAAGCCACACACACCAACCGTAACAGCCACAATAGCCCATCACAACCAGATTTCATGCAGTTGCTAACCAAGAGTAACCGTCGTATTGTCCAAAACACTTTCGGTTTGTTAGGCTATGCAAATCCGTATGCAAGTAATAGGATTTAGTTACTGAGATCAATAATAGCACGATATTTCTAAGCTTGGTAGATCATTGGTTACTCCTAATTCACTATCCCTATCATCAACATAGACCAAAATCACTGAAAAGCACATTTCCATCGAAAAGCAGAGCAGGAAGGAAGGTCAATTTGCAAACCTAGTCCTCTACTATGTACGCCGACGCCGTACCCTTTGCCATGATCCAATCCGATCCAAAAACACCGTGATACTAGCTATTACCCGAATGCTCTATTCCATAAACATCTGAAGCGGCATACTAATCCTACACGCACCGCACATTCAACCTACTCAGTAGGGTATACATTTTCCTCCAGAAATGGCAGAACAAAAGAAATGGAAATGAGTCGCTACGTGCATACATATTAAGCAGCAATTTTCACACTAGCAAGTAAATTTAGGATGTCCGCTGAGTATGGGGTTGTCAAAGGCGGGATGAAACTCAGCCGCGCTCCTCCTTGAAGTCCGAATATCGAACGAAAAGGCGGTCCAGGAAGTGGGAGTGTCGGATCCCGTTTGGTCGGGCCTCGGCAAAAGTCTCGATGGCCTTCTGGACGCCGTAGCCGCACCTCTCGATTAGATAGCACACGACGAAGTATCCAGTGCGGTTGAACCCGTAATGGCAGTGGACACCGACGACGTAGTCTTCGCTCCAGTTCGGTTCGGAGGAGGACCTCTGTTTCTGATCCTCACGGACCTTATCGACGAGGTTGATGAAGCCTGCTACTTCGGCGTCTGTGGGGGGTATCTTAGACACTGTTGGGAACTTGTGATACTTGATGCTATCGCCGAAGCTTTTAGGGTCGTATACAGGATCAGCATGACTGATGTCAATGATATCCTTGATTTCATTTCCCCTGAACCAATTAGTTTAGATTCGATGGGTAGGACAAGTAAGTGCACGGAGCTTACCACTTAGCCGCAAATACCTTCGGGCAATGCTCCTCATCAACTTCTCGGAGGGTCTTGAGGGCTCTGAAAATACCACCGATAGGCTCTGAGACAGGTTGTACACTTTTCCATTTTGCCAAGTTCTTAACATCCCATTTCCCCTCCCGGGAAAGATACTGTAGTTGCCAGCCACTTCCAAGTGAAAATGTTAGTCAGGCGACATATGCGTAGCCCCGTGGGAAGTAGAAACTTACAGGGAGAAGCGGGTAGTAATATGATCGTTCATAAAGTCGCTTACAAGTCCAGCTAGAATCCTTACCGTTGCTGGCATATACAGTAACGCGTGTCCAGCAGGAAGAAAAGCTGTTTTGACTACTTTCTTGGGATGGATCGGCTGCGGGGGGATATCACTCAAAGAGCCGGGATCCAGATGATCTCTCGGGGTTGTGGGATCTTCCATAGGATCCTCACCACTTGTCAAGAGAGCCTTGCTACGCTCGAAATCTTCTTGACTGATCTCTTCTATAGATTGCGGCATGTGATCCCGAGGCGCCGTGCTTGGGTTCACGGGAGCAGCTGCATCGCCAATTGCACTTGCATCAGAGATGGAGGCCTGGTTAGTAATGGTAGCATGACGCTTATCCTCAAACGACTCGAGACTCGCCGCGGCGACTTTCAGCATCTCTTCAATCTTCCCAACCTCTTGCGGCGGGGTAACAGTGTCATTTTCGCCACCAACTAGGAAGACCGGTACTTCAAGATCAGCCCAGCTAGTCCTACCAAAGAGCCCCCCAGTAGGCTTCCCATCGATGTACACAGGCAGCAAACCCCAGGCCATTCGACGAAAGACGGGGGTTCGGCTTTGGCTGTTAAACCTGTTCTGAAGTTGGCGAGATTCAAGATCGCCCTGAGGCCCAACAAACCGCTTGACGCTAGCGCTTTCAGGTCCTCCCCGCCTGTCCCAGGCTCTCCAAAGGTTGAAGATAAATTCAGGTATCCAAAGGAGTCTCCGAAAGGCGCGCACTGCCGGTTCTGGGGTTGGACCAGACAAAGGGCAAATGGCAATAATACCCATGACATTCAAGGGTGGGTGTAAACGGTGTGTGGATTTCATGTTTCCGATATCAGCAGCAATCGCAGTTCCCATGCTGTGAGCGATGAGCACGACCCCTTGTCCATCTTCAACGTAGTCCTTTATGATAGTCTCGGTGAGACTAGTCAAATTTTCAGTACTGTAAGCATCCCACGACGTCTGTTCGTATTTAGACCGGCCGCAGCCGGGAAGGTCAATTGCCAGACATGATGCAGAATTAGAAAGGCTAGTCAAAAGTGGATGGAATTGCGCGACCGAGCCCCCAAGGCCGTGGATGAAGACTAGGAGCGGTAGCGGGGCCGGGTCCTTTGGAAGCTCATCTGCTTTTGGGTGGCGCCGGTAAAAGACGCGGATGCCCGAGAAAGTGATGCCGGAACCATTGTCTTTGTAGGTCTTAATCTCAGAATGGCTCCGGAGGAGAGGAGGGTCCGTGGTCTCGGGATCCCACGGTTCGGGCACGGTGGCTCGAATCTTAGCCATCCGATACAAAATCAAGGCGCTGCCTAGGGCGAATGCTGCGAGCCCTAGGCTGCCAGACCTGGGCCCAACAAGGTATGTGACTGTGAGAGACCGCGACATGGTAAATATCTAATTTCATTCGGACAGTGGTAAAAGAGGACACAATATAATAATTACACATTGGTGGAATTATGGACTTGGTGAAGTCAAGAAGTTCATCCTCGTGGGATAAGTGTAGGAATGAGACGAGGAGCAGGCATTGTGGTCATGGTTGCCGAATCCAGTGAGCCAGCCAGTGAGACAATCGACGTGAACTTACTTTCAGACCGAGAAATGGGGTTGTCCTTGCCAATTTCGTGGCGAGGGAATCGTTCAAGGAAAGACAGGCGTTTATAAAATTGAAATGAGGGTCTAGTTGAGGAATTGCTTATGGACCTATTTATGCGAACAGTTAGATATATGTTTTGCCAGGGCGTGGGACACGGCAAGTTTAAAATCAATGACTAACCTAAGGCTGTTGTTGAATTACCTAAAGCGGCACACCTGTGTCCGTCCGATTACTGGAATGAAGTGCCAAAGTGAAATAGGCCTTGTCGCATCCGAGGCGTATCAGGTATGCCGAAGACCTAGCGGGTAGGTAAGGAGAGGTTATTGGGCTCGCAAACAGGACTAGAAGAAGACAATTATGATGACGATGAAAATACGTGAAGGTAAGTCAGGGAGATAGAAGAGCTGACCAGAGCGGGTCCGCTGAATTCACCTAAGCTATCTGCTTAAGGTAATACCAATGCCAGAGGCTGATTTGATGGCTTTGTGCCCAATATTCTTTCGTTTCTGTGCCTAACTGATTTATCAGAAATAAGCGGAGCGACCGAACGACTACCAGCGTGAATAATTAGGGATAGGTAGAGAAAGCGGCCAGATAGACGATTCGCAAACCAAAAAGCAAGTAGGTATCTTGGGGCTTGTGTGTTTGATCTCACGTCGTGGCGGCTTGCATTTGTTAGGTAAGAGTTAGCTATCTAGGTACTCAAGACGGCGAAGCTAGCAGCATTTCACAAGCCGCAATTCGCAATGCCCATTCGCACAAGGCCATGATTCCCATAGGCCATGTACTATGCGTACATCTCCCGAGGCACCCATCCATCTCGCCCAGGATTGCGCCCAGGCTCCGGCGCGGTGTCATAGGCACAGCTGGGCACAGCAGGTGCAAGGATGGGCCCCGACCTTGCTGGACCATGCTGGCTGCCTCCGCTAATGGGTTTCACAGCCGCCTCAACGTGCCGTTATCTCGGGTACGCCATTGGACCTCCAGAAGACCTCGTCATCTCGGCCAATCGCCTGCGAGTGATTCACCACCACGTCTGAACTCTGCCACTGCGTAATCGAGCCACAACCGCTATTATTTTTCACTGGATGCTGCGCTGGATATGTGAAATGCAGAAGGATTCTTGTTCGTGTCAGCGCTGTCTGCGAAGTCAGGTATTCCACCACGTGGGAGCCGGCTACAATAGATCCGTCTAGGCTCAAATGAAATATCTCTGCGCACCTGCTGTATACAGTATACGAGGCTCATGATATGATGACTGTGGGAAAAGGGAGACACGGTCGTTATAGATCCGGTAGTAAATATTGTACACGGCTGTGTTTCTCCCTGAAACAAGACATGGCCATATATTTCACAGGCACCTACTACTACAATGCTTGTTCTCTGGTATGATTACCGTACCAAATTTCGGTGCGTCGGTGAACTGTCAAGTGACGCTTGGCGGAGTTCTCAAAATTGAATAACCTGTAAACAACCCCAATGCAACCTACCACGTCCACGATCCGGATACGCCGGCTAGTTTGCTCATGATCATAGTCTATGTGGCCAGCTCAGCAGGAAGGTAAACAAGCATCACGGCCCGCATCAAGGATGATGTGTTGAAACTTTACGGCTCACGACAAGACACGTTGAAGTCGATGATTGATACAAATTTTTACACATCTTCTAATCTATGTGACAGGAGGTTGAGCTGAACCGCAGCATCCAGGTAATACACGCCTACAGTAGAATACAGTTGCTGCCGGCTTGTTACGCCGAAGTTGTGTTGCCGATGTGGCGGGTATCCGATATTGACATGAAACTGGTAAGTCGGGAGGTTCCAATCACGAAGCATTGTGCGACATCATGACCCGAGACCAAGTTCGATGAAAGGAGCAGTATTCTGGTGAGACTTTAGACGCAGTGCGCTCGCCTCACCGTACCTCATCCTGTGAAATTGTTGGGCGAGAGTATCAAGAGTCCATCCATCACCAATTCGCTCCGATACCCTCTTTCCAACCTATTGGTATAAGTGCAGCGGCGACGTCATGTACGCCCCTCTCCGTCGCAAGAAGGTTGAATTGCGCCGCCGCGTTCCGGGTATCGAGGATTTCCACTTTCATACCTAAGCTACTAATATGTCGGCGCAGTTCGGGGCTGATCGGTCGGATTTCAGGGCCTAGCCCTAATACCAAAATATCTGTATTAGTATCAAACATTAGTATATAATATCAAGTGCCGCTTTCAAGGTTGCGAAGCTTGAGCAATAAAAAGCAGAAAGAGTACTCACCTGGACGTGGCCACAGCAGGGAGAACATGCCGAGAGTCTCGTTCGGTATCTCCCATTGACCCTTCGCATTCAGTAGTCGAGGCTCACCGCGCGGTAACCACGGCTTCCACTCGAATGCTTCACCACCGACGAGGATGACGCCAGAGCCATCGGTGATCATTGCGCCGCTATTCAACTGGAAGCCCTCTGACATGCATATATCGACTACGGTGGAGGGCACCGGCGTGTTGCCCAAAACATCCATTGCGGCGAAATCGGTAGGAGGTGGCCCATCGTTTTTTCTACGGCGAGATGTAGCATGGAATGCTGCGATTGGATTTGAGAATGGCTTCGTGATGGCTCTGCCCGGGCGTGCGACACAGTCTATCGTGGTCGTAAATGGTAGCCAGCAGCTGGACCTTCCCACGGTCGCAATAGCTCTAGACCCGATGGGCCGGGAAATACGCATTAAAGATGCCATAGCGACAATTATGCCGGGGTTATTTCTCAGTCGTGTTTGGTCATGGCTTTGACTTTCATGTAACTACCGTATTTTGTAAACATGAACCTGCGCTTGGTGGACGACAAAGCTCAGATGAATGCGCAGATGTAATTTGTGGACTGGACGTCATCACCTAAAGCTCTATTACAGCCACCCCATTCGCCAAGCCATAAGGTTTAATCGATACTTAGCTACCAACAAAATTTCTACGAAACCCTTTTCAATTGGGGTGGCCATACTAAGGTTTGTACATCGATTATTTCACAATAGAAATACATTTCAAGAGTCACATTGGGAATACTACAAATTGATAGATGTTTTAATCTGCAATGGGTGGTATCCATTCCGTATGAGCCCCTTGGTGCAGCGTGAACCTCAACGGAAGTCTCCTCACGCTACTATGGACGCAAGCGCATCGATGGTTCCAGGCGCTTCTCATCTTTTATATTTCCACGAGTGTGAGTCGTATCACAAATGAATGTGACCAATACTTGCGCGCCGTAGAAGGTCGTCTTAAATGTCGTTTATACCATTCCGATCATCTACTCGACGAGAAGCCCTTAAAACAGAAGCAGCCTTTTGTTGTAGCCGTTTAAACAATGCAGCCATATTCCTCGTGAACACCAAACCAATGACGACCTAACCGTTCCATCCTAGAATCGATCACCAGTTTATTTCTTCTTGGCACCCTGCTCCTGCTCCTTCAGCACCTTCTTGACGATCTTCTGCTCCTCAATGAGGAAGGCTCGGACGACACGGTCCCTAGCAAATAAGCGTTAGTAGTGTAACAATCATAACAGTCCAGAATGAATGAAAACTGATACGAATTTCATACGAAGGGGCCGGGTATATGGTATGTGATGCAGTGAATACGTACTTGACACAGTTGGCACAGCGCGAGCCACCGTAGGCTCTTGAGACGGTCTTCTTAGGCTTGGAGATCGTGGCGTACTGGCGAGGTCGCAGAGAGGGGATCTGATTTTTTGTGTGAGCGGCTATAAACGACCATGTCGCCAATGAAGCAGCAAGACAATGTAACTTACACCAGGTAGCTTCACTCCACAGTCACCGCACTTGACGCTGCCAGCCTTCTTGGCGATGTCTAAAACAAAGCATAATGTAAGCGACAGTTTTATGTGTAACCGATTGTAAACGGCGCAACTCCAGGCAAATTGACAAGACAATCTCTCAATTTCTTCTCGTTCTCATTGAAGACTGCTTCTTCAGGCCGAACCTGCGACGAAGCAGCAGAGGGGGCGGTGAACTTACGCAGAGTACGCAACTCTCCGCCGGGGGTTCGCACGATACGGGTTTTGTTGCTCTATTAAGCCAGTCTTAGTAACAGTTGCTTCTCTCGTCGCAGTCGTTGAAAGCTTACTCGGGAGTTGTACGGGTTCCTCCGTCGGTACGTAACTCTGTTGTCTCCAGCCATTGTGACGGTTGTGGTCGTGGTGTCGTCGTGTTCGTGTGGTCGTGATCGTTGGGATGGTTGGTAATTTTCGCGAACTTTTTGGTGTGATTGAAGAAGCTGTGGGGGTGGGCCCTTGCAGGCGTGCTGTGTGCCGAGTCGAGCCACAAAGTGCAGCCCAGCCACATATGCACGTGACTAGTACTCTTCAACAGTGGCGCAGAGCTCAGCTTCAAGACTAGTCTTTATTAGGGATAGCTGATTAGCGGAAAAATTCCCACTCTATGATCGCGAGAGGCGACATGGAGACCGCATCACTCACATTGCTCTTACATCGAAACACGCCGCGCAGCACTCATCAAAAAGGGAGGTTGCGCATATCATAACGCGTCATTTAGTTCCCTCCTTCTAAACATCCGACCTAGTTCATTGTTATCACGTTGACTGCGATAGCCATCCACGTCATCCCCGCGGTACATCGCGGCGCGAAAGCGACCTCATTACCCGTCGCCTAGCTGTCCATCTCGACTGAGTCTGCGAGTTGACGATGTCTTTTCAACCACCTCCTCCCCCTCCTGGCTGGGGACCTCCGCCGCCGCCGCCACCTCCTCCAGGGCCTCCTTCCGATTATCTCCCTCCCCCCCCTGGAATTCCGGCCCCTCCACCTCCCGGTTACCGCCCGACTACCGACCCTCATCTCGCTAAGTTTGAGCAGAAGAAGAAAGAATGGCTGCGCACACAACGGAATCGCTTTGGCGAGAAGCGCAAAGGGGGCTTCGTTGAAACGCAGAAAGCCGATATGCCCCCGGAGCATTTGCGCAAGATTGTGCGGGATATTGGCGACGTTTCACAGAAAAAGTACACGAGTGACAAGCGAAGCTATCTTGGTGCCTTGAAGTTCATGCCTCATGCCGTAATGAAACTTTTAGAGAATATGCCGATGCCTTGGGAGTCTACGAGGGAGGTGAAGGTTCTTTACCACGTGAATGGTTGCCTCACCTTAGTTAACGAGATACCTCGCGTTATTCCACCAGTGTTTCACGCCCAGTGGGCTACAATGTGGTTAACTATGCGCAAAGAGAAGAGTGATCGAAGGTTATTCAAGAGGATGAGGTTCCCACCTTTTGATGATGAGGAACCGCCGTTGTCGTGGTCAGAGAATCTCGAGGATGTGGAGCCTCTCCAGCCAATCCAACTAGAGCTCGATGAAGACGAGGATGCCGCTGTATACGAGTGGTTTTACGATCACCGGCCTCTACTGGATACTGAACATGTCAACGGCCCCAGTTATAAAACGTGGAATCTTTCATTGCAACAGATGGCTACCTTGCATCGACTCAGTCGTCCCTTGCTGAGTGACAAGATAGACCAGAACTATTTTTATCTCTTCGATCTTAAAAGCTTACTCTCTGCTAAAGCCTTAAACGTCGCATTACCTGGAGGTCCCCGATTTGAGCCGCTCTACAAGGACATTGATCCGAATGACGAGGACTTCGGAGAATTCAATGCCATCGATAGAATTATCTTCCGCCTACCAATCAAGACCGAGGCCCGAGTTGCCTACCCCTATCTTTATAATAATCGACCACGAAGCGTTCACTCACACTGGTACTCACATCCACCCAACGTATACCTGAAATCCCAGGATCATAGCATGCCAGCCTATTATTTTGATTCCCAGATCAATCCTATTTCTTCCCGATCTGTTGCGCCAAAGAATATTACCATAAGCCACGAGGATGAGATTTTTGGCGAAGGAAGCAATGAGGAACCCGATGAAGAAGCTTTCACGTTGCCCGCAGCCGTCGAGCCATTCTTGGCCGATGAGGAGCTATACACTGACGACACGGCAGCAGCCATTGGGCTCTGGTGGGCGCCCTTCCCTTTCGATCGCCGTTCAGGTCGCATGGTGCGAGCTCAAGACATTCCTCTTGTTAAGCACTGGTACTTAGAGCATTGTCCACCAAAACAACCTGTTAAAGTTCGCGTCTCATATCAGAAACTACTAAAAACTTTCGTGCTTAATGAACTACATAAGCAAAAGCCCAAGGCGCTCAATAGACAGGATCTACTAAGGAGCTTGAAGCAGACCAAATTCTTCCAGCAGACCACTATTGATTGGGTTGAGGCCGGTTTGCAGGTCTGTCGGCAAGGATTCAACATGTTGAACCTCCTCATTCATCGAAAGAATCTTACATATCTTCACCTCGACTACAACTTCAACCTAAAGCCTGTGAAGACGTTGACTACTAAAGAACGAAAGAAGTCACGTTTCGGCAACGCGTTCCATCTGATGCGCGAAATCCTTCGTCTAACAAAGCTTATCGTTGATGCACAGGTTCAATACCGGCTTGGAAATATTGACGCTTTCCAGCTTGCCGATGGTATTCTATACGCGTTCAATCACGTTGGTCAGCTAACCGGGATGTACCGGTATAAGTATAAACTCATGCATCAGATTCGTACCTGTAAGGATCTGAAGCATTTGATTTACTACCGATTCAACAGCGGGCCTGTTGGTAAGGGACCTGGTTGTGGCTTCTGGGCACCAGCCTGGAGGGTTTGGCTCTTCTTCATGCGAGGCATAATACCTCTGCTCGAACGATGGCTGGGCAACCTACTTTCTCGTCAATTCGAAGGACGTCACAGCAAAGGTGTGGCTAAGACGGTTACTAAACAACGAGTCGAATCGCATTTCGACCTCGAGCTTCGCGCTTCCGTTATGGCTGATCTCATGGATATGATGCCTGAAGGCATCAAGCAGAACAAAGTCAACACCGTTCTCCAGCATTTGTCGGAAGCGTGGCGATGCTGGAAAAGTAATATTCCTTGGAAGGTTCCTGGACTTCCCGCCCCTATTGAAAACATAATTCTGCGGTATGTGAAGTCAAAGGCAGACTGGTGGATCTCGGTGGCGCATTACAATCGTGAACGCATCAGGAGAGGTGCTACGGTTGATAAAACCGTTGCTAAGAAGAATGTTGGCCGGTTAACTCGACTTTGGCTGAAAGCTGAACAAGAACGACAGCATAATTACATGAAGGACGGTCCATACGTCTCTTCAGAAGAGGCCGTTGCGATCTATACCACTACTGTGCATTGGCTTGAATCTCGGAAATTTACGCCCATTCCCTTCCCGAGTGTGTCGTACAAGCACGACACGAAGATACTGATTCTTGCCCTCGAAAGACTTCGCGAAGCATACTCCGTAAAGGGTCGCCTCAACCAGAGTCAACGAGAAGAACTTGCTCTGATCGAGCAAGCATATGACAGTCCGGGTACAACATTGGAGCGGATAAAACGTTTCCTCCTAACGCAACGTGCGTTCAAAGAAGTTCAGATAGACATGAACGACAACTACAGCTCGATTAATCCGGTGTATGACATTGAACCAATCGAAAAGATCAGTGACGCATATCTCGATCAGTATCTCTGGTACCAGGCAGATCAACGACATCTCTTCCCTGCGTGGATCAAGCCTTCAGATTCTGAAGTGCCTCCACTTTTAGTATACAAGTGGGCACAGGGCATTAATAACCTAGATAAAGTCTGGGAAACAGCTGATGGAGAGTGCAATGTCATGATTGAGACGGAGCTTTCTAAGGTTTACGAAAAGATTGATTTGACACTCTTAAACCGTCTCCTACGACTAATCATGGATCACAATTTAGCTGATTACATCAGCTCCAAGAACAACGTCCAATTGACATATAAAGACATGAATCACGTCAATAGCTATGGTATGATTCGTGGTCTGCAGTTCTCGGGCTTTGTGTTCCAGTACTACGGTCTTGTTCTTGATCTCTTACTCCTGGGATTGAATCGTGCCAGCGAGATTGCGGGGCCTCCAGGAAGCCCGAACGACTTCCTTCAATTCCGTGACCGTGAGACGGAGACCAAACACCCCATTCGCCTATACACCCGGTACATCGATAAGATCTGGGTGTTCTTGAGATTTAATGCTGAAGAATCTCGTGATCTCATTCAGCGATTCCTCACAGAGCAACCTGACCCGAATTTTGAGAATGTTATTGGCTACAGGAGCAAAAAGTGTTGGCCAAGAGATTCTCGTATGCGACTCATGCGCCACGACGTCAATCTTGGGCGTGCTGTCTTTTGGGACCTCAAGAATCGTCTCCCACGATCTGTTACGACGATTGAGTGGGATGACACATTTGCGAGCGTCTATAGTCGCGATAACCCGAACCTTCTATACTCAATGTGCGGCTTCGAAGTCCGTATCTTGCCCAAGATCAGAAACCAAAACGACGAATTCCCTACCAAGGATAGCGTTTGGTCTCTGGTAGACAACACAACCAAAGAAAGAACTGCCCATGCGTTCTTGCAGGTGACAGAAGAGGACATACAGAAGTTTAACAACCGTATTCGACAGATTCTTATGTCGTCGGGATCTACCACGTTCACTAAGATTGCCAATAAGTGGAACACTGCACTAATTGCTTTATTCACCTATTATCGTGAGGCTGCAGTCTCAACTGTCAATCTCCTCGATACAATCGTGAAGTGCGAGACTAAGATCCAAACTCGTGTTAAGATCGGCTTAAACTCAAAGATGCCGTCGCGTTTCCCTCCTGCTGTCTTCTACACACCGAAGGAACTAGGAGGTCTCGGTATGATTTCAGGTTCTCATATTTTGATTCCTGCAAGTGACAAGCGATGGTCACAGCAGACAGACCTTGGAGTCACTCATTATCGCGCTGGTATGACACATGACGAAGAAACTCTAATACCAAACATCTTCCGCTACATTATACCGTGGGAGGCTGAGTTTATTGATTCTCAAAGAGTGTGGACAGAATATTCACAGAAGCGATTGGAGGCGAACCAGCAGAACAGGCGCCTTACTCTGGAAGATCTGGAGGACAGTTGGGATCGTGGATTGCCTCGAATTAATACCCTATTCCAGAAGGACCGGAGCACTCTTAGCTTCGACAAGGGATTCCGTACCAGAAGTGAATTCAAGATTTATCAACTAATGAAGAGTAACCCTTTCTGGTGGACTAGTCAGCGTCACGATGGAAAGCTGTGGAATCTCAATGCCTACCGAACTGATGTAATTCAAGCCCTGGGTGGTGTCGAGACAATCCTGGAGCACACATTGTTCAAAGCAACGGGCTTCCCCAGTTGGGAGGGTCTTTTCTGGGAACGTGCTTCAGGTTTCGAAGAGTCGATGAAATTCAAAAAGTTGACCAATGCCCAAAGATCGGGTTTGAACCAAATTCCCAATCGTCGATTCACGTTATGGTGGTCTCCGACCATCAACCGTGCCAACGTTTACGTCGGTTTCCAAGTCCAGCTTGATCTCACCGGTATCTTCCTTCACGGTAAGATTCCGACGCTGAAGATCTCGTTGATCCAAATCTTCCGTGCCCACTTGTGGCAGAAGATTCACGAATCTGTAGTTATGGATTTCTGCCAGGTCTTTGACCAAGAGCTCGAGGCCCTCGGTATCGAAACGGTGCAAAAAGAGACTATCCATCCTCGAAAATCGTATAAAATGAACAGTTCTTGTGCCGATATTCTCCTGTTTGCCAACAGTAAATGGAATGTCACTCGACCATCGCTTCTTTATGATACCAAAGATGTCATCGAGCCGACAGCAACGAACAAGTTCTGGCTGGATATCCAGCTTCGATATGGTGATTACGATTCTCACGACATTGAACGGTATACTCGTGCAAAATATCTCGACTACACCAACGACAACATGAGTATCTACCCTTCTGCTACAGGTTTAATGATTGGTATTGACCTGGCATATAACTTGTATTCCGCATACGGTCAATATTTCCCTGGTTTGAAGATCCTGGTACAGCAGGCGATGGCCAAGGTCATGAAAGCAAACCCCGCTCTTTACGTTCTACGCGAACGTATCAGAAAAGGTCTCCAGCTTTATGCGTCAGAGAGTAACCAGGAGTTTTTGAACTCCCAAAACTACTCAGAACTTTTCAGCAACCAGACGAAGCTATTCATCGATGATACCAACGTGTACCGAGTGACCATCCACAAGACCTTCGAGGGTAACTTGACCACAAAGCCTATCAACGGCGCCATTTTCATCTTCAATCCCCGTACTGGACAACTTTTCTTGAAGATCATTCACACTAGCGTTTGGGCTGGCCAGAAGCGTCTCGGTCAACTAGCCAAGTGGAAGACCGCCGAAGAAGTTGCGGCTCTCATCCGTTCTCTACCCATTGAGGAACAGCCAAAGGAGCTCATCGTCACTAGAAAGGGTCTTCTAGACCCTCTGGAAGTCCATCTTCTAGACTTCCCCAACATCTCCATTCGAGCGTCTGAGCTACAGTTGCCCTTCCAGGCCGCAATGAAAGTTGAGAAGCTCGGTGATATGATTCTCCGTGCCACCGAACCCCAGATGGTTCTCTTCAACTTGTATGATGAATGGTTGAAGAACGTGTCTTCTTACACCGCTTTCTCACGTCTGGTCTTGATTCTACGTGCTCTTCACGTCAATCCTGACAAGACAAAACTTATCCTGCGACCTGACAAAACTGTCATAACACAAATGCATCATATCTGGCCAACCCTAGAGAACGAAGACTGGATTAAGGTGGAAACACAGTTACGAGATCTGATCTTGCACGACTATGGCAAGAAGAATAATGTCAATGTCTCGAGTTTAACCAGCAGCGAAGTAAGAGATATCATTCTGGGTATGGAGATTTCTGCGCCGTCGATGCAACGGCAACAAGCGGCAGAGATAGAAAAACAACAGCAGGAGCAACAGCAGCTTACAGCCGTCACAACTAAAACCCAGAATGTCCATGGCGAAGAAATTATTGTAACCACCACATCACAATTCGAACAGCAAACATTCGCTTCTAAGACAGAATGGAGGACGCGGGCAATCGCCACATCCAACCTGCGTACCCGATCCAACAATATCTACGTCTCATCTGTGGATAATGACTTGGATGATATCACCTACGTCATGCCGAATAACATCTTGAAGAAATTCATTACCATTGCCGATCTTCGTGTCCAGGTGACAGGGTATCTATATGGTGTCTCTGCTCCAGACAATGATCAGGTCAAGGAGATTCGTTGTATCGTTCTGGTGCCTCAAATAGGAGGCCTACGCAGTGTCCAACTTCCTCAACAATTGCCACAGCATGAGTATCTTGGGGACCTAGAACCATTAGGTGTTATTCACACGATGGCTGGCAACGAATTACCGTATATGTCGGCGGCGGATGTGACAGAGCACGCTCGACTGCTTGATGCCCATCCAAAATGGTCCAAGGAGAACAGTATCACAGTTGACGTCGCCTTCACACCCGGCTCCGTGTCCCTTTCTGCTTGGGCATTGACCCCAACCGGCTACAAGTGGGGTGCCGAGAACAAGGACATTGGCAGCGACCAACCACAGGGGTTCACCACATCCATGGGTATCAAGCGCAAGTTATTGCTGAGCCCACGGTACAAGGGTTACTTCTTAGTTCCTGAAAGCGGCAAGTGGAACTACAGCTTCATGGGTAGTAGTTTCGCCGGTCTAGAGAAGAAGCCAGTCCACGTCAAGCTGGATGCGCCACTACCCTTCTACAGTGATCAGCACCGTCCTCTTCATTTCCAGAATTTTGCGGAGCTTGAGGATATTGGTGTGGACCGAAACGACAACTTCGCATAAGCGCTGAGAGTTGGTAAAAGAGAAAATTTCGTGTGTTGCGACGTTGTGAGGGCAAATGCTCGTGAAATTTTTGCATTTTAGGCGACAGTGAGGCGTTCGAGGCATGGTTTTTGTGGCATTCACGCGAGGTGATGAAGGAGAAGCTCTGAAAATTCTCCTTGTATCGAGTACAACGAAGGAATTTGTGTACATTTTCCCAAACACCGCAGTGCTAAATTGTAAGGTGGCTAAGGAGGAAGAAAGCGGTGTGCAAGAATATGATAATACTACCATATAATTTAGCAATTTAAGACGGTATGTCTCATGTTAGTCTAGTTTTTTTTTTTTTTTCGAGAAGATGCTGTAATCCTACAGTGACTCATGTCTATAATCCATCTGCACATATCTTGAGGTCTTTGATATTAGCTTGGTACTTCCCCTATTTTCTACTGACGCTACTATACCCTAGGTAGATGATTAAAGGCTTGCTGTACAACGCTTATACAACCACGAAATGATGGTTATGCATGGGTTGTAAGACTGCACTAATCAGAGTCGTGTATCAAATAAATCAGCATATACGCTAGACGAAAAGAATACTTTCTTTCTTCGTTTTATCTATTCATCTTTTCTTCCCATCTACCTTCCCACACCACGAGAAGAAGATCTCGGTCCCGCTAAGGGGGTTCGTTACACAGAGTAGCATGAGAGTCCGGTCTATCAACCAATTATTTCCCTAACCCGGAAACAAAACAAAATACTTTTTTCCCCTTTATCCGTCCCATGTCCCACTGGTCGATGTATCTCTAGCTCTGGGTATGCATCACGACCCAAGTCGCTTTTTCTGCTGCGTTCTTCTTCTTCTCCGGTCTATTATACATTAAGACGACCCGTTCATTCCCCCGTGGGTGGAATGCTCGTCAGACGAATGCTATTACGGTGTAGAGATGGAGAATATTAATTTTCAACACATTGTCGTGACAGACCAGGCGCTCCCGTGTATTATGTATTACTATTTCGAACGTTGACCCCGTTTTCCGCTCCTCCTTATCCAGGTTCTACTGTAGATAATCCAAGGCTGGTACTCGGGCTTGTCGACTGGCCAGGTCGCTGGGTGTCCGGGCAGGCGGAGTTGTAGGTCGGGGAGAATATCTGCGCCGGCGGTTGGTTGTTGGGGTTTTTCGTCCTGTCTACTCCTGCTCCGCTTCCGTCAACCATTGTGTTTCCAGAGGGGCTCAGGGGATCTTACTCTTTGGAATCTGATGTGGACTTGGCCTGGTTCTCATCCTTGTTTGCGGGCTCGTTGGGTTCCTTTGGGGCAGCGCTGGTAGAGTAGGTGCGCTTCTGGACCTGCGAGAGCGGCGTCGGCCCAGTTCGCATTGCACTGGCTGGGAGTGCTGTTGGTACAGGCTTGCCAGAGACAGGGTCTTCTTGAGCTTGTGCTGTTGAGGTGGTCCCTATCTTCCCTATCACGATGGTCTGGGGAGTAGGGCTGCTCTCGGCGTTGGTTACGGCTTCAGCGGAGATGGGTCGTTTTGGGAGGAGCGATGGAGGCTGTGCGTAGAGAGATGGATCTGGCTGCTCAAAGGGCATCCATGAGATGTGCCGAACGGTGGGTTTTAGATAGCGCGTGAGACGAGCGCCGGCGCGAGAAGAGACCCTCATCGTAGTCTGTGTCGCGGCGCAGCCTTTGAATGGATACTTGGTGTTATGGAAATAGAAGGCGAGCGAGGTGATGTAGCATTGGTAGAGTGGTTGAGTAGAAGACGCGGTGTGTCTTGCTTGGTCCGTGGGTAATTTAGATGAAAGCAGTGATTGTTTGCTCAGTCGGAGGAATGCGTGGAAGCTACATATGCCGACAGAAATCGGAGGAAGAAGGAAGGAGGTAGGTAGGGGAAGTATGAGAAAGGCCAGATTACCTACTGGCAAAGTTTCAACTATGAGTTCTGAGTTTGGTAGAAATGCCACGAATATGGTAGAAGTGAAAAGGGAATGAATACCTTAATCTTCGACAGGTACGTTTCACACCTAGGGATTTTGCACCTCCTCCACAATAGTTACCTAACCTACTTACCTCCTAGTTGTAATTCAGCCATACACTCATCAATGTCTAGTTAGCCATTGATTATATGGTGATGATGCCGTGGTTATAACGCTGGTAGTAGAATAACACTTCTTACTTTGTATGATGAGCTAATATTGAAGATTCCGGAATAGGTGTAGAGTTTGTGTACTTGCAATGCAAGATCCTTGTCAAGGCAAATTTAGTTATTTGCATATACCTATGCTGACCTTATCTTGGAATTCCCATACAGACAAGGTTTGGAAGCATGCATAGCACTTAAAAGTTGTGTGAGAAAGAAAGCAAGAGGTGTTCATTTAGACAATGGGTGTATCACACGGGGTTGAGAACGTTAATGGAGGCTAATAATAGATAGCCTAGCTATTCAGTTCCTCTATGAACTCAATGTGATATATTTTGATACATTACAAGGGGGTCATCACTGCAACAAGTTGTGGGCAAGAGATTCATCTGTGAAGTGAGTACCTCTCTGCTTTACTTGTGCCTGCAGCAACATCCAAACCAAAAGCCTTTACCAATGAGTCACCATCCCATTAAACATATGTCGAGGATAATATACACCACATCCACAGTCCGTAGCTCCAATGGGCCTTATTAAGTCTAATTTTGGGCGGTCTCCATGATCAGTTCGGCAGCCCTCTCCGCCACAGCATACAACGTAGCAGTGAGATGACCACTAAACTGCAAGGGCAACACCGACGCATCCACAACCCTAACATTTTCCGTGCCGTAGACCTTCAGCTTAGAGTCCACTACGCCACCAAGCTCGCGGGACATCATGGAAGCTGTTCCGATGGGGTGGTGGTTAGGTGACACTAGGGAAATACAAGAATTAGCCTTTCCAACTCGAGAACACAGCAGTAACATACGGGATGAAGAGCGATGATAGATCTAAGGAGAGAACTCACAGGTATCCGAAATAAAACTTGTCCACTGCTCACGTGTCGCATTCAGCGGCAAGACACCCTCATCCTCAGGTATCACACTTGCACCCCGGAACTCACCTATGGGCTTCGTGTGCCAGAACTCCTGCGCAATACGGCCGAGACCAATCTGTACATCGAGGTCAAAGTCTACGGAGAAGTACCTAGGGTCGATGGCCGGAGCGTTGATGGCTTCAGCGGATGTCAAGTGGACGCTGCCCCAAGAGAAGGGAAGGAGAAGCCACCAGGCAGATACGACAGCTCCCGAGTATATAGCCGTCAACGTCTCCCCGATAGTCACGTTCTGTTTGAATATAAGATCATGCTGGATGCGAAACAGCTTCTCGACTTTTGCTACGTCGACTCCGCCGTTGCTGGCAGATGCCACTTTTTCCGCCCAGGCTGGTATCTGAGCTGACGTGGTTGCCTCGATACTCGAGACCTCGTCGCCGAACATGTCCTTCGCCGTTGAGAAGGTTGCGTACGGAGCTGTTCCCGAGATGTTCTGTGAGAAAGTGTAGCCGATGGCCGTGTTAGGTTGTTCCTGAAGGTACTCTCCAACGCCTGGGAGGTCGATCTGCGTCTTGATTCCAAGGCTGCTGAGAAGACTAGTAGATAAAGTGTAATAGTTAGCACAGCCGTTAAATACGGCTACCATAGGCGAAATTCCTTACTTTGGGTTCCCAACACCAGAGCTCTCGAGAATAAGAGGCGATCGCAACGCACCAGCAGACAATATCACCTCTTTAGCAGCCGTCGCTTTACGAAGCGTCCCATCAGGCGCCACATACTCCACGCCCTCAGCAACAGAAGTCTCGCTAGCCTCCGCAGACCAAATGATCTTCTTCACCGTGCCCTTGATGAGCGTCAAATTCGGCCGGTCCTCAACAGCGTAGTAATACGCGCGCGCGGCGTCGAAGCGGATATTCTGGTCCCGGTCCAGCGTCTGCGGCCAAGCAGAGAACCCGTACACGCTCCCGGCATTTGGGTCCTCGTTAAGCGGATGTCCCAGCGCCGCCCATGTGTCCACGGCGAGCGCGTTGAAACTCCCGTTGATCAGGGAGAAGGGATATCCCGTGTGCACGTACCCCGCGTCGCCGTGCGCCGAGGGCTCATATGTGGCCCCTGCAGCCGTCTGCGCAGCGCTCGGCACGGTGAACTGCTCGGCTTTCTTGAAATACGGGTACAGCGCGTCCCAGTTCCATCCTTCGTTGCCTAGGGCTTCCCAGGCGTCGAATTGCGCCTTATCGCCGCGGATGTACGTCATGCCTTTACGGGAAAAATGTATGGTAAGTTAATTAATCGGTGTGCATGATGCTATATCTATCACATACCATTGATTGTGCTCGTTCCGCCGATGGCTTTGCCCGCGTGCCACGGAATAGTGCGGTTCCCCGCTGCCTGCTGCGGCGTTGTCGAATATTGCCAGTCTATCGATGTACCGAACGGTATCGTGAACAGGGCCGGATCCGTCACATTCACGTTGTTACGCACGTCCTCGCCTGGCTCGATCACGGCTACGCGGATATTAGGGTCCACTGATAGTCGGTTCGCGAGCACGAGGCCGCACGTGCCGGCGCCGGCGATGATGTAGTCGAATGTCTCGCTGCATGCTGCCTGGGCGCTTCCTATGGCCGCGAGGAATCTAAGGCTCTTCATCTTTTGTTGATTCTCCGCTGTGAAATGTCGCTCTTTGGTACCACAACCGCACTTCTCTCGGAACCCAACTATTTATGGGAAACACCCTCAGGTAGAAAACTGACCAGCCATTGTATTTTCAGAAGCTAGACTGTCGACGGACTCACGAGGCCACCCACCGCTCCTTCGCTCGTTAGGCCCTCGCAACTTCGATGAACGGGCCGATTGCACTCGGCGTAAGACGCGCTCCTTCGGGCACTGAGAAGGTAGGTAGGACAAACTGGGGTAAACTTGGGGAAAATATTGGAGAAGTCAACCTTCCCCTCAGCACTAGATGTGGGGAAATCTTAACCATCGATTTTATACTAGTATTTCGTATGCTATTAGCTCAATAAGGAAAAAGGCATGGGAAGGATTGTTCCCTGTTTCCCGGGCTTGGGATTCGGAACCCACTTCATCTTCCTTGATGAATCCACTTTGGGTACATGAAATAGGTACGGTCTGTATGGGTTGTTTATTCGTGTGGTGCCACTGGTAGAGATTAGGACGGTCTGTAGTCTGCCTACCGAGACGATGCCAAGCCTGTCTTGAGAGAAATAGGATCAGGCGACCAGTGATAAATCTTATTGTTACATTCCTGTAACGTGTGAAGAAATACTAAAAGGAGTCTTCCTCAAGTCGACCGCCAATATGGTCTAATTGGTTAAGAGCAGTATACCAGGAGATTATATCATAATGCCACCAACTGACGGGCTATGCACCATACAAATAGGGACGAAGTCACTAATAAAGAGGAAATCAAAGGTGTTAATTCAGTCGTTAATTTGGTATGCACTGATACCTGGGTATAAAGTCCGACTAAGACCATAAGCGATATATACAGATTGCCATGATATGCCGGTAAATGTAAGGGGTCGGAACTCCAAAGCCCCTGTGCTCTCCCGCCTCCTCTTCCCATCTAGATCTTATCTAGACCCTGTAATGGAAATATACCAACAACGAGGCATGTAACTCCACGAGCTTAAGTGCATCCGACGAAGTTGTTCCCACTCGCGCCGGTGTGGGTAATGGCGTCCTGGAACTCGCCGGCGTAGTTGAAGACAACGCGATCAGCGCCGGGCTGGCCGCCGGTGTAGGCGGAGCCGGAGCTCAGGATGGGGAACTCATACCACGGGCCCTCGTCGGGGAAGTCGAAGCCCTCGTAGTTGTTGTACTGGTGGGGGTAGTCGTTGCTGCCGACGGTGGTGTCATCTGAGTAGTATTCGTAACCCTGGGACACGGCAGCATCGAGGTCGCCCTGGGAGTAGCAGACGCTACCGCAGGTCTTGGCACACGACTGCTTCTTCTCGATCGCGGCGCCGGAGACGACGGACACGGCCGCGAGGACGATAGGGAGGATCTATACGCCACTGATTAGCATGCGAAGAATCAGACTCCTCACGATATGAGCCTCATCGTACCTTGGCGCCGAACATGGTGAACGAAGATAGCAGCGTGTGCACGGAAGAGGAGGGAATAGACGGGGCGGTTCGATTGGGCTTGGGGGATTCAAAAGTTGACGACAACTGCGAGTAGATCGTGGCTCTTATATAACTGCGCGATCCAACATATGCTACTCCCATCTATCTAACTCACATGTTCGCCAACCCCGCCGAGAACCCCGTGGAGTCGTGCAAGCTCATGCGTGGGTTTCACACCTGTCCAACCTTATCTCTGGACCGGTGCACATGGGCCATATCGGCGGACGGGAGACGGTGAAACATGCGCCATGAGGCTAAGGGTCTCCTAGAGACGCGACGCCATGAGAGCAAGAAGAGGCTAAAGGTGCTGATCACGACCTGAGACCTTCCTGATTAATAGATGGATTTGCTCAGCTCCGTTGGCCGGAGCGGTAACTACATACTTCCTTACACATTCATCATATTTTACATATCGCATTAACAATGCACGGAACGAACCTATGGTGTTCTAAAATGCGCTTCGCACAGCGGGATAACCCCTAAACTCAAGTTAAAAGGGGGCCTTTATTCCCGCAGAGACAGACAGATTGACATAATTCAAGGACGAGCAAGGTCTCAAGACGCGATCACGACGGGTTGATTCCGCGCTCTGATTGGCAGGACACCCGCAACTGACGAGTCTTGGAGATCATCATTGGCGCGCACGCCCACCTGCCTATATCAACGCGAGATCAGCCCTTTGGGATCGGGCTAAGGCCGGGGGATTACTTAAAGCAGGTCGGCTTAGTTTTGGAATTCGTGGCCTGACGATCGGCGTGTGCCCGACGGGAAGTGGATTGGTTGGTCGGCTGAGGACTTCATGGCGAGCGAGCAAACAAGTCGTCTACGAGCCTCTGAGGGCCGCCCTCGCTTGGAGATTACCAGTGTTTTGTTTGAAATATATACTACAGATCTGCCTACACTACCTTACCAATGGTTCGAAGCTTTTGCAGTGTACAAGTGTATGCGAATGAAGATTTCATTCTCCACTCCACTGAGCCAAGAGGTTCAGACGCTAACGCTTACGTTCAAATCCTCAATACACTCATGATTGTCAAGTAGCCTTCTAATACCTATTTGAATGCCGTTATTCGCGGTCGCTAGTGTAAATAGCTCGCCGCCGTCTGTATGAACCATTGTGCCTCGGCAGTGAGTTAGTTATGTCGGCAGAGAAATTTGAGTCAGCGGCATTAACATAGCCCTTAGTCTGTGCTAAGGGCTATCCCCCTATCTAGATAGCGTCTGTAGTTTCTCCACTGGTAGTGAGAAGCGGTCACGACGCTCCAGTGTTTCGGTACGGGGTCCTTAGGATTAGACGCGATGATGCTACTACATAGTCACCATTTGGAAGTTGTTTCAAGAATTTGGGTATCAAATGATGCTTGTATATGCTATTGGATAAGAGTTGCAACGCTAGGCTATGTTTTTAAATATTACAGTTATGCTATGACAAGGTACCGCAGGTCACCTCTTGATCAACAAGCAGATGCTGGACATGTTGGGCACCAAGTGCTTTTTCTAAAGCATCTTATTGCTTCTGAGAGATCATCATTTCCTCGTTGTCGGCAATAGGAGCCGGACGGTTGATGCTCTTGTTGAGCTCGTTTTCACCAACGACATTAGTGGTGCCGGTAGAATCGAGGTGGGCATCCTGGTTCTGACTAAGAACGTACTCCTCCTTGTCGATGTGGCGGAAGGTGAAGTAGAAAATGACGGTGAGGATACCACCAGCAATAGCTGAGCCACCAAAGTCCCAGATCAAGTGAGGATCGGTAATGACTGACGAAGCAGCAAGACCAATAGCATAGGCGATAGCAGTGTTGAACAAGTTGATAGCAGACACGAGACCTCTCATGTTGACAGGAGCACGTGAGTAGGCAATACCGTAAGCAGGAACGTTGATAAACAACTCGGAAATACCACCAATAGCGTATGGTATAGCCATCCACCAAATGGTAATGTTGGCGACCTTGGGTTCAATTTGGCAGTCGCGAGTAGCCATGTCACCACAAGGCGAAAGCTTGTAAGCGTAGTACTGGATAACAGTGTAACCAACACCGCCAATGGTAGATAGGGCAAGACCCGTCGTGATACGGGCAACAGGTCCGTAGTGAATATTTAGTTTCCGTAGCACGGGGTATAGACCATAGTTTAGGATGGGCGCGAAGACAATGATACTGAGAGAGTTGAAGTTTGAGATAACGTCGTTTGGCACACCGTCAGTCCTCAGAGCAGTGCTCAAGAAGCTGGCAGCTGAACCAATACCGTTATCGTTGAGGTACTGGATGGGGAAGAAGGAGAAGATACCGGTCGCCTGGAAGGTACGTCGGACATCATCGACAAAGGCATCATTCCATTGAGTCTGGATGTTCAAACCAGCCTTCGCAATTTCGCTAGGCTTGGCGAGATCCCAGAATCCACCACGACCAATTCTCTTGATACCTCCACGGCGAAAGACAACACCGAGAACACGGAATACATTGGCAAGATCACTTCCTCCGGGAGGGTGAAGGATCAGTCGTTTGTAAAGGAACCAGAGGAGGAATGGCAGAGGGATGTAAAGCAGAAGAGGAAGGAGGAAAGCCAACCACCATCCAACGTATTTTTCAGCGTATGAAGTAGCGACACCGAAAAAGCCACCGACGTTGATCAGAAGATAGAACCACAACATGACGCGCTCAGTTGTGGATTCCGGGTCTTGGATCACGCGCTCACCACTGGCAAGAGTGATGACTTTGGGGACGGTGTTGGTCACCTGATCAAGCAATAACGGCGAAACATTGGGCTTGAACATGGCCGCACCGACCGACAGGATATAAACGGACAGGAAGTATGGCACCTTGGCTGTACCATTCGCAAGAAGCTGCTTAGAACCCGCACCGACCATGAGAACGTGGGCGACACCGAACACTCCGACACCGTAACAAATAATCTTGAATCGACCGAATCGCGAATCGGCGAGATAACCGAAAAGTAGAGGGAGAGCGTACGCCAAGAAGTTGAAAGACTGAGTAACAGCGTTGGCTACTACAGTTCCCATGCCCAAGGCACCGGCGGTATCCTGGGTACCTCTTTTGGGGGCACCGAAACCATTGCCATCCTTAGGTACTATGTCTTGTGTTAGCCTTAGTCACCATCTACGGCGATCACCGCCGCGAGAGTATTCCTTACAAGGTCGGTTCACGAAGTTGGAGATCAACGGCTGTACACCGTAGAACGAGGCACGCTCGCAGAACTCGACAATACAAATAAGGTAGGCCACCACTGGTAGACTGCCAGGAACTCGGCGCAAGGTCAGGAGTTCTTCCGGAGTCGGCTTGCCCTCGTAATCAGCCTCCATCAAAACGGGATCAAGGTAAGCATTGTGCTTGTCCTTGTACTCTGGAGGGGGGTCGATCTTCTCGTCGCCCGCAGACACGCGGTCGACATCACTTGAGGATCCTGGAAATCATGGTTAGTTGCTTTTGAGTTCTTTGCAAGCAAGGGCAAGCTAAACCAGGCAGGCTTACCCATTGTCAAAGTCGTCTGAAGCAAGAGTGGTCTTGGCAGACAGACGTGGGAGCGCGTGGAAGGGAGAGAAAGGACGATGAGAGGAATCAGAAGCAAGTAGGTAACGGAGGGCACGCCACGGATTTTATGCAGAGCAATGGAATCGTGAAGAGGCAGGGCTCCCATAAACCCCGGATGCACTCCACAGCCAGCTAATGTATTACCAAGAAGCTAGCAAGCTTGATAGGGCAATGATACACTGCATTACAGACATTGTGTGCATATATATCCGACTAACGATATACACTTTACAGTCAACACCTAACTGGCGGGGCCAGGGAGAATCTGACTCCGTACATAGTACGGCATAGGGGGGACATGATGGGAAAGGCGGCCAGTAGCGTGCTTGCGACCGTTATCTCAATCATGGAACGATGCATGAAGGGACTGCAACAATCCCACGCGGCTAGGGGGGCCCGGGCTGTCTAGGCCGAAAGAAGAGCGTCGGAGGGCGCTCAGAGCAAGGCTCTCGACTCAGCTCGTTTTCTTTCCTCGCTCAGACTCGCTCAGTGGACATTGAGCCGGCCGAAGTGGCACCGGCTATATTTCCAAAAGCGGGAGGTGTTGTTACTTGGTCTGATTAATATCTCCGATCTAGAACTGGCTCCAACCAGTGGGCGAGATATGATATTGATCAGTATGCTAGTGCTTCTACAAATATTCCTCTGAGCTTCGACGGCGGAATCGACGCAGATCCTGGCTCGCCACCTACGCTACCACTGGTCAATCACAAGGCCATCGATTGACTAATCCTGTCTAGCGTGGTTCCAAATCATCATTACGAGAAATCTCGTTGGTCGAGACATGTTGCTTAAACTTTGATAACGATGGTGGCGCAACACCAGAACAAGCAGGCACAATATAAAGATATCGACCATGACGAGCCATGATAAGAAACCAGGTGGCGATTGTTCTACCTCTGCCAAGTCGGGTTGGCGCAGAAGGTCACATCCTGCACGAAGACAAGCTTCTGCCCAGGCGGATAGGGATAGCTAGCACTCCTCTACCGGCGTCGGAATTGTCTTGGACAGGTCTTGGAAGACGCATGCCATGCCTCATAGATATGCTGTAGGGCAGAGCCAGGGCTTCGATGGCAACACGATGCCACCGCAACAGCAGTCCTCTCACTCACGAGGTCAACGGAAACATGATGCGAACTGTGCCCACGACGACGGGCCCTAACAAGAGTCAGCTTCCGCTTTCGAACAGCCTAGTTCTGATAACAGAACCACTATTTTACGAACTACTTAAGAGTACGAGTAAGACTGACCTCTGGACTGCCCGAAGGGAAAGGATCTGGAAAGGAGGAGCCTCTGGAGCAAAAGCGACGGGCAGAGATTGGACAGCTCGAACTGTACAATGTAGGTACGATGTAGGTAGTGTACTTAGTGTACGGTACCTGCTAACGATGCTGACACAGTGTGCGGCGGTTCCACCTGGCCGAGCCGAAACAGCCCCATTGGATGGTTCTGGGGACGCTAGCAGGCGAAGAAGGTCCTTAGCAGGGGTTGTAAGTAGGCAGCTTGGCAGCCTGTAGGTATTAAAAGGTAGCGTACCCCTCCCCCAGTCGGCAGCCAAAATATAGTGTGTAGCTTGGTGCTGGTGTACTGTGCGCTAGGTAGTTGTAGCTCACGAGCAGGTACCTAAGTACTACTGTCTAGTCTATGGTTCACCAACATTGGTGCCCGCATCATACTGTTTTTTGCGTGACTTAAAAATAACGTGATATCTACGGCCATTTCGACGCATTCAGAAGGAGGCCGATGGTGGTGTTAGGTGCTACTGTAAGTACCTATACTGGTGCCCGGCAGGACTAGGCTTATTCCAGGGCGAATGGGATTCTACTGTGGTGTAACGCTTCTCTCGCTCACCTTGTCTTACCGACCGTTCGGATCCGTTCGAAGCGACACTCGAACCACGAGTAATGTCAGATCCTACTTGAGCCTCCCATCGCACTATTTCCCACACGAGCCCGAATAACGTGAGGGCGAGATCCATAGTCGATAGACGCGACGGAACGCGAGGCATACTAGTGACAGCGCACGACATCACTACCCACCATCGTGCCATTCAAGCTAAACGAAGAAGAACGCACAAAAAAAAAGAGGGAAAAAGAAATTACAATGCGGCGGCTCCGCTAGACCATACTTACATGGCATAACGCACGCTACAGCTGGCAATATCTGCATCTTTACTTCGTAGGCCTTGAAGGCGAGACGGAAAGAATTTCAAATCATGATATGCACCCAGGTGGTGCAGCCTAACAGTACTACAAAATGTGCGCTCTGCGTCTGTGGATGGCCATCATACGAGTCCTCTTGTCGTACATAGCAAGACTATTCTGTCACTCAGCTGGCGCTGTGCCTGATTTTTGCATGCAGCGGCACATTGTACCGCATCCCGAAGCAAGACACTATGTACTGTAGGTAATACGCTTTTTCACATGCAACATACCCCTCGAGATAATGCCGTGTTGTCCGCGCTGTGCAACCATGTCTGACCATATCAGTGATTCTCTACCTGAAGACAAGCAGGCCATGAACAGCGCATTGTACTCATCTCCCTGAGCACGACTGTACGATTTAAGTACACCAGGGTAGGTAGCGCATCGTATACATGTACACTAGGTACCTCGACTACTTACTGCACCGTCGATCACTTCCCCTACAAGACGGATGCACCAACATGTGCAGATATTGCAGGGGAGAAAAGCATGATGGCCTGGTCAGCAAAAGGATGCAACCAGGGCGGATAACCCGAAATCTGATGCGACAGAATTGATCCCATGGAAGAGGTAGGTATAAAACCCTGAATATGGCCGTAATCCGAGTTAACGGCCATGCCATTGGCAGCAAGCCTTTCCTCTCTCACGCATCTACGCCGCAGGTGTACTGTAGGTTCTTATTGTTGGTAAGCAGTCAGCAAAACGTCGCAAACGAGGCATTGCCAAGCTAGCGTATACCTACCTCTGACTTACCCTAGGTATCTCGTGTAGGGGTGGTGTAAGTAAGTAGCGTGTGGACGGTAGCGTCGAGTCGGTTCCAAAGAACCCGAATCCTCTCAATTCCAAAAGTACGCGATGGATTCGAACAATAACCAACCAACAAGGCTGCAACTACCATGAAATATTAAACCAACAATACCAGAGCTAGTTGTGCGCTAGGTACTCCTTATCTCTCGCTCCAATCCAAACCCTCCTTCCTGATCATCGCCCTCGAGGTGGTGGTTTCGGCTTATTCGGGAGACTTCCGCTATTGTAGAAAGAAAAACCCCTCGCCCCTCAACAGTTCGCCGGGTATATAACGGGCATTGTCGGTTCGATACACATACTTACTGACTGACTTACTTACTTACGGTCCTCAGTACTTACCTAGTCACTGCCTAGTCACGGGCAGAATGGGGTTCGCTCATCGCCGAAAGCCTAGCCTGGTTTACTAGGTACAAGGTACTATGTAGACGAGACGCACACTGGTTATCATTTCTATTATCTCCATTCTGCTCCATTCTTCTGCTGATATTCCTGCTGCTGCTGCTGCTGCTACTACTACTACCTACTACAGTATGGAAGCTTGTCATCTCGAATAGGAGTGATGTATGCCATGAGCTAATGCACCCGCTCTGCGCCTATATGTAAGTAATAACGGACGTGGAAGGGGATATGGTGCAATATGAGGTCACGTTACGTTCGACGCATATCATCTGTGCTTACCCGTATAGGTATACAGCATGTAGTGCAGGCTTGTTTCCTGGTTCAGACGCGCGAAGATCTGAGATTGCAAGATCTTGATCTCGCTTCTTCTGATCTCACCACATGTTGACGCACGCCATCACTACCTCCTGCTTTATCATCGACGTCCGTCTTTTACATCTCGATCTATCGACATCAGGTGCGCACTGTAGCTGGCACGTCTATCCATGTGCGCCTCCCCCGCACAATTCAATTGACCGTCACCACGAGCCTAGGATAACGCCCTTCCCGTCATGACGGAACTTCGGCCCCAATTCGCATCACTAGGTACCTACTGCATATGGTATTAGGGCACGCGAGCCCTTTGGATCTCAGGTAACTATTAGCACATCGCAGATTCACGGTTATCTGGGTGGACGCGGACACTGTTATTTTTTACGTCACAGATATCTTAATACGTACTTATACTAGGTACTATTTCGCACAGTAAGGGTATCCGCATCCCGGCAATTCGGTAACCTCCGTATAACAAGATTCACCTGAGCGATCGATTGATATTGTGTCTCAGTTGCTATTTTTTTGACATTTGGAGCTAATTGTCACAGTTGGACAACATCTTGTCTATCATGACGGTATCATATCATGTTGTTGATAACAAGAACGCTGTCTATTGGTCTTCTCGATGAACTGTGTTGGAATTCCTAGCACGCCGCTGATCAGATAGATTTTGATGTTCGTCTTAGGCTCACCAGTATGCTAGAATCGAGGTCTACTCCTGAATTCGCCGCTAGATCTGAATAACTCTTATCTCACGGCTTGGTTGAGTACGTCAACGTTCAAGGCAATTAAGACGTATATTCCTTAACAATTAGTCTGGATGATACAGAGCATAACTACATAGTCAACATTCTAACTATTGACCCTGAAGAAACATGGTAGGTAACCGCAAAGGTATTGAAGTCCTTTCGGTGGTGTCCATGATGTTCGCATAGTACAAGTGTGCATCTTACGATATTATCATTTTACCACTACCGAAAAGGTCATATCGTACCGTAACTTAAAGGCTATATTGGCAGCATACATGAAACAAACCCGTAACTTGTTCTGGAGTGTAGCGCAGTTTTTTCATGTGCTAAATACGGATAGGCATATCTCTCTTCAAGGTAGAACAGGGAATCTAAATATCCCCTACCCTACACCCCTAAATGCTGACATATAACCCCAGTCAATTTAGACACACGAAGATAGAGACAGCTAAACGCATTTCATCCTACGGCTGCTACATCGATATCAAAGTGATCAATCAACTTGCGAGTAACCCTGCTCTACTACACTAAAGAGGAATCCTAACATAGGGGCTCTGATATACCCTACAATACAATACTCATCAAAGTGCCACACCTCTATCTCGATAGCCTAACATCTCATACAATACATTATATACGAAACACAATCCTTTGCCGGCCGGGTTTTTGGTCTATCTTCCGCCACATGATTCAATGAGGCAAGTCTTACTGTTGCTGCATTTCAGATGAGGTGGCATATAGAAAGCTATATCATGTACAGGAATGGCCTTTCTTCCTAAATCCAACCCTTCTACTACACCTACATGGTTTCATCTAAGTAGCATATGTACGACGCATAAATCAGGTAATGAATAGACTCGGGCATCGTCTGCCCACCCCTATCCCATCGGCTTGTCCTATATTTCGATATCTCTCCACCTTGAATAAGAATGGCCGTGGGATAAAAGGGTGTTACGTGGAAGATTATACACCTACATCCCGCAGACTCTGGAATCCCCGCGCTCGTCGTTCTGTTACCGAAACCTAGAACCACTCATGCCTTTGGAAAAACCAACCCCTTTAGTGTTCCAAGGTTGGGAAATCCTGAAATAGAAAATTTAGTACAAATTAGGTAACTACCTGATGATTAGATACGTTACTCTATTCTCGTTAAGGAAATAAAGCCAGGTGTAGATCCAGTGCTGTCCTAGGAACTGAGTTTAGGCGGGAAGCCTAGAATTGCACGGATGCTCGTGATCTTGTAAGTGTTGAATACATGTTAATTATAAAGAAGGGAAGAAAGAAAGGAAGAAAGGAGAATGAACTTTCCAAGTGAAATCTTCCTCGGTCCTTCGATCACTTTCACTAACCAGAAACTGTCCGTTACACGCGCCAAGCTCGCAATACACGTTCAACATGCCAATTCGATGATTTATTCAAGACTCGTCTCAGTCTTGCTCATCAGAGGCTTTGCTAAGATAAGACATTATATTGGCAGACCTCGGAGATTAGTGTAGGGCATCTATCTATATATAGACCAACCCTCGTAGGTTGGGAAATGGCTCGCTGACTTAGACCACATGGACCTTGATAATTGACCTTGACTGGATATGTGCACTAGACACATACACTTCACCAGCTGTTGCTAACATCTAGATTCCGTTGAAACGTCTCGTATAAGAGATGGCTTCGGCTTCAGGACGACTGCGACAGACTTGGCGCTCACCTATTCAATCATCGGACAGGTGCGTAAGACGGGTATACAGCGCGCAGAACAATGGCAAAGGGGTCTTTATTTGAAGTTTCCGTTTCCGTGATGATGCGTGCTCCATGCCTATGTGAGTAGATCTAAGCTCTAAGTATTGAGTGTTCATAGCTTTCAGCGCGATTTGAGGAGACGATCCTACAACTCGAGATAAGTGCAGCGATGGCTCGCTATCAGGCTATTACATTGGGTAGATATGTATGAATAACAATCGACACGCGAAATAACCCGCGATATCCAGATTCCCGTCTCTGATTCTCACATACACTCAAGTCGTATCAGCACCGGCGGCTGAATCCATGATATACCAAAACAAGACCTTCAAGAAGGGAGCACAGCCGCGCATAGCTAGCTCGTCGCCTCCGTTCTTCGCTATGGGTACAGCTATCAGACTACCTTTCCATAAATAGAGCCCTTCATAGTTGTTGCTCGAATATATCCCTCTCTTGTACGACTTATGATGTGCGAAAAAGCACACGGTCTTCGAGCGGGTTGCCTTGAACGACTACCCAGGAACTTTAACGTCGAACGCCAAAGCGAAACAGAAGTCCAAGGCAACCTTAAATGTGGTCACTTTGGTACTTAATGCTTACCTATACCTCCTGCAGCCACATGGCCATTTCTCTAATGGTCGAAATTCAACGCGTTGCTCATTGATGGTTACACAATGGATGCAAATCGATGCGCCCGTCAGAATTCCGGTGCCGTTTACCTTCTTAAGAATAGCCATGCGCAAGGGGCTCGCGGGCCGTCCCACTATGCAGGCAGGGCTGCACGGCGCCTTTACGGCGGTGGCTCAATGAAACGTCAATCTTACCTGCTTTTTCAACGGCTTTATTGATTCCTGTCATGAAGTCTATATTAACCATGGCGTTGGACATGTATATTCCACCGAATGTTCTGTTAAACCTGCTACTCACGTATGCGCTTGTATCGATGGACTACCTATTCATGTCCGTGCTTAGATCTCCGGGTGGCCGAGTCAAGGGAGACGCGGTGGGTCTCTTTTGGTAGGGATTCAGGGTGTTCTTTAGTGAACGCGTTGCCTAGCAACCAATCTATGAGGCAATTGGTCGATGATGGGAAGACAGGGTTCCGACTTGGCAGCGTATTCGAATCGATTGATTTTGCACACCCGTGCTATCGCTTCGATGTGAAGTGTGAAATTGAAAAATGGGATGAACATGTGAGCTAATCTGCTCTTTCCTTTCGATCAAAGATGGTAAGAGCAGCGTCGAGGACGTCTTCTTAGATACCGATTTAAATCATTGATTCATATTATATGCCCGTAGTAGGCGTATCAAGAGCGGTGTAGGTATTCGCTTGGGGACTTCAGACGGAAATATTTATTTCTTGCTTCATTGGGCGGGTTGTGTGGCGTGCTGGCGCGTGAGGGCGTAAGACGGCCGGGGGAGAAAGGTGGCTATTCGTGGCTATTCGTGGCTATTCGTGGCTATTCGTGGCTATCGTGGCTATCGTGGCCGTTGTGGTGCGACTCGAACCAGTCAACAGGCAGGATGCTGCACGGGCTGCAACTTGTTTGAATAGTATTGGTCCCCTACTCTTGATAAACCCCTCACCCCCCTCAGAGGCAACAAGGGCAAGACTGAAATGACGAGCACTATCTCGAACACCTGTGGTAGGTATCAACGGACGAGGCAAATAGTGCGATGAGACGTTGAATTGTAACCTGCCATTGATCACTCACTCACTCATTTCGCAGATTTGGACTTGGCATGGAGAATAAGCTGACGATCCGAATACCCAACGGCAAGAAATGACGAACAAGAAAGCTGCCAGAGACTCTCGACTCGGTCGGTCTAACGGAGTTGAGTGTTGGGGATGGCCGATTGAACTACGTTCTGTACCGCAGAGTTGAGCTACAGTAAGGACAAATGATCGACGAACCAACAAACGAACATTCCAACGGGTTGTCCCACGGTCTGTTTGTGTGTGTGAGTGGCTCGAGTGGGATGATGGGCGGGATGAACCTCTTGACAATTTGGACGTAGCGGCATGGCTAAGACGGTTGGCGCTTTAAGCTGTCTACCTAGGTAGATTCTTTGGGATTCTTTGGGACAAGCTCAGGGTTGGTTGTGCTCGCTAAAAACTGCCACGACTCCCATTGGCGGGGAGTATAGGCTCTACAGGGGGGTGCTGCAAGAGCTGGAAGCTGTCACTGGTCCAGTGTGTGGTCCAGCGCGTTGCAGTGGAGAGCTCCCCCAAGCCAGAACACCAGAACACCAGAACACCCATGTCATCATCCACTTTTATTTTATTTTATTTTTCTGCCTCAATCTCCTCTGTCGTCGGCTCTCCCCAAAAGTAAACACGGCCGCCGTCGAGTCTGATCGAGGTCTCCACCGACCACACCGCAACACCTCTCGTTTGGGTCTCTGTCCTTGTTGATCTGTTCCGAGTCTGGCCATTCATCTGTCAGAATCTATTGTATGAATACTGCACGAGTGCTGAATATGGTCATGGACTAATTTAATGTTCCCCCATCCCACGTGCATTCCCTTTGTGCAAACGCCTCTTCCCCCTCTCTTGATCTTTTTTTGTCAAACCCACACAACGCTAGATATACCTACACACACGCCGGCATCCCCCCAGCATACACTTTGTTTTCTCTCTGGATGGATTGAATAGGCATTGCATTGCCTTTTAGGGTCGTCACAAATCACAAGTTCTGCGGGGAGCCTTCTGTCACATAGCAAACGAATCGGGGACTTGATTGGGGGTGGAGTCGGACTGCTGCTTGTGCATCGTTTCTTGCATCCTTCGTTGCCGCCTTCGCTTGCATACAACCCGGCGTTCCGCTACATCTCCGTCTTGCATTACCTACGTCTTGCAGCACTTTCTGTCCCATCTCGTGAGGTACGTGGTTTTGCCCTTACGGATGCTATAGCTAATGACTTTGCCCTCGTCTGTGCTTCTATGGCCCTCTGATCTGATATTGAGCAACAGCAGCGCATTCATTACTCTCAACGACCCAACACATCCTCATGGCTTCTCAATAACACCCACCTTGACTTGTGAATATATACCCGAGTCTCTGAGATTGGTACCTTCTTTTTCCCTCTTTCGCAGATAGTATACGTCACACTGCATCCCGAGCGCACAATTTAATTCAGCCCACACATACGCACCCTTGGTGGTGAGCGGACTGCTATCATGAGCGATCAACCGCCGCCACCACCGCCGCACGGCACAAACACTCGGAGAACAAGCCCGAACCTACCACCTGGGAAATATGATATCTTCATAATACCTCCTCATTCATCCGGCGCGGGATTTCTTTATCTGCCATCGCTCCGGCCAAATGTAAACAGCTTCGCAGCGGGGTTCGCATCGGCCTTGGTGCTGGTCGTGATCGGTCAGAGCATGGCTCCTGCTTTCCGGGTTTGGTACAATAGTTTCCAGGGCATGGGAAATGCGGGGATGCTTGTGTTAGTCATTGCTGTTGGAATAGGGGCGTGGGCATTGGGTAGGACCCAGAATGATAAAAATCCGTCTCCGGGGAATAAGGGTGACTCTAGACATTCGTGGAGTTATAATCCAGGGGATAATGGCCACTCAGGTGGTTTCCATCCGGGTTCGGGCCCGCCACCACATTCAGGAGCCCCTGATCCCGACGGTCCACCACCGCCACCACCGCCGCATGGCTCACCACCGCCACCGAGATCTGGCCCACCGCCAAACCATGAAAAGCCAAAATCATCTTGGCAAGAGCGCCCTCGTGAGTATTCTCAGGAATATTATGATGAGCGGCCCAAGGAGCGACCGCAAGGAAGGCCTCGGGAACGGTCTCAAGAACGGCCTCAAGAGCAGGCTGACGAACCCCACCAGGAGAAACCTAAAGCGAAACCTAGAGAGAAAACAAGGGATAAGCCTCGGAAACCGACGCGAGAGTCGTCTGAAGAACGACGCCGGGAAAGCCCTCGTGAAAGACCTCGGGAAAAACCTCGAGAACGGTCTCGGGAACGTTCTGAGGAACGGCCCCAGTCACGACCTCAGGAACGACCTAAAGAAAAAGAAAAGCGCAAGGAAAGGCCTCCGGAAAAGCCCTTAGAAAAGCCACTAGAAAAGCCGCTTGAAAAGCCTCAGGAGCGACCCCAGGAGAAGCCTCAAGTAAAGCCTGAAGAAAAACCTCCAGAACCTCCCCCGGAGCAGCCTCAACCCCAGCCCCAACCCGAGCCTACGAAAGGTTCTTGGGAAAGGGCGAGGGAAGAGACTCGACGCAAAGAAGAGGAACGAAAAGCAAGGGAAGCCGAACAACGCAAAAAGGAAGAGATAGCTAAGCGCGTCAAAGAACTTCGCGAGAAAGAAGCAAGGGAAAGAGCCAAGCGCGAAAAGGAAGCTAAGGAGAGGCGAGAAAGGGAAACACGTGAAAGAGAAGAACGAGAGCGAGAACTGAGGGAGAGATTAGAGAAAGAAGCACGTGAAGCTAGAGAGCGATTGGAGAAAGAGATGCAGGAGGCCAGAGAGCGGCAAGAGAGAGAGCTACGAGAAGCTAGGGAAAAACAAGAAAGGGAGACCCGTGAGAAGGAGGAAAAGGCTAGAGAGCAGCGTGAACGAGAACAACGGGAAAAGGCTCAGAAAGAAAAGGAGTTGAGAGAAAAGAGGCTTCAAGAAGCAAGGGAGAGAGAACTTAGGGAAAGACTCGAACGCGAAAAGGCTCTTAGAGAAAAGTTAGAGCGAGAATTCAAGGACCGGGAGGCTAAAGAGCGAGAGGCCAAGGAGCTAGAAGCCGCCCGCCAAAGGGAAGCCGAGGCAGCTAAAGCGGTCAAGGCGGCTGAAGAAGCAAAGGCGAAAGCGGCGGAAACAGAGACTCCTCGGAAGAGTACATACGCATTCTCCTCTGTGGGTGAGAGGACGAATCCCTGGCCGAACGGAAAACCGCCCACATCAGCTCCTTCAACAGCCAAGTCCACTGCAACCCCAAGCGTCGCTCCTACTGCAACTCCAAGTGCGGCTTCCAACAACTCCCGACGACCTCCTCCGCCTACCGCACAGTCATTGCGTGGTGATGACGAGACGGCATCATATCGCACATACAATCAGACCAGATCGCATACAAGAAGGAAATCCGGCGAGACAATTTTCACAGAGTCATCATACGCCGCCTCCCAGTCAACTTCAAGGACAACACCACCACCATCGGTGCGAGGCCCCTACACGACGAAAGACCCCGACAAGATCGTTATCAAAGCTGTTTACGGGTTTCTCAACCAGTTCTCCAAAACACCCGCTTCTCAACTCATCTCTGGCGTCGGCCATGTCACGGACGGCCTCATATTGCGTATCACGACAGAAGGTCTGTTCATCGATGATGATGTCCGAGGTGTACCCCAGCGAGAATGGGACGTGAAAGCCTGGACCCTCAGACTCATGGAAGTCTGGTGTCCCGCGCACACTGCTGGCGATTCCAATGGCTCTGCCGGCGTAAACAAGGCGGCGCCTCCTCGCTTCAAGCTTGCGTCCCGCAATCAATCGAAAATGCTCATGGGAGGCGATGCCGATGCGTTTTTAACTGAATTACTCCACGCATGCAAGGACGACTGCCGTATGAGTCCCCATGATAATGCCTCATCTCGTGGTGGTAATTCGCAAGGTGAATGGAAACATCGCGGATTACATGTCTTGCGCGCCACACTCAGAGACCAGGAAGGCAAGCGGTATTTATTCGTCCTCGGCGAAGAGGAAGGGTGGAAAGTAGCTGTTGGCTTGCAGCGATTACGGAAAGGAACGCAAGTGAGACAGCTTGGTATTCAGCCCATGCCGCTTGCTGATGCGCGCGCTGCTGTTGAGACGCTGGGTTGGTAGCGGCGACTCGAAATTCCCCCGGAAATCGACAAGGCCCATGGCTACGCTGAGATATCTGGTCTTTATACCCGACGATGTGGAATGCTCAGCTGGATCTAGAATGAGAGTACATTCCTAGCTCGAGTCTAGGTTGCTGATTCAACCTTGGCAACTTAACGTCTGATTGATTAGTCCTTTTGTTTCTTTTTCTATGCATTGCGAGCGAGGGGGAGGCGCAATAGGGTAATTGTATGAATGGGTGGTTGGTTGATCGATTTATCTTGGAATGAAATGAATGGGTTTCCGGGAGGCGAGGTTCGCATGTATGGTAGAAGGGGTGTCACCACAGTAGGATGTTTGGAGGCCGAGACAGATGTTGTGATTGATAGCAATGAAATGAAGTATTTCATGTAGATGAACTGAAAGCCGTCATATCTTGATTGCCTCTCTCTAAGACTTGTTGTGGTCTATTTGTTGAGTTTGTGTGTTTAAGAAGGGTTGATACCTAGCGTATTAAATGCTCCTCTTGTAAAGAAGACTGAAGGCGGGATCAGACCTGCGGTAGGATGGATTTATTAGGTGTAGGGAGCTAGCTGATCGTCGCCTTATACTAGTTTTAGTTTACGTGATGTATTTGTAAACCTATCTGTAGTATGTATGTCTCTATGCATATACGTAGGCAGTAATTAAACTGAAGCACAACGGGATACTGCATGTGTATATGTTACACCGCGAGCGCGAACTTCGAACTACCTAGCACAAGAACAATTTCTTCAGAGGAACGAGCTGAAGGGGCTGAGTCAGCTACGGCTGGTGATGTTTCACATAACATAATCTATTTAGTTATGTTTTTGATCTATTGGTGCCTATAGGGATTGGTAATCCGTGTAATTTGCGTATGTATGTATGTTGAGGTGAAGTGCGCTTGTTACATGTAGGTACCGCTGCATCGGACTACCGCATATATGTGCGAGGGGAAGTCCGACGGCCGGGATCTGTGTGTATTTTATGATACAGGGGTTTGGACTGATTGTGTGTGTGGTAAACGTGGCTGTCTGTCTGTCGTGCTGAGGTTATTGCTCTTTTTATCTATCTAGAAATTTCGATTCATCCGCATCGGAAGCGTACATGTAATGTAGTAGGAATCTGGCTTGCGGATTTTCGCATCATAACAGCACACATACATACCATTCCTCGGCGTAACCGCAAGTGCGATAGACGTACAGCTACTTCTCGCCGTTCATCCAACTCCGCCTTCACGAGACGAAGGTTGTGTCTTGACGAACTGAAGCAGCCCTGACGCAACCGGACTGTACCAGAATATAAAGTACAATGACACCAGCACTTCCCCTGACAGCCGGCGTCGTCGGCGCCGGAATCGCAGGTCTGAGCGTTGCTATTGCCCTGCGCCGCGCGGGCGCCGAAGTCGAAGTATACGAGCGCTCGCAATTCAAGAACGAGATCGGCGCCGCTATTTCGGCGCCCCCTAATGCGGCGGCCGCGCTGCGCCGCTGGGGTTTCGACTTCGTTGCCGCGAAGACAGTCCCGAATCTGTCGACGCGGTATGCGGCTGCCGAGGACCTGGAGACCACATTCGAGTCGCGGTATGAGGATATCGAGGACGTGATGGGGTCGCCTTGTTTGAGTTTTCATCGGGTGGACTTGCATGGTGGGTTGAGGGCCCTCGCTACGGAGGAGGAAGGCGGAGATACCGAGGAGAGTAGGAAAGGGGGAGGGAAAGGGAAGCCGGTTGCGATACACTTGGGATGTGAAGTCCAGAACGTGGATTGCGAAAATGGCGTCTTGGAATTAGCGGGTGGGAGGAGAGTCCAGAAAGATCTTGTCATTATCGCAGATGGCGCACATGTAAGTGCCTCCGCGGCTCATTGTCATGAAGAGAATTCTTGCTGATTGACATGGCATGACGCAGAGTAAACTCCTGACCGACTTTCTCGGATATCAAGCCCCCGTGCAGCCGACGGGCCGCTCGATATATCGCTGGCTGGTCTCCATGGACGAAGTAATGGCGAACCCCGAACTCGCGCCGCACTACCGAGATAAAGCACCCGGATTCCTCGGGTGGTTTGACGCGCAGAATCGCATCCTCTGGGTTACGTATACCTGTCGCGGGGGCACTGTGCTGAATAATGCTGTGGTGTATGATACAGCCGTTCCGAAAAACGAGGAGGGGAGAAATGGTAACGAGAAGGATATGTCGTGGCATGCCCCGGCCGCTACGGACACTGTCCTCGCAACGTTGTCCAACTTCCACCCTGCTGCCCTTGGAATCGTATCAATGGCTTCTGAAGACGGCATTGTTGAACATCGATTGTTCCACCGGCCACCGCTGGAGAGCTTCGTTCGTGGCAGGACGGCGGTTATCGGGGATGTCGCGCACGTAATGATGCCGACGCATGCGGCTGGGGCCGCGATAGCTATTGAGAGCGCGAGCGTGTTGGAAGTGCTGTTCAAGGATCTGGGAAGCCAATTGAGAAGTACTGCCAGAGACCAACAAGGATTCGACGTAGAGAAAGAGCGCATCGTCAAGGAGCGTCTTCGGCTGTTCGACAAGCTCCGGATACCGAGATGTAATCTCACTATGCTGGTCTCGAATGCGGGACCAGAGGGTCTGCGCCGCCCGGGGCTAGAGAAGGAAATTCGGCGATTCTATCATGGTCCGCTGCCCCCGAGCGACGCACTGCCTTGGGGGGATGAGTTCCGCGAGGTACTTTTCCATTATGATGCGTTTCTGGAGGCGGAGAAGGCGTTGCGGAACAGGACCTCAGAGAAGGAGAAATGAAAAGATGCGATATGACTAAATGTATCTTTCAGAAATTGAAAATTGAATCTATGCATAGCTCATTTCAACAACATCCCATTTCTGGAGCATGTTTTCACCCATAATGTGCTTGTTTTGCGAGGATATGACGTCGGCGTAGATATGTTCTGGCCCGGGAATCCAGAGCTCACCGACCCGGAACTTGAGACGCCATTCTCCGTTTATCCACTGCCATCGCTCCGCGGCGAAACTATCGCCTTGTCTCATGACGCCTTGACAGTGCTGTCCGAGGCAGACTACCATGCCTCGCTGCTCGCGCTCTGCGTCTTTCAGCTCTAGCACAACACAGCGTGCACGTGGCTGCTCGTCTGTGTCCTCAGGGATACCCTCCGGTTCAAGATCCCTCCATATTTCCTCATAATCAGTCATCTTCCCGGTATCAGGATTCACCATGTGCCCTGTTTCCAGAGTGCGCCCGTCATCCTGTGGGAAAATGTCCCCTTCGTCGACTACTTCTTCTGGTGTACGCGTTCGCCCATCGACGACATGACGCCATGTGCAATGTCGCACGCCATTCCTAGTCTCGGAAGACGAGATGCCTGCGAAAGCCCAGTCGAGGCGGCCGCTTAGGTCGTCGTTATTAATATCTTTAAGAATCCGGACGTCCACGAAGCGGTGCTCAGGCGATGTTAGAACTATAGTGGAGGTGGGCTCTGAAGCGGGGTTGGGCAGCCACCGGATTGAATCACGGATAGAAATTGACATGTTGATGAGTTGAGGTACTTCTTGAAATAATAAGGGCTGAATGAAGTCTTGTTAAAAATGTGTGAATTTGTAGGTAAGATGAGGTGTTGAAAGTTCTTGTGGCGGGCGAGAGGGGCAGGGTGGGGTTGTGGTGAGTAACGCTACACTCATTTCTGAACATTTTCACAGTACGCTATATTTCAAGACGTGAAGCAACAACGGATATAGTCTCTCCTTGACGCAACTATAGCTATGTTTGAGTTATGAAAACGTCTTTATCCGCTTTAATTTTGATGGTGAACCCCTTACCTTGTATTCGATAGTTGAGCCCTGTCGGCAAATACAGCAACTATACCACAGTTGACGGCGTTTTCTTACGTATGATATTAATTAATTCAATTTTCTTTAGTGTCATTAATATGGTATATAGAAAGTCTTCGAGTGGCGACAATTGTCCTATACAAGTCTGGATATCGAGGTCTGCATCAAAATGACAATACGATGAGGTCTAAGAGTGTTTCTATTGATTAATGGATATCCAAACTCCCTTGCGAGGTGATATCAATTATTCAGTAAATACTTCTACAAGTACGGGTTTGAATTATACGTTGTGGCATAGTTTTTAGCGAACGAATGAGTCATCTGAGAGCTAGAGCATAGGAAAATGGTAATGTAACAGTATCGGAGATCATCAGCAGAAAGGCACATCAAGCAGGAGAATAAAGTATCCTGAGGTTTGCAGGCATAAAGGCAAGTGTTAAGAAGATGTATATCGATTGATCCCTCGGACACTATTCTGCCCCAGAGTCTTGAGGGTCTACAAGAGCAAAGAGGGCCGAAGGTGCGTAGTCAAGGTCCGAACGCTCCCATCCTTGAAGCTCTCTACCCTTGACTTGGCACAACATCAAAATTCTTACTATACAACCGTCCCTCTCAAGCGATCCAAGATACTTGTAGTATGAGCCGGTTTTCTAGTATAGAGAAGGTATGTAGTAAAGCTATGACCCTCGGCGCCTGGGTCCTAGTAATGTTAGTCTAGCTGGCTGGCTCAGCTAATTCAAATCATGTAACTAACTGACGAAAACTTGCGTATCAACCTTTGATGCGGCTCCACAGGAAGAAAGGGATTGCTGTATACATGGATCGCTCAATAGTCATAGCTGAACTTGTGACATTCGAGATGAGATCTAAGATTTAAGGGCAGCTTCCTTCCTGGTCAGTCCCTAGTATGGATTCAATTCTTGGGAAAATTCTTAAACACTTTACCTACCTTTTACGTAAAAGAGTAGCATTACTATGTAGTGATACCGAATTTCTAGCACAGACGCACACATCATACGAGAAGAGCTCACTTACAGCCGAGGCTCGATAGCCGCCACTGCTCGTTGGAGTAGTCGATGTGTTTAGCCCTGGTTCTTAGCTAAAGTCTGAAGGGAAGGAATTTGAAGACCTCATAGCTAAAGGGCCCTCCCGAATCCTTTAGATAGGCGAAGGCGAAGGAATGTTTGCCATTACATGTGAATAGGGGCTGATTGGTCTTGGGTTGATTACCTCGGGGATGGCCGGGGGGCCAAGTGTTTGTCAGCTGCCATGTCACCGCGCCACTAGGCGGTACATCTAAGTGCTACAGCTACCTAAATATAGAGAGCTGGTCCCTGTCAACTCTTTCATCTTGCACTTTTGATCAGATCAGGCTGTTTCACGCATATGGTGAATCGAAGGCTTACAGCCCTTCATCTCCGGCAAGGTGGTATGATAGCTACACGCTTACCACCACAAATGCTACGTTAACGTTGATGAACAGCGACGCAGTCCGGCGCGCGAAGCTGACGGCAGGCTCATCATCTATTTGAGGACCATTGCACTGCTTTTAATAAATACTGTGTGCAGTTTACCACAGCCCAATCAATAAGCCACGGTCCCTGAAGATCAATGAGAGACCTGGTACCTTAGATCCCAGGATGAGGCTGATGAAGATCACTCGATCGAACTAGTAGATCCGATCAGCAAAGTCTCTGGTAGGTAAATGATTGTCATGAAATATCAATGGATAACAATTGAGGCTCTGCGACGACTATAATCTGCGTATTATCGCGAGAGTTTATGCGGTGCGCCTCTTGTTCACAAGAGATCGCGCGACAGCTCCTTTGAGATGGTATCTACTCTTGGCAACGGCCCAGCGGAAGCACCCCGAGCTACTCTGATGATGACGTACCTACAGAACTCAGTAAGCCAGGGGAGGGCTTCTAGGTTCTCCTGTCTCTACCGGTAGACTTCTACTTGGCGTAGAGCTTGCCGCGTTGTTTATTTGTATAATCTGCGACACTGGACCCGGTATCGAAGAGCCAAGGTCTGGGCGAACAATTGCGAGGGATCATATGCCGAACCTCTGGTTTCTCACCGACGGCTAGGCTATGGCGACCTTGTGGTAGCCGGCCTGTGCACCTTAGAACTCTCTACTAAGTACATTCCAGTACGGCAGCGCTGCTATGGCATCTTCACCGCTCCGGTGCCGGGATCGAAGATATCGTCACATTCTCACTGGTAAGGCGAAAATAGACATCGTGATGGGGGGCGCTCCGGAGGCTAGTGATCACCTAACCTGCCTAAAAGAGGCAAACAAGAGGCCGAACAAGTCATCGCGTGAATTAAGCTACCATTCAAGTTTTCGCACGCCGAATTACCGATGCATTGCAATTGATCGATATTATGTTAACATGCTTGGCGAACAGCTGAGGGGCGCATTATTCCGCTGGACGAAATGACTGAAGGGTGAGCCCGAAGGGTTCGTGATTTTATTGTTACATACTTAAGTGCTTACACGGATCTATTTCATAGCGGAATAACATGGCCTCGTCCTTCCGCAGTGAGTAAAGTTGCCATCTGTTAGCATATCTCTTGGTCGACGCCGGGTTTCTGTGTACGGAAGCGATTGACCTTTCGCCTCCCGACTGCGGAACCCGATTAGGACCTACGAAGGCGCTGGACTCTTACAATAATACCTACGCTCAGACTACGCTACAGATTTAGACTATCTTTGTGAATTCCCTTTATCTGCATATTGTGGGGAGATCTCGTCAATTCTTGGCATCTCAGACCCCAAATCCTGCGTCTGCGGAGATATGATGCTTGCTTACTTCTTACCGAAGTACGGCCTTACCACCATGAACTACTAAGTAGTAGCTAGGCTCATGCTCTCACTCTGCCTCTAAATGTAGGTACATGTTACATTGCTTAAGCCAATAGTTGGCTGAGTCGACTGCTTGACGGCGATGGTCGAAACTTTCAAGCCTCAATATTAAACGCGCCAGACGCTTACGGCCTAGACGAGAGGCTCAGAGGGAATGATGTGACCGCTAATGACGTTGCATCTATTTCCGATGAAACAGTTGCATCCAATGCTAACTACATACCTAGTAAACTTCGTCTTGCCCGCATCCGCACTCCACTTGGAGCTCTCCACTTAAATAGGGCTTGGCAATGCGCCGTTTGACACTGATCATTTCTACATACAACGTAGACCACCACAGGAACAGGGTTGGTGATAGAGTCCCGAGATTTCGAGGTTGGTTATGTCGATCTTCACCAGACTTCGGGCGCCAGCCGAGTAGCCTTGACCTCTAGCACTTGCAAAGTCGGGGTAGGAATTCCTGATATGGAAGGACAACATCTAAACCGACGGACTCAAGTGTGAACTGGCAAACTGGCCGCTTGGTTGGGTGGCTTGATGCCTACTGTAATCAAAACCTGAGGCTGATCACCGCTTGGCGTCAGCCGAACACAGCATATGCCAGATCTCTCAAGTTCCGCACTACAGTCCTGGCAGCATCTGCGGCGGTCATTGGAGCGCGAGGCTCCCAGTTACCTCGACTCACCTGGTTCGATAGGGATAACTATGCTTCGGACCGACAAATCCCCTGGAAAGCATTCGCCAAGTCTGGTGATATTGAACTAACGAGATGATCGGCATGTATTGCGTGCATGTAGAGCCCATGACCTGGTTGGCTCGGTCCTTCTAGCTGTCAGTCCTTGGAAGGCCTCTTTCTGTACACAACGACAAAATTCCTCGTGGCTGCCTGTGATAGACGGACGACAGCACATTTGGAACGAGGCAGACAGGATATTATGTCGAAGAACAGCAAGGTAAACCCCCCACTAAGCAAGTAGGGGATAACAACTGCTTGCACTCGAGTTTTACTGCCAGGTTCTATAAACAAGATGCCGAAGGCTGTGGAGCCTCAACGGTCAAAACCCCTGGCCCGAATCCACATCCCTCACGCCTGTGATGCTACCATGGGAGCTGCTGTAATAGGAATGATCAGCCACGAAGGACGGTGAATATGTGAACAACTGATAGGTATGGAACATGGAAACATAGCCTCTCGTAGGAAGTTATTGTTTTATAAAAAGGACGCTTCTCCCTCCCCAGAGAACCTTTCTTTTTGCTTCATCATCCTATCCCATCTCATCCCATCTCATCTGTCATTCGAAGGCATTCGTTAGCGACGAATTCACATCTCATTCCTTACCAGTAACCCGAGTCCAACCCTTCAAGTAAAGTCTGTCAAGATGCGTTCCGCTGCTATCATTGCCGCCCTTCCTCTGGCACTTGCCGCTCCCTCGAAGCGTGCTTCGCCTGCTCCTCTCCTTAAGCCCCGAAGCGGCGATATCATTGAGGGCAAGTACATCGTCAAGATGAGGGCTGGTAGCGATGTGTCCATCCTTGAGAGCCACAAGAGCCTCGTTGCCAACAAGGTCGACTACACCTACAACTCTCACAAGTTCACCGGCTTTGCTGTCTCCATGACCGAGGAGGAGGTCAAGGCTTTACAGGACATGCCTGATGTAAGTCGGCCAGCCAATCTCTTGCGGATTATATTTCTGCGAGTGCTAACAAATCCGTCAAAAGGTCGAGTACATTGAGCACGACGCCATTGTCCGTGCCTCCGCTACCCAGAACAACGCCGACTGGGGTCTAGCTCGTCTCTCCAGCACATCTGCCGGTGGCAGCACCTACACCTACGATGACAGCGCTGGTGAGGGTGTCTGCGCCTACGTTGTTGACACCGGTATTGATATCGACCACCCTGACTTCGAGGGTCGGGCTACCTGGGCTTCCAACCAGGTCGACAACGACGACACTGATGGAAACGGCCACGGTACCCACGTTGCTGGTACCATTGGTTCTGCCACCTACGGTGTTGCCAAGAAGGTCAACCTCTACGCCGTCAAGGTTCTAGGCGCTGACGGCTCGGGCTCCAACTCTGGTGTCATCGCCGGTATGGACTTCGTCGTCAGCGACGCTCCTAGCCGCGACTGCCCCAACGGCGTTGTCGTCAACTTGTCCCTCGGTGGCGGTGTCTCCTCCTCCGTCAACGATGCCGCTGCCAGCGTCGTGAGCGCCGGTAACTTCATGGCCGTCGCCGCTGGCAACGAGGCCCAGGACGCATCCAACTCCTCCCCCGCTTCTGAGCCCTCAGTCTGCACTGTTGGTGCTACCGACATCACCGACACCCTCTCTTACTTCTCCAACTACGGCTCCCTCGTCGATGTCCTCGCCCCTGGCTCCGACATTGAGTCCACCTGGCCCGGTGGTCAGACCAACACCATCTCTGGTACCTCCATGGCCTCTCCCCACGTTGCCGGTATCGCTGCCTACTTCTTGGGTCTCGGCCAATCCGTCAGCGGCCTTTGCGAGTTCATCGCCTCAAATGCTCAGACCGGTGCCATCAGCAGCGTCCCTGGCGACACCGTCAACGCCATCATCCAGAACGGCGAGGCTTAAATTATTTGAACTATTGGCCATATTTCCCCTCCTTACTCTCAGCCCGTGGGATGAACCCCATAAATATGGGGTACGGATGACTGAGAGTCATCCCCTTTTGATGATGATGACGACGATGATGGATGGATGGGATACATCATTGATACCCCCCCGCGCATAGATGACGATGGGATTGATGGACTGGAATGCATTGTGGATGCCATGAAGACATGTATATAACAGCGGTTGTATATCTATTTGCATCGGAGTTTCTAGCCACACCATACTGTATATACGGAATAGAACTTCACTTTCAGAGTCTTACTTCACTTGTTCGTCTTGATTTCATGGCTTTGCCTCGGTCTTAATTCGTATCACTCTTAGACTCTAGTTGCTCCGCATATATCGTTCGTAGTGGTGTGTAAGATACCGGTACCATAGAACGGAGACCGGCTGAAGTGGGCTGAATACCCCAAAGGAGTACCCCAAGATTGATGACCCTAGGCGACCTACCTACCAATGGTTCGTAGATCACTGTTTCTTTTTGCCAGAACAGTAATCCATGATCATTGAGTAGTCTATCATCGACCAAAAAGAAATCTAGAACGAGCGTAGTCGCGCTCTGGGCTATGATTAAGAATAGTATCTTAGATAATTCCAAGCGAAGGATTGCTGGCGTGAGCCGAGTGTGTGTAGATACGTGCATAATTGGTCTATCACGGGGCAAAGACTATGAGCGCCCAGCTACAAGTTGGAGAACCCAGCCGGCCGCAAACCTGCCCTAGCTCTTAAAGTCGGGAAATCGTGGGGGGTAGGGAAGGGAAGGGGCGGAACAGGGAGTGATCGCGAAGAAATGCATTGCGACGATGCAATGCTACGGCAAGGCAGACTGACAGCAGCCCTCCAATGGTTGTGGTCTGCGTCTGATGGAGTGTGGCAGTCTTTAGGTAGGCTGGATGCCTGGTCAGAATGCAAGACCAACTTTGTTTGCACTTTTGTCTGCTTGGCAGGTTGGACAACGAAAGTAGGCTATCTCTAGTGCAGCTATATAGTTCAATTTGACCATGACAGTTGGTATTATGCAAACAAGATTTCGTGTTCAGAATAACCCGTTTCGGCCCGTTTGTAGTTTATCTATCCGAGGATACAGCGAAAACTTACGTACCAGTATCTTCTCATGCTCTGATCGGCGGAAGGCCTGACTACAGGAGGGTCCTTTTGACACGCAACATCAAGGCCATGTCATAGAGAAGCCCCCTTGCTTTCCCATGTGCTTCCTCGTTGGTTCGGAGCCGATAGCAGGGCGCGAATTGATCATGTCGTGTCACCTTACCCCATGATACAAGGGTCCCTGGCAGACACGTAGTGGAGTGTAGATCTCGAAAAGAAGACTGAACAACACAGAGAAGTATTTCGACGCGAGGTTACCAAACTATTTTGTGAATCACACCACCTTCGCCCTTGGACCAGCCGGTTTATTCTGTATGGCGTGCCGATCGTTACGAAGTGAAGCCTTTTTAGGGCAGCTAGCATCATAGTTGAGTTGGGGTAGATAAGAGATAATTTTTCAGGTCTCTCATGAGCGGGTTTGCGGAATGTAGAACAAACTTCCGCATATATTGCTCGGCGTCGTCGAGCAACTCTCTCTTAATCATGAGACCTGTCACTTTCATCATCCCTTCTCTCGGCAATCATCCTGAATGAGTGTCCCGAGCCTACCGGTAGCTATCATCTTAATGCCTGCTAGTATACGACCCCGAAGTGCGGGGCGTGCCGTGTTTCACGGGACTATTGAACGATGTAACGTCATTTAGCTTCGTTTGGGCCGTTTGGATGGTAGTCGCGTACACCTGGCTATAAAATTAGTCTCTTAATTGTATGACGATGCTCGAATTTATTGGAAGAAGTACAACAACAGCTTACCACCCTTTCTGCGGGAAGAGCTGACCTGATTCGTCTTCTCACCTTTCCAGCATCGGCTGTGGGCGTGCTTATCGTTGTCGAACTCGACCCTGCCCGGAATGGGGGGATCACCGAGATAGGCTCTGAGGCATCCAGTCAAAACTCGAGCACTCGAATACACCGGGAAGTTACTTGCATGTCAACGCCATTTCGATAGCCAAGCTATCTTCGCGGTGCTGCCTAGAAGACGGTTGGAATCTTGAGATCGTCATCCGTCGCTGATCTCTTGCTATAGAATACTTGCACGTCGCGCAGAGATGATGGAGAGTTGGCCGATTAGTAAACTCTTACAACGAATCTCGCAGGCGTGCGTTGCACAGAATGAGGCCAGGCCAACTTGGACCCTTCTCTGTATTCACGATCAATGGTTACTTGCAGTAGCACCGAGCAAGCACAAGGTTGACTCCTAGCGATGATCTCTGATGCCTGGCCAGCACGCGCATGAGAGGCTTACGCCACGGCGTAGGACTCCTGTTCGCCCAACGACTCACGGGCCCCCGGACGTGCGCCGGCCTGGCACATGATTAGACAGATCTGGTGATCATCAGTAGAAGATAGGTATCGCAACAGCTTCTGAATGCGTGGCAGTCGAGCTATGTGAGGGGTTCAACGTTACAGAGGGCACTCAGTCGTGGGACTGAATACAGCATAATGTAGAGAAAGATAGTAACGATGATCAGTCTCGACCAAAGTGGACACGCAATGGCCTAGAAATTCTCTAAGCTCACGCTTGGAATTATCAAATACCTATCCGGGGTATTACGATCCTTCGGCAATTATCATCGGTTCCTTCAATTCGTCTCACGGACATCCGGTAACTGTATAGGTAGGGGGGGCGACTTGATGGTAGACTTCATGCTCTCCCGTTCCGAGAAATTCGCCTGATGTGAATACTACTGGGCACGTCTGGTTGATGAGCTGGTATGTCTCAGCCACTTCGCGGAATATTCAAACGTGGCCGAACAGCTCCGATTTCTGACTCTGCCCAACTGGCTTGTTGATAGCTGTACCGGCGGATGGGAACATCTTATTATTGGCAATCTAGAGAGCGCATGTCATGCATGCCTCAACCAAGATCTAGATAAATATATGAGCAAACGAAGACGTGTCTCTGACGTGCCTTAAAGTAGGCTACGATGGTCTACCGTATGTTGCTTTTTTCTTCAAACATATGGCAGGCCGGTCCCGAAACCTCTGAAGGATGCGCAGCGTAACATAGATGAGCTCTGTGGGTGTGCTACAGCCAACACACCTCGAGGTGCAACGTGGCTTCATCTTGAACAAGGAGATTTGTTTATCATGTCGCATTTATTAAAGTTGAGATGACGGTGAAGCCTAACCGAGGATTTCCATGAGAAATATGATGCAACATATTCTCCGAGGTTGCCGAATCCACGAAGCTTTCTCTAGCCATGTCGAAGGCGTGGTTCCACTACAGAGCCGCACAACATGACCGGAAGACATAGGAAATAACCCCGAGAGAGCTCAGAAATGACAGAATAAACGTACGCACAGATGATATTGTAGTGTATGTATGTAATATGCATGTACATCATCGCGACAGGCATCTGGCCTAGTGAGGGGCAACTCGATCTTCGTCCCAAGGCTGCGGTGTAAAGTGGGGGATTGAATGTAGCTACCAGAGCGCGCCTCACTCATACTGATGCTCTCGCTCTGACCATCGATTGTGCTCTCATTGACAGCAGAAGGAATGTGATAGTCTCCAAGTACAAGGGCCGGGGCCAGCATGCATATGGTTCACTCCGGCTGGGCGGTCGTCTGTCGTCGGTAAAGAGCTGGGCATAGTGCCAACATAATCGCAAACATTCCAAAATCATGTTCATGATCATAAGGACATGCATACGCCGTTGGATGTATGAAGAAGCAGTGGATGTAGCTCTGCAAAGCTGCCCAATGAGTTGGAGGGCTCGCTTACGTACATCAACAGCCCTTCATAACCGGGCACCGGGTTCATCAGAAACCGAGCTGATGCACACAATAGCAGGGCGCAGAGAATGGGTATCTCGGTAGGCAGCTAGGTCAGCAGTCTGCCTTGCGATGTCCGCGACCCAAAAACGGCGGCTCGTTCACCTCGTGTCTTGCTGGGCGGCCAGGCAATCGATCCTAGGGCCGCTTGCATATGATTCGTCATACATCACCATCGGGCGTTCATTAGCTCGTTCATGGCATTTCGCTTACTCTTGGCAGAAAGCCCAGTAGAAGGGCAGAGAAGGGGTCTATGCTTGTCAATATCACGGATTGAGCCGTTATCGAATCATCCCATATCCGGTATGTCGGGCACGAGCCGGCCAATGATACGGCCTGCTCAACAACCACAAGCTGGAGGAGGCTTGGTGCAGGGATTGATCAAGTCTCCGAGGAAAGGTTCTTTGTATCTAGACTGGCAGGTTTATAGTAGGTATTGCGGCTCTGTCTACACCCACACTTGGTCGGTTTGATAGATTGTTGAGGGGGTTTCGTCCCTCCCTCCCTCCCTCCAGGCATTTGGAGCTACAGTCATATACTTGCCACTCACCTTACTTTACATGAAATACCCTAGACATAGTCAGACAGATCTAGCGTGTCTCCTTCAAGTGCACATAAAAGCACCAGGGGACCCCATCCAAGATTTTGGAATTTCCCACATCTTGTTTGCCCGAACCACATCTGTAGCCCATTCTCCCGTCTTGCTTTACAATAGAAAGTGACGAACAGATAGGGAGTACACTTTCTCAATGCCGCTACAAGTCTTTGACAAAAACGGGAATCCACAGGCCCCGGCTCAGCATGGCGGCACTCAACACCGTCCGCCACAAGGGCATCCCCAAGGTCACCCACAAGGACAACAGGCCGTTCCGCCAGCTCCACCAAGAAACATGATTCCGGTGGATCTACATGGAGGACCGGCAATCAAGATATCAGATATCTCCCAAGACTTCAAATCACAATCAGATATGGAGTCTGAGCTCACGGATTATAAGGTATTTCGCTTGGAGAAGATGCTTGACAAAGACGCGCTCGACGACTATGGCCAGCCAAAGTGGCCTAGCTGGGAGAAGGTAATCCGGACTGAGGATCGAAGCATTTCGAATCGGGTAGCTGCCAACAAAATTCGGCAGCTGAATTCAACGACAAAAGGCATCATCGACAAGAAAAACACTTTGACTCCGGCGTTAAAACGCCAAATAGATTCCACCCTGGAGGATCTCATGAAGCAGGAGCCAGATCCAGTCCACTTCTGTTGGTCCTTAGAACAGATTGATCATCAACTCAGACGGATTGAGCCATATTACCCAGTAGCTTTGAACCCCCACCGTATATCTGTTCCATCTGGAAAACATCGAAACACCAACTCCTTCCTCTTCCCATCGAATAAGAGACCACACTCGGGAAACAGTAGTCATAAGTCGAAGAAAAAGAAGAAGACTTATGAGAGAATATCCTTAACCGCTTATTTCAAGCGGGCCCCCCGCCAAAGTGTCGACATTATACAACTCTGGAGAGCGAGAAAGGCGATGGCCGGAATGTATCAAACCCAGCCAGGAGTAGTGCACAATGTCTTCCCTCAGGTGCAAGCCAACCAAGCTCAGTTCCAGGGGCAACAGCAACCACATAGACAACAGCCCGGTCCGCCACCAAACCGGCCGCCTCCTGGCTCTCATCCAAACCAAAACGCCCATCAGCATACCGGTGGCCAAGGACGCGGCCATAATCCGAGGGCAATGCGACACAGCGGCTCCGATTCTGATTCTGATGATTCGCGATACTCACGTGGTTCCTCATCAGGGGGTTCCCGTGGCCGAACACATACACCGCCATCATCAGTATCTGACCGGGGCCACCGCCAGGCCAAGGACCGCCACACCCAACATCGCCCTAATGGTCCCGCAAATCAACATCGTCCGCACACCCCAAGGAATGACCAGCATAGAAGGGATCATCACAGGCGAGGTGGCAGTCCACCCTTTCCACACATATCTCTGCCGCCGCGTCGGCCCCCATACCCAGTCTCCCAAGACTCGGGCTCAGTAGCAAGCCATATCGAGCGGATACGCCAAGACGCGTACCGCCGCGGTCAAGTAGACGCTCGTCTAGAAGAACTAGTCTTCACAAAGGCACACGACCGCGGACGCCCCCACATCGTACAAGAGCGCTCGTCGCTACACCCGCGGCGCATGTACAGAGGACCTGACGATCTGGACATGCCGCGGTATCTCTCGGGCCTCTCACTTGGGGACGACGATTACGACGACGAATATGAGGATGATGAGTACCGCCGGGAATTCGAGCGTCGCAAGCAGCAAGGGTCGATTCTCGAGGATGACCCCTTCGACCTCAACCCGCCGTCGCCGTCGTCGTACACTTATTCGACAGACGCCGGGCTCGGTCGGGGCCGTAGACGCGTACCGCAGATCATTGAGATCCCGCAGTCGCCGCGGCTGCGGCGGAGGCCGCCATATCCCCCTTGACGTGATTTATTGACTGAATAAACGACAGAAGTAAAAACATATGCGGCATGTCAATTCCTATAGTTACATGATCTGTTTTTCTTTACTCTTTTTGTCACTTGGTTGTGGTGCCTTCATTAAGCGGATGGTGAGGGCGATGAAAATTGTTACTTGGTGTTTGACCTAGCGGGGCGTTCAGTCTGAGTTTCCTTTTCAATACCAGCAGCAGCTAAGCAAGAGCAGCTGTATCCCATATGGACGTGGTTGATGACATATCGGGAAACAGTACGAAGTATGATCACAGGGGGCTATCTTGCTCCTTTTCTTGATGTTAGCGATGGCGAATGAGAGACGAACTTTCATCTTAACTTGGTTTCAGGCAAATAGGAATAAAAAATAGTGTTAATTGATAATTCGGTATGAATTCTACTTGCGTGAATATTCATCTTCGTTTTATTGCTAAGGGCGTGAACATCATGGTAAAAGGTGCTCAAGTCTTGGAGATTTCTATAGAAGCCCTGCGACGTAGAAAGCTTTGGGGGGTTTCTTTTGTTCATAGCTCCACCTGCAAAGATCAACTGAAAATGCGGCTGCGGCGGAGATTTCAAAAATTCTGAGTAAGCTACGGCTGCTCGAGGATTCTTTGAAGATCGGTCTGGAATCATGAGATACTTTTATCAAGAGGCATAAGAGCTCAATTTTGAGAAGAAAAAATTCAGCGAGATGGCTCGGTGCAAAATGCGAATTGCTAAGTACTGTGAGCTAACACCGTAGCCTACAAAACTCACTCCCCTCCGCGCGCAACATCAATCCCATTAGACATCGTCATTTGCGGTATTGTCGTCGAATGGCCAACCAGTATATTTGTTTTACTATTGATCACATTTTAAGAAACCGGCAAGCTCCGTGGTTGATCTAAGTGTAGCCAGAACCATCCCCGCCAGACACCCCACTCCGACGTTGCACACGACGAAGAACCATTCTAACAACACATTAGTCGTCGAAATCAAAGTGGTCACTACAAGAGCAAGCTGATTCAAACAGCAGTTATTCCATGGATCCAGGCAAAAAATACCCAACCTTCAGCATTGGAGACCATGAAGCTTTCATGGAATTTGCCCTCGTCCAGGCGCAGAAGTCACCGCCGGCAGCCAACAAGTTTTGTGTAGGGGCCGTCCTTGTCGATGCCGACACAGGCAAGATCCTGTCAACTGGATACTCCCTGGAGTACCCGCGCGACTATAAAGGAGACCCCGGCACGACTCACGCTGAGCAATGCTGCTTCATCAAGATCGCCGACGAGCATGGCCTCCCAGAAGAGCGCATCCACGAAGTCCTCCCCACCCACACGGTGCTGTATACGACCATGGAGCCGTGTAATGAAAGACTTAGCGGTAATATGACTTGTGCCACTAGAATCCTCCGGTTGAAAAGTGCGATCGAGACGGTCTATGTAGGGATAAGGGAACCGGGGACGTTCATCGCCAATAACGATGGGCAGCAACGGCTTGAGGCTAGTGGTGTTAAGGTCGTATATCCTGTGCCGCATTTACATGACAAGATTACGGAAATATCGATGGCTGGACATTAAATTCTACATGATACGCCTTACATCTACCACATTACCTATATTATATCTATGAACCAAAGTCGATTAATATCATTAGTTATCTTCTTCGTTGAGGCGGGTACCTAACGTATACCGCTTCTTCGTTATTTTGTAAATACCTTTTACAAGCATGTTTGGGATTCGTGCAGAACTCGTGGTATTGGATAAAAGGAGCCTTGTATGCAACAATGATAAATTAACGAGATATGCGGTATATAGCCTTGAGGCCGTGATTGGCCAGCATCTTACCAATAGCTATTGGCGTTTCAGGGGTATCTGGCAGTGCACACTGCGCTACTGGATGTGCATGGAAAGCTACATATCGACTTGGCCTCCAAAGAGGCACCGCTCTAATTCCTTACACAACACACAGCGTCCTCCTACGCTTCTTGACCTCCGATCGCAACGCGGCCGGCCGCACGCTTTTGACTGCTCAATGAGAATGCGCCTGCGATTCTATTAATTCTGTATAAGCGTTCGAAACGCGCTCATAACAGTAATGTCATCACCAAACTCGCCCCGGGCCTCGCAGGGTGCGGACACAGATCCCGCCACCGAATCAACACCAGCTCCAGCTCCCACACGAGTCCCCTCCACGAACCCCGAGCTTCAATTATCTACATTGCAATCTTTACCCGCTGAGCAGCAAGACCTATATCTATTGAACTTTGTCGCCTCCCTTAGCAAGCATGCTCTTGCCCTTGCTGCTGATGATTGCACCGCCCAGCAATTCTATCTCAAAAAAGAGGTCTTTCAGATCATTAATCTGCAAACACCATCTCCAGGTCGAGTCATAAGGAACAATTTGGGTAAAATCCTAGCGCATGTGCTTGGGAAAGGCGACAGAAAGCTCTTGTTCGAGACGGTCAACGAACTGTCCACTATTGTTTCAAGTAGCAAGTCCAAGACCGACTCCGAAGTTCGCACAAAACATGCTGCTGTGGTTTGTCTGGGCGACGTATATGCTGCGGCTGGTGACAGTGCCATCAACCTGCACGCGCTCGCTTGTGGGACCTTGGTTAAACTAGTCAAGTCTTCTCAGAGTCATGCTGGGCTGCGTGCTGCTGCCTTCACCACACTTGGCAAAGTAGCCGGTATGATCCAAGGTAGTATGGAAGAAACTATAGCCAGAGACATCTGGAAACAAGCCCGGAGTGCGGCGACTAGCGATAAGGGGTCACTTACCATCGTTTCTGCCTGTCGCTGCTTGAAATCACTAGTCAGGAACACACCGTATTTTGAAAACTCGGGCGACTTCGATAGCTTAAAATCAACTATCCTCAAGATAATCGACTCGAGTTCCTCTCAAGTCCGGCATGCTGCAGCTGACTGTTTGGCGGAAGCCATGGTTAAAAACCACTCCGAACAGGGGGCCAGTGCTAGTTCAGCCCTGAAATTTAAGAAGCCCAAGAGGACCAACACGTTTAAGAGAGCTTCCATGGCCCCAGGTGGTGTAGTGGACGAGGAAGATGATATCCCATCACGGCCTGGTAGCCCAGCCCCTGGAGGTGGAAAGAAAAGCCAGGATTTGGTGCTTTCGTTACAAGATATTATGAAAACATTATCCACCCAGTATACTCGCATGTCTACAACGAATAGGGCCAGGGCAGCTATCGGCGTATGCTATGGGAGAGTAGTCAAGCGCCTAGGAGAGAAATTCGTCGAGACCAATTATATAAGAATTCTTGAACACTTGGCGGTCGATATCCTGGGTAATCAAAACATACTCAATAATCGGTATAGGCTGCTCATCTCTCGTCGCATCGTAGACACGGTACTTCAAGATATCATTGGACGCAGAATACTTGGAGAGTCTGGTCAAATGAGAGTTGCGAAGTCTGTCGTCAACGAAATCTTCAAGAATTATCCCGAGGTCATAAAAGAGCGGCCCGAACCAAGCAAATATACGCTCATTTCATCCCTGGGGGCTGTCACTTCACTCATAAACTCATTAGGTTCTGCTTCAAATGATTTTGCAGAGGGTTGCCGAGATGGTCTCTTACAAATTTTGCAACATCCTAGCTATACTGTACAGGTGTATGCGTCACAATGTATGAAGGCGTTGGTCCTTGCGTGCCCTCAACAACTCCTTTCATGTCTCTCTATCTGCATGAACAGCTTAACCAGGGAACTTAATCTGCTCACGGGAGGACGAAACTCCCCTACGAGATGTGTCGGTTTCGCTCACGGGCTCGCGGCTGCTCTAAGTACCAGCTCAGCGCGTCCACTATATGGGTCACTCGATATCAACAACCGTGTCTACTCTATGGCAACTAACTTGCTTAAATCAAGCGGACAGTCAGAACTACGGGTTTCAAGCGCACAAATTCAAGTCGCATGGATTCTGCTGGGGGGCTTGATGTCACTTGGTCCAAACTTCGTCAAAATCCACCTCTCCCAGCTGCTGGTTTTGTGGAAAAATGCACTCCCTAAGCCTCTTGCTAAAGACAACTTCACTCACCGAAGTATCCTCGAGGTTTCATTCCTTACCCATGTCAAAGAGTGTGCCTTGAGTTGCATTCTATCGTTCCTGCAGTTCAATAGTCGTCTTTTGACCGTTGATGTTTCCAAGCGTATAGCAACGATGCTTCAAGGAACCACAGCCTTTCTTAAGCTTCTTCCCTCAAAAAGGACCACCGATGATATCTCTCAAAGATTAACACCAGCCTTACAACTACAAGATCTTGACATGATGGCTCAGAGACGAGTCCTTCAATGCTACGTCAAGCTTGTAAACCAGAGCCCGCCAGGTGGTATCGAGGCTTTATTGCAGTCGAACTTGCTCACCATTGCCATATCACTTTTCGCCGACCCCGAGAACTATGGTGGCAACTCTTTGAGTGCCTCGATTGCTAATGCGGCGGGCACCTTCGAGACAGTCTGGGAAGTTGGCGATAATGCCGGCTTCGGTGTCAACGGGCTGATTCGCGGGTTCAAGTCGAAAAAACTTCCAGGTGAAAAGGATGAATCCACTGAGGAATTGTTGGTAGACGAAACGGACCCAGATCGCATCATCGATAGCCTTCTTCTGTCGCCAATATGCCCGTCCCTGGAGCATGATGCTGCTACTCTGTACATTGGTAATTTGGACCCTGCATCAGAACTCCCAGATCCGCCGGCTACCGAAGTTGTGAATATGGCAGTGCGCCTATTCGCTTTTGTCTTTCCTGTAACACCTGCCAAAGTTCAAGAGAGCGTTCTTGAACAAATAGCTACATACACGTCAGCTGGGTCTCTGCAACGGGACCCTGGGAGAAAAGCAGCTATGGCTGTAAATATTGCTAGTGCTTTACTTTCAACGTTAAAGGTGGCTGTCAAGGAAACACAATCTTCCTCAGGAAACATCACCAATCCGGCAGTCGAGAAGCTACTTCAAGAGATGATCAGGGAATTTGTCGTGGACCCCGATCAGTATATCCGAAGTATTGGGTACGGCGCTATCGCTAGATTATGTAACGCTTCTGGTAACGGCTTCACAAACCATGAGGTAAAGTACCTAGTTGACATGATTGTGGGAAATAGGGAGCCTAGCGTACGCGCGGGATGCTCTATGGCTCTAGGCTGCATCCAGGCCAAAGTGGGAGGCATGGGAGCTGCGTACCATCTAAAGACTATCACGGGGATACTAATGTCTCTTTGTAATGATCCACATCCGACAGTTCATTACTGGGCTTTGGAGGCCCTGGGTCTCGCTGCAGATGCAGCTGGCCTAGGGTTCGGTCCTTATGTGTCTGGGACACTTGGAATGTTAGCCCAACTATATCTCTCCGAGTCACATCATACCGAGGTAGCATCGCCTATATCGATGAGTCTCGAGATGGAATTATCCACCGTTACGGCTATTGCCCGTTGCGTTGATTCTTTGATCAATGTGGTAGGACCCGACTTACAGGACTCTACCAAGTCTCGTGAGCTTATTTTCACTTTGGTTGGCCAATTCCAGAAAGAAGAGGATATACTCACCCAAAGGGCTTGCCTCGGATGTCTTGAGCACCTCTCTCTATATGCCCCGGGTCACATGGTTTTCGCGGACTACGTTAAGCTGCTACAAAAGTACTTGAAATCTGAGTTCCCTGATATTCGCGATGTTGCTGTGGATGGACTATACAATCTAATGAAGCGAGATCCCCATGACGTTCTTCTTGCGGCAGATCCGGGCTTCGAGGACCAACTCTGGCTCGTTCTAGATACATCGCCAGATCACGATGGCATTCGAACCCTCGTCCGCAATTGGCTGCGTCAAACCTTTTTAAAAGATACAAGTGCTTGGTTGTCACGATGCCAAAATGTACTTAAAATGACCCGACCAAAGGTTATTGAACCATTACCACAGAAAAATGCCAAGCCAAGTGCTAACATTGATCTCCACGATGAAGAAGTTGCTGGCTTCGCTGCAGCCGCTGGTGCTTCCAAGGATGAGAAGGACCCCGCTGGCAGTTCTGAGATGGAACCTCTACGTTGGCAAGTGAGGACTTTCGCCATGAGTTGTCTTAGTGATATCTTTATCTTGGTCACAAAAGATGTCGCTACAAATGGAGAATCGCCTGCGCAACCGTTACTGCAGAGCCGGATAGCAGACGTTATCCGCACGGCTTTCTCTGCATCCACCTCCAGCGTACTAGAACTTCGAATTTGGGGTTTGAAGATTATTGGCGCCGTACTGAAGATGTTCGGCAAAACGCCGGATCCGGACTTTGAAGAAGCCATGCTGCTAGAACAGTATCAAGCACAAATCAGTTCGGCGTTGACGCCCGCATTTGCGGCTGATTCCTCTCCAGAGCTCGCCTCCGAAGCTGTTAATGTGTGCGCCGCCTTCATCTCGACTGGTATTGTGACGGATGTTGATCGAATGGGACGAATCTTGAAGACCCTTGTTACTGGACTGGAGAACTTTTCCACAGATGTAGAGAATGCAGGGATCGGAGACTTGAAAGGGCTAAGTCCTAACGCTCAGGTAATGGTCAAGATGTCTGTCTTCTCAGCATGGGCAGATCTTCAAGTGGCCAGCTTAGAGCAGAAATACCTCCTTGAGGTTCTAAAGCCTCATGTCAACACATTAACACCGCTGTGGCTAGCTTCTCTGCGCGAGTTTGCGCGTCTCCGGTTCGAGCCAGACATATCGATGACACTTGGGCCACCATCTATGTCAGGCAGCTTAGAGACGATTTATTCTGCTCTCAATCGGGAGACCCTTCTTAGGTTCTACCAAGAATCATGGCTCAAGCTCGTCGATGCTATTGCGAGCCTCATTGAACAAGACAGCGAGTTTGTCTTCGATGCTCTTGACGGCAAGGAAACCGACGGTCCTGCGCCCAATGGTCAGTCTAAGGGTGCTGATATCAACTACCGCGACGAACCTGTAGCATTCTTCTTTGTTCTCTTTGGTATTGCGTTCGAGGCACTTGCAACCCGTCCAGGCCAGACTGACTCTCTTGCCACCCAAGAACAAACTCTCCCGATTCTGCAGGCCCTAAAGAAAATCCTCCACCCCAGCGTCTCTGGCCAAGCCATATACAGGGAAGCAATCTTCTCCGAGACAATGGATCTCCTAGATCGCCTTGTCTTGACAGAAAGCCTCGATGTTCAAAGTGTCATCGTCGAAATTGCACGGGCCTTATGTATTGCCCATCCATCAGCCAGAAAAAATGGTCAGACAGAAGACGGGGACCTAAGTGAAGATATCGAGCAGCTATTTGAACTGACCAGGATCATTGTGTTGGTCCTCTCAGGTCTGCTACCGAACCTTACAGAGGCCAATCAACAGGTTCGCTATCAGTTGACTGAGGAGTCAGTCCTACTCGTAAGAACTGGCCTGAGCGCTATTGTCGACGCTGCCGAGGTATTCCCTGCTATCATCAAAACAGATTTACATGCATGTATCATCCACATCTTTGCGACAATACTTGCAACTTCCTCTTGTCAGGAAATAATTGTACCTCAGGCGTTGCCCATGTTTAAGCGGTTCGTCGCAAGCATGGCCAACTCTCGTAACCTTTCTGACGACAAATCGCCTACTGATAGCCAGGTGCAAGGCTGCTTGCGTCGCTTCCTATCTATTTATTTGAATGCTCAGAGGCGAGACACACCACAATCACTGCAATGCGTCAAAAATTGCCTCCTTATAATTACCATCCTCTTCACTGGCGGCAACAATCGATTAGCAGCCAATGATCGCGTAGTTGCGAAATTTTTAGACGAAGTTCTGGACTGTCTAACTGATCGCATGGTGAGTTTCTTTTCATCACATCGTAACCTGTTGTTGCTGACTATTCTGCTATTAGACTGCCAAGATTGCTGCCAACTGTATTAGATCTCTGATGTTGCAAAACTCTCCAACACCAGCTGACCAGTCGATTGCTCGCTATCTACTCCCGCGACTTGTCGCTTTTGTGTCCGACACTGATCGTGATGATCCAGAGGGTGCCAGAAAACTTGTAGCGCAAACACTAACGCAATATGTGTCGGTAATAAGCAAAGACCACGCACAAATCGCAATGTCCATTGTGGTTCCAACATTACTCAATCGAGCTGCCAATGAGGGAGACGAAGTGTACAAGGAGACAAGCACAAGGTTGCTTGAATTGGCCTCGGTGAATCAAGCGGCCTTCAAGGGAATAGTAGGAGCAATGAATGAGGGCCAGAAGGCTTTTATGGAAGAAGTGCTACGTTCTGGCCGCCAGGACAACGATGCTGATCGGGACAACAATAACACGGGTCAACCCAGCATCACGTTGAAGATGAATTTTGGCGGCAGTTAAGCTTCAATGTTATTTTATGAGAGAAGAAAACAATAATGATATGATCGGCAAGATCTACGAATACTTATGCTACGCCTAGGTCGATTCTGCAAACAGATACAACTGGGGTGTGCCATCGCATTTAGAAAGAATTCTCAGAAGTTCTTCACCATCACCCTGGGAAGTACAGCATCTAGTGAGCCTTACCTCGAGCAATTACAGGAATATCTTAGCTATAGACTTAGAGAAATACTACGTGAGTTAAGCCCATTGATTGTCCGTAACTATGAGTTTGGTCATCTGCAGCTCGTTTTTAGGTGTTTAAAACTTCCTACCTATGTACATACTTATTTCCCAATAACTCACAAGTAGGAAATCTTGGTCCCCATATAGTCATCAAGCTGAATCTAGAAGCCGTGATTCGATGCATTGCCTCAGGTGCGCTGCAGGTACCTCGTCGTCGCGGTCTCCGAGACCTTCCTCCCCTTTTCCACGCCTTCACCGGATACCACAAACTATGTGACTAAAATCTAACTATCGAGATTAAGCCTTTTCGTAATCCGGCTACCCATATGTCTTCCTAATGACAATTACCAGAAATACCGATCGACAGGGCGAGGTTACGGTAGGATTGTCTCGAGTATGTCTTGGCGGGATCAAGCTGGATGCTTGCTTGCTGGCTTCGGTCTCCGGCATCGCAAACGAACGCTTGCGTTACATTGCTGGTTTCAATGTCCTCCTCTTGAACGCCTCTTGGTCTAAGCTGATGATACTCTCGGCCGGCGGCAAGCGAGGGGGTGCTGGACTCGCTGATTCACTACTTACTTACCTTCATGTCTATTCATTAGGGGCCTAATCTAAATAGATACGTACATACACTCTTTCCACCTCGTCGTGGTGCGTAGGGCAGCCGACAGGTGAACGGACCCCTGCATTCGGGGATCGAAGAAACTTGACCTTTTTTGTCCCGCCGTATGTGGTCCTGGTAATTAAAGAGTGCCTCACACCACAGCCTTGCCGTTAGATACGTATGTGTAGGTGTTTGCGTTGCGTGTGTGGGATGCATAGTATGTATACACGTCCTACCTTCTCGTCACTCAACAAACAGAAGATGTATGCTTCTCCCCTCACTCCTGCCGTTCTTTAGACTATTTGCACTCGTTCATTCATTCAATCGTTCGTTACTCGAAAAGCGAGGAGATCTCCCAGGTGAAACCAAACTTGATCAACAGTCTTTCTTTCAAACTTCGTTGAGTCGAGCTCCTCGTCAGACGCTCCCTTTTTTTTAATTGGCGATTTTGTAACGAAATCATCTTTAATGAAAGATTAAGAGGACGTTAAAAAATAAATACCAAGTCATTCTTTTATCACAATCTACGTACACACGATCTCGCAATGAAGCACATCAAATTCCTCCTCTCTGCTCTCATTGCAGTATCGTCCAGTCGCGCCGGCCCAACGCCGGTTCTCGATCTCTCGACTATCGGTTCCGCTGAAACGGAACTCCTTGTCCGCGAAGGCATAAATTTCGCGCGTAGCCAGGACATCGAGAAGCGGGCCTCGGCGGATTTCTCTCTGGAGAGATCGTGGAATAACGAGGTTCTGTTCGGCGGGTAAGTAGGAACGAAATAAGATTAGATAACTACCTCTACACATAAATATCAATCTGCTCATTTACTGCTTTTCTTCTCCCTCTCATTCATGGCAAGCCCTGAGACGTTCGTTATAAAGAATCATTGAAAAAAAAAACTAACTACGCCCCTAACCTAGCGAATGGAACGACACAACCCCCGACAACGCAGGCTCAGCCCACGCCGAGCTCTCAGTGACCTGTCTCACATGCTACACGCACGGCACGGTCACGGCAAAAGTGACAGACAAGCACTTCCTCAAACCACAGCTAAAGCTCAGTTTCAGCGGCGTCCAGGCCTACGCCAATCTCGACGTGCGCGCGAGCGCAGGCCAGACGTTCTCGCTGAACCTATTCGCGTCGGATTCGCCTCTAGGCATCGGCATTTCCGGGCTCGACGTTGGCGTGGTTTTCTTCGTGGATCTTGTCTTCAGTATAAGCGAGGCTATCGATCTTACTGCTGGGTTTCAGGTCTCTGTTCCTGATGATGCGTATCTTGAGGCGGATATCTTTGGAGGCGATATTGATGATTCCGCTTTGTGAGTTTTTTTTTTTTCCCTCTTGTATTCGTTCGTAGTATCGTACTAGACACCTGTGTGCATGACGTTGAGAGCGAACAGTCTTGATTGAGAGCTAATATGACACCAGCGAGGGCCTAAACAGCCAGTCTCTCCCAGTGACAGTCGTATCCGGCACCGCGACGTTCAAAGCGGATCTGCGTCTCCGCGTCCAAGCCGGCGCCGAGGCAAGCATCGACCTCTTCGGCATCGGCGCGGGCGCGGTGATAGGCATCTACGCTAACATCATTGAGTTCGTGGCCGTCATCGAGAAGACGCCTACGTGTGATTTGGAGACGGAGATATGGTGGGATCTTAACGTTGGCGCGTATGCGCATCTCGACGTAAGTTTTCGCCCAATTATGGTAGAGATCAGTAGATAGGGGGATGAATGTAAATACTAATCGATCGTGATCGAAGGTCGTTGTGGACTACACCACCCTCGGCCCCGTGCCCACCGTCTCAACAACCCTCCTCGCAGCAGACACGATAACCAGCTGCTGGGTTGAGGCACCTACGACGCCGGCGTTACCCGCTACTACAAGCGATGTGGCGGCGAGTTCCTCGTTGCCGGTCATCTCGTCTACACCCGCAGAAACAGGAAGTACTGAAGTTCCTTCTTCTGTCGAAGCCACGAGTGCTTCCGCTACGGAATCAACCCTCACGGTAAGCGATTCTGCTATTTTCACCAAATCCGATGCGTCTCACAGAATAGCAGTCACTGACTTCAGGCGCTCCAGTGGTCCCCAAGCATGGTTCTCACAGTCACAGCTTCCGAAATCAGCTTCTCGATGCCCGACGCCTCACCCACGGATTCCGCTTCGTCTCTATCTACACCCGCTACACCCAGCTCTTCCGCCGCCCCTCTCACAACTTCCACTTCCTTGTCTCAATCCAGTTACAGCCCAGGCGGAAGCAGTTTCTCAGTTTCAGCTTCATCCGTGTATTATTCGTCCTCAGTCGCAGCAGTATCAAGTCACAATTACGCAGCGATCACATATCCCATTTCACTTCCCATCTCCGTCTCTATCCCTTCCGCATATTCTTCTTCCCCCTCCCCCTCCCCCTCTTCTTCTTCTGCTGTTGTTGGTCCAACATACACATCAACATACACCCACACAATGACAATCTGCGGGGCCCCAGGCGTAATGAACTGTCCAGCCACATACCAAACGGAAGTAATCGTGACGCGGACGACGACAATCTGTCCCGCCACTCCTACCCTTACCTCAACCACGACCCCGATCTCCACACCCAATACCGATCCATCCGCACTCTCAATCCCTCCCACACCCTCTACACCAACAGTCCCCAGCTCAGACGTCGTCATCATCCTCACGCCTCTCCCAACCCCCATCAAAGCAACATTCACCGCGCCAAAGTCGACTCCGACAGAGCACGCAAAGGCATACACCTATGACCATCTCTCACCAGCAGAGAAACCAGAGACGACGACAGCGACCATCACATCCACCACCACAATCACAGCGCTAGTCAGCAGCCACAGCAGCGTCTTTCCCACGCCAACGTCTCTGACCATACCAGCTGTGAGCGTCGTTATTCCGAACGTAAATGTCCCGGGGATCGGGAACGGCACCACCGTCAGCAGTACAGGTTTCGTTCCAGGCGCCACGCCATCCGGTATCTCTACCCCTGGACCTCAAACACCTGTCATTGCGGCAGCCGGCCGCGTCTCTGGCGACGACGCGGCATATGCAAATGCTCTTATAGCAGTTCTTGTCGCTCTGTCAATAAGATTCTTGTAGATTAGCAAAGTTCTACTTATAACTGCACGTTATGTCATTATAAATTTGATATGGGAGCAGATAGACCTAAGCACTTAAACCCAAGACAGCACTTGCACAGGACATATCTACGGTGAGACGACGTTCATTCTTCTAGTCATATCAGGCATGGAACAATAGGCTAGGTAGTTTTGAAGCAGCGGTGTCAGGAAATAATTTAATTAATTAGTGATAATACCATGCTCATGTGATCCTAGCTTTGTGCAAAAGGTAGAATGAAGCCTGCTTCACATAGCGCCGGGAATGAGACCCTATAACGAAATCTGTGCCAAAGCAATCCGACTCCCAAATTAACTCCCAAATCACGTGCAATCAATAAACGTATCTAACTCCGGCCACTCAATATCTTTCTTCCAAAGGTACGTCCTGTTGAGAGGCCTGCTCAATCTCAGGGAAACTCTCTGCCGACGACGTCGCCCCTAAATTTGCATTTTGCGGTGGCACAACCAATTCATTCAGGAACATCTCCCGCAGAACGCGAGCATTCATTCCGCTGTCTTCTTGTTCATCACCATCTGTTTCCATAGTGTCGGAGTCATTGCTCTCTCTTTGTTTCGTAAGCTGAAGTTCCAGTTGCCAACAGTCGTGACACAGTTCGTCAAGTTCTGTGACGGCTATCCTCTGTTCTTCTGGCTTTCCGATTTGCAGACATGACGGCTTGGGAAAGGGTAGAACTGGTATCCCGGTCTGCATTTGTGATTGTGTCTGGTGTGATGACAGAATGGTGCTTGGTTTTGTTGTTCCTTTGGAAGCAAACAGCTTTTGCTGCTGGAGTTGGTAACGTCGTGAACAGTTCCGATGTGCGTGGGCACGGAGACTCTCACTTGGACTTGAGCTTAAGCTGGAAGTTGAACTTTGGGTAGTAGTTGATGAGAACGGACACTCGAAGACAACACGCTCCGCACAGCCGCATTTATACTGAAATATCACTGTTGTGCACATTATGTACGGCGCGAGCTGCTAAGCATGGGTGCTAGGTATATGGTATGGGCGATGGGGCTCGCAATTATGCCGTTTGAGATGAACGGTGAATAAGGCAACAGTAGTGTAGGTCGTAAGGGTCGATAGCTGTCTTCAACTGGTCTCTGCATATGAGGCGTGACAAGTTAGACAAACTCCAGAGAACAGGGTTCCTAAGCCAGCGCAGGTGGTTGATTCAATCACGACTGTAATATGGACTGATTTTACGATAGAACAACTCACTTGGTGGTATATGATACTCTGTAAAACGAAGTCTTTGAAATTCTGGCTAAGCGTACGGGAATTGGTTCTTGCGAGCTGCGATAAAGCCACAAGCCGTTTGCTGGAGGCCTTGGAAGTTAGTGCCTTTGAGTCATATTGTATAGCAATACTGCGCTTTCTTGAGCAGGACGAGATGTGTTGTGAAAGACGGAATGATGTAAATGATATATGTACTTACAAGATAACGGGATAATAGATGTCGATATAGTATGATGGATGATCATGAATGGTAATGAGTAAGGTTGTGATGCCCGATGTGAGCGTGGTGGAGAAGGATAGAAGGACGTAGAGAGGTTGACAGCAGAAATCTCACATGGGGAGGTGTCTAAGGCAGGACTGGAAGAATCGTGCCTTCTCTGCAATTCTACACCACTCTCGAGGTGAGGTGAAGTGAAGTGAGGTGCGGTGCGTGATGAAAGAAAGCCGATGCACCTTCCCATGTATGCATCTTGAGAGTAGGGTACGTACCTAATGCCTCAGAGGCGGGAAAATAGATACATATTTCACCAGTGGAATTGTTTGATTGCCTGGGGACATAGGTAGGTAGGTAGTGTAGGTACTTGATAGCCTCAGGAACAGATAGATATCTATCTACACCCCAACCTGATTGGAGTACCCGAGGCAAACACCAAGTCTAAGACAAGTCCAAACGCTTCCCGATAACTCTTTGCTCATGGATAAACAAGGCAAGTTAACGGAAGAGTATGGAATCAAATACCAGTGTTATTCACATTTGCAACAGAAGAAGGCCTATCAACCTTGATATGAAGAAATTGCTTCCATTTTCAACAAATTGAACACTGGGAGTAAACCCTGCCCACACAATATCATTCTCGCTCACAAGTGGATGAAAATATCATCTCAGAGTGTGCCCTATCCCAAGCCCATTGAATGCAAGCCCTTATGAAGGGGATGGTGCTCCTAATGCCCTAACGCCAATGATATGCTTTCTGTTCCAAGCAGCCTTGTCTTTTCAGCCGGCAAATGCATGATGATACAACCAGCAAAGAAAATCAGCCAATATTGCACACAATAATATATTGTACATCCTGTTCCTGATCCATTATTTCGGGGTGCTTTTTATTTCGAACATTGATGCCGGTGAGCTCTGTGAGAGACTCAGTAGTCCCTCTGCTGCACCACCTCGTTCACTATCTTCAAACTTGTCGTCTATTTTGGGAAGCCTCTGTTGTGGTGTGCTGAGGACTTCAGGAGGCAGTCTTTGTTCCGATTCCTGTGTTCTCGATGGAGATTCATTTGCATCGATGCAAGTCACTGAGCTGCCCGACCCGTTTCTACTATGTGATGAGACTGGTGGCACCACATTCCGAGGAGATGCTCTTTCTATCCTGGCTGGTGAGCTCAAGCGTTGCTGCTCGTTCCTCTTTGCCATTGCCGCTAAGCACTGTACTGATGTGGCTTGTAGAGTTGATGACAAGGTAGTCGTTGGTGGAATCTGTTTTGTTGGTGTCTTTTTCGTAACTCTGCCAGGAATCGGTCGCTTTTGTAACCTCTCAAGAGGAACATCGGTCTGATTTGTTTTGACTTTATAGCTCGCAAGCCCTAGGCGAAGTCGCAATATCTCTACCTTCTACATACACACACAAAGAGTTAGTACCAGGCAAAGCTACTAACTTCGGTTGGACTTGCACTAACCTGCCGGGCTTCCTCGCGTGTCATACTACCTTGACGCGGTCGATTCTCGGTGGCAGCAGGGGCAACAGTAGTTTCAATATCCGGTTCTGATATGACTGTGACCTGGGAGTTTTCGATTGTCGAGTTATCAAATAGAGACGAGTCTTCGGGCGATATGGAACGCGGCCTCGGTGCCTCGGCGGCTTCCTATTACAGATGTTGTTAGCTCACGTACCTACAACGTAGAAGCCTTGGATCAGAAGTCTAACCTCTTGAAGGGGCTTCTCATTCTGTGGTGAAGGCGGTTCAGTTCTTGCACCACTAAGCCGCCGCTTCTTTACTGGATCTGACGGTTCTCGGTCGCCGTCCTGTTCTATCGGTCGCTTAATGGTGTTGGGCTCTATGGCAGTTGTGCCTATGGCCATTTTTGACTTTGGTAAGTCCAACTTGTTGGGCAATAGACGCGGACCTCCGAGCGGGGATCTAGTATTCGCGTCTACTGGCGCGAGTGCGCGTCGTTTGTTAGGGGAAGCTGTATTCATCGCCCTTGACTTTTCTGATGGATACGTAAGATACCCAATGCTCACTGTGTCTTCAATGTTGGGAACGTTCACACCCCAAACCCGTGTAAGTGGTGGCGGCTTGGAGGGTCGTAGATCAGTTCGATCTAGATATATGATTGGGGGAGGGTCTTGGAGACGTAGGTAAGTGAATTGGAGAAGTGAAGAAACCAGGACTTGAAATAAGCAACAAAGGCTTCCTAGAAGGTGAAAAGACGCGTCTATGCTAAGACATATAGAGAGGAGAGGACATGAATTCTAGAAATACCATGATCAACGAAGGTTGGGGATGAGAGATAGCGTTCGTTATGTAGGTAGGTATAGACCGGGGTCTAAAGAGAGCGGCTGGCTTGCAGCGCGTCGCTGGGGTACGAGTCCCGCGTCATGGGGTACAGTGCGATTTTACGAATCGAGCCGATGCACTGTATTTATTTATTGACTTGTTGCCCGTTACGCTACAGAGTGTACACAGCAACATGGCGTATGCTTAAAATGGAGGATCCAATTAATTGAACACGATACTAATAATACAGCGAGTGCAGTTATGCCTATTCAAAGCAATTGCTTACAATACCAGCCACAGGATGTCTTTCTGGCTACATACAGGCAACCATCTTCAAGTCTCCAAGTTAAACGCACACTGTTTCGACCTATCTACCTATCGCTGAATCTGTACCTGAATATAAGGCTTCTCTGCGCTGGCTAGTTCGCTGTCTGTTGGCTGACGCTGGTTGACGTGGCGGGCCCCTTACCTGCATCGGATCTATCCCGCCTTAATTGCCCAGGCATGCCTATAACTTACACCTAAGTGCTAACCTCACGACCTTCAGTTTCTGGAGAATTGTATCGATACCAACTAGTGAGTGCAAGACTGGAATATGGTAAATGTATAGGTAGAATACGGACATTCGAAGCTGCATAATGTACATAGGCAGGTAGTTATCAATGGTGCGGACGCCTCTTAGTGTAAAACACAATTTCCGAACCATCATGATCTCACCTCTCGCCTCTTTCACTTCTCCAGCGCAACGCAACGAGAGCTAGGTAGCAAAAAAGAAATACCTACGGGGTGGAACTTTGGAAAAATTCTTCGCCAGCGCTGCCGAAGTGTTGCTGCACGGACGTTTCGAACAGGAAAGGTCGTCGCTCAATCAGACTCCTCCTGCTCGCCATTTCTCCGACTAGGTATTGCCCGCCCGTCTGGATTTGAGATCTGCCAGCGAACGAGCCCATCCCCCGCACATGTTTGGCCCTTGTAGAAAGAGTCGTGCCACATGATATCCCCCCATTGTATGCCTGACATATTCGAGGCATCCATGTGCAACACCGTGTAACATGACCAGGTAGTTAGGCAATCGACAGGTTGTCGAATGGAAGTGTTCCAACATGGCAATGGCAGTATGGAAAAGGGTTTACCGATAGGTACCTACAGTATTTCTGTCTGTCTGTGTCTGTGTAAGTTTCCTCCAACGACCACTTCTACACATACAACGCCACCGTTATAACGAAGCGATACCTATGCATCGAAGAGAACTGGCTTTCCTTTTCCCTCCTTTCTCCCAAGCATTTACTACAAGCATTACCATACAGCAACAAAAGTCGCACCCTAGAATGCAAAAAACATAAACGTACCAACAAGCAAATGCCTAAAGGCATGTTGCGCACCGCCACCACCAAGTGACGGAAATAGCTGGCTTACATGTCCCCAGCCAAGTAATAACAGTAAGCTCAAGGAACATGCAAGTACTGTAAATAAGGATACCTAGGAGCGAGTTGTTAAGTATGTAGGTATGTGGGCAGTGTACATAGTATGTACACGGGATCTTGCATCAATCCGTGGGCCTTGATCTGCCAAGGATCACGCGTTGCGTGATCTTACATACATGAGTTCCCAGCACCTATAATTCCTACAATTTACTCCTACCTAGGTATACCAAGAAGTGACCAACCTGCCTACCTACATAGGTAGGTAGTTAAGCTGCTGATGATAATGATGATGTGTGTGCGATAACTTGTTTTTCCCTACTCAACTCTCCCGCTCTCTTAACCCTTCTACCTAGGTAGTTAACAACCCCTAGACATGTAAAACCAACACGATAAATAACCGTCAAACTGAGCTACACAAAACCGCCGAAGCAACAGGCATCCACACCTTCCTTCCATATCTCATTACTTACCTAGGTACTTACTATTAGTATATTCAGCGTGGTATGTCCCATATGATCTATAGAGTTCAGTCCCCGATGCACATTTAGTTTTACTGCCATTTACACAACAGCCAACATCGCATCTACATTTCCATAGCCATCCTCTACTCTCCAAATCTACGTCTTACTTACCCATCTATAAGACGCGCTCACTCAACCTTCCCCAAAAAGAAGATAATAATAACAAATAATGCCAATCATTTTACAAACATATTCACATCACATCAAGCAATAAAAAAAAGAAATATCACCACTTCCCACCTACATATCCAGTCATTCATTCATTCATTCGCAGCGCATCGCATCGCATCGCATAAAGATAAGGAGGCAACGGGTCCCTGAAGATCAATCAATCAATCAATCAAGAGCCGACCCGGAGCGCACGCGCGGCCGGGGTCCTTCCTTAGTCCTTACCTAGGTACCTACATAGGTACCTACCCACCTCCACTCTCACCACTCAATACCTACCTAGACATAAGTACCAGTAGATACCCTGCTCACTTACTATGTACATACAGTACACTACTAGGTACCTACATACCTACTTACATACATACCTATACAATTAGACATAAAAGTCCTACAACCCCTCCCCCTCCTTCCTCCTTCCTCCCCTCTCCCTCCCGCGCACCACATCGAGATACCTAGTCTAAATCCTCAGAACGACCAGATTCGAGTTCGACCTCTTTTCCAGTGAAAAAAAGGTAAATGTACTTATACCTGTACCCTGAGAGTATGTAATAAACAGCGAGGTACGGTATCAAGGGCACTAGTGTATATGTACCAAGGAGCCAATGGGATCGCGCCTAGGTAGGTAGGTAGGTACCTTCACTGCCCCTCGACCCACCCACTCGATAATAATAAGCCTTGGATTGTGACGTAGGAAAGTACCATGCATGATATACAAACAGCAACTTGCACCAATCCGCCTCATGGATGAGTAAGAGGGATGGATGTAGGTAGGTAGGTACAAGGTAAACAGGTAGTTACCTACAAGATGTATCAAAGAGAATACGGCATAGTATACACTTCGCAACTTTCAAAGCATTTACTTCGGCATGATCCATCATCACCTGCGTGGGCGCCGAATCAAATTGATTAACAAGCTCATCAAAAACTTTTGAGTCTCTTGGTGGGTATCGCAATTATAACGCTCGGAACCATTGTCTATACATTCCGCTTGGCCGACCATCCAAACCACATAAACGCTCCCATGCGCCCTGTCGCAATGAGCTGTCCCTTCGCCGCCTTGATAGACCGCCTCTGACATGCATTACAAAGAAGGCGTAGCTGATATAGATATAGTCCGATAGAAACCATCTCCCCGCCCCTCCCCGCCTGCTCCCCTAAAACGCCATTGGCAATCATGAATCTCCACCTCAAGTCAGATAATCCTGAACTGCTCTTGCTCATGCCCCCTTCAAACATCGTAGTGTCTCGTAAATTTAGGATTCTTCGCTTCATATATACTCCCGCCGCCCCCCCCCCCCCCCCCCCCCCACCGAAAAAAAAAAGAGAAGAAAAGAATGTATAGAAAAGAAAAAAAAACAAAAAGCACACAAACACA